CAAGCGGTGCGCCCTTTATAGCTGGTTGCAGCCTCTTGGTTAGAGTGCCTCCCTCCAGCTGTGCATAGGATCCAGCTGTAGATGACATTACTACCATGATGATTACAGTTTGTCCTCTTGGGTGGTACGTCACATCCTTTCACCATGCACAATACTCTACGTCCCAAAACCATTCAGAATATTTCTTTTTCCGTTTCTGCTATCGTCGCTGTTGCGGAAAACCACTTTTAAATTATCGCGATTCAATAAGAGCGTTCGCTACACTTTCCGGTGCGCTAAGTGCAAGATGCCCATGGGCACTCTTTTGTATGTACTTGTGCCTGAGCTTTTTACTTAGCCCGCAGCGTCAATAGCGGGCGTCTCTGTCGAATCAGAAGGCTTTGAGCAGCCCGAACCTCCTTCGCCTTCGAAGCGCAGCCTCACCTCGCATCCGTTTTATCGTCTTCCGGTTGGGTCCAAGAACGGAAGCGTGCTGCTGCAGTTCGACGAGAGTAAAGCACTTGCTGCCTTCAAGAAAATACCCCTACAAATAACCCACATGTTGCAAACATTAGCGACCCTGTTCAAAAGATCCTTCCTAACAGGTGATCAAATGAAGGATGTGCTCTCTACGGCTGGAAAGATATTCGCGTACGCAAAGACCGTGATGATACCAGCCTCTAAACAGTGGCACCTCACCAGAGTCGAAGCCTTGGGACTCGGGTTTTTGGTCGTGGACGCGTTATACTGTGCTGCCGAGGTTCTGGGGCAGAATTCTGAGAAGCACCAATTGTGGTTGAAGCTGATCAGTATAGCCAATTCTGCTCAAAAAATGATTAAGATATTGCCCAAATTAAGTTTCCGGCCGTCGCCGACTGAAATACTTATTCTGTCGCTGCACTCTGCTCTGGGTGTATACAGCAGAGGCCAGAGACCTGTAGCGGACGTGGTTGTCTCTTTAAAAAGGCAGCTCATTTGCCAAAAAAAGTTTAGAAAAGCCGATACGCGTGCATGGGATTTGTGGCGAGAGGAGGACAAAGCGTGGAATGAATCTGAGGGTGCATAACGCTGCATAAGGAAGCCGGAACTGGAAGAGAGCATAGAAAACAGGCAGCAGCAGCAACTTGTGTGGGAGTTGTAGGAGCTGAGGCGACAAGTTATGAAGTGTCAATGGGCTATCACACCTTGTGGCCCAGGAGGGTGCTTTTCATTTAGCTGAATCAGCGAATGACGGAAACCGAATATCATCAATGCTGCCATTCAATTAAGAGCAAGGCCTACATCGATTCGTTCAAAAGATGCAGGAGCAGGATGCTTCCTGGTATTTTGCTATTTTGATTTCTTCACAGAACTATATCGACTAATTTAAGATAGTACACGATCTTAGTGCTCCATACGTTTTTGCCGTCTGTTCAATTCTTAACAGGTCATTATTCATTTGTGTTAGAAAGTAGGAGAGCTCGAAGCTCTAGGCTTGCCCATGATTTCAGTTCTTCATAAATATCCGTGTGCTCGAAAGGTGTCTCTCCACCAGTGTTCACTATGGTCAAATCCTGTTTGTCTGCACTCTACGGAACAGAGATGTTTGCTTATTTTAATTCGCTTCACGAAGGTATAAAACGAGACCGCTTGGGTCCTCTATAAATCGCTTGCGCCCCTCCCACGTCACTGGCCCGCTGCCCTTGATCGTAAAATGGAATTAGGAACTGGATTCCATTCATTTTAGGCGCAACTGCCCTGCGTTCAACGAGTGCAGGGAAATGTGCACCGAGGACTGTGCAAGCAATTATGCTTCGAGATACCGCATTCGAAGGTTTTGTTCCAAAATTCTTTTTGTGCTGCTTGTATAGGAGAAGTACCCACATTAGGACAAATCTGGGTAGATTGAAAGGTGTAGGGTCCACAGTAATAATTTATAAGGGCATAAAGGCTTAGATGAAACCGCATTAGTGCTTACAGACATTTACAAAAATGTATCTCTTATTTTCTTTATCCATTGCAATTTGCTGTGTGTGCTATCGCGGTTGACGCTTTCTGCGATCCTCTTATGCACCTGAGCCGATAACTTGAGGTGCCTATATGCCAATTGTTGACAAAGGTGAAGCCATTAGATTCAAACGGTTAGCCTCCTATGGGAACAGCAGCCACTTCGACGTTGCAATCGTTGGGCCACGTCCTAGCAGGAGTGTCGTGCTACCTCCCCAGCGTGCAGTTGATAGAAGTGACGCGTACACAATCTCATGTTCGTTAGATCTTGGCAAACAGTAATACGAACTGCATTTTTTACAATATGGACGCTCTTTAAATGCATCTCGTTTATCGCTTTGAAGGTCGGAAGTCTCCTTGTGCACATAAATTCTCCACAGCATGCCTCCTGTCGCCGCCCTTTTTCTGCCGGTTTTCTGCTCCCTACCATACTGACAAAAACCGGCAATCCATTGGCGCAAGACTGCAAAATCAGAATTCAATGAGCGGCAGACAGCGCACGGTCAGACCTCCACACAAAAGAAGGCTACCCTGTAGCCAGGTTGGCGAAAAAGTTGCATGAACCTTCAGCAATGGACGGCCTTATAAATCTAGTTTGCAGGCCCTCACTATAATTCATTGCGTACCCACACTCCCTAATCCAGCTCCGGTTTTAAAAGGTTCTAGTAAAGGCGGTGGCATCCGATCAAGGCTTTGAAGAGACAAATCAGTTAAATTCAGATGGGCTAGCCTATTCCCTTGCTTCGCCATTTCATGATGCTGCTGCACGTGTTTCTGCATCTGCTTAGGCTGCACAACTGGAAAAGTGGAATTTATTGAATAAGCAATATCAGGCGTGGAGGCCAGGGTTTCAACGGATCAGGCAACACGACCAAAGCTTGCTGGTAATGCGTTTAAGAAAAGCATTAGTGGCTAGCCTGCTGCTGTTGCTTTTACTGCTTTTGTTGCCACTCGAGGATGCCTCCAGAGTTTGTACTTTGCACGCCAGCAACATCCGTGACGCCGTGTAGCAGCATTTCGCGAGTCTGTTCATCGAGATTGAGGTGCCTAGACACTGACAACAACAAAGATTGCACCTGTTCTTCCGCAATGCCATAAAGGGCCATAAACGAGCCAAAGGAAGGCAGGCTACTACAGCACGGATTTTTGTCTCGAAAAAGCCTATCCTGCCGCTGCAGTGCCTCGGTCCCGGCTGCCTGCCACTTCTCAGACAGCTGAAACGCATGCATTCGCATATGCAGGGTGACGACGAATCCCCCACAGATACATGCACGGCGGCCCCCAGCTACGAGAGCTCTGCTTGTCTCCAATTGCATTGGTGGAGTTACCCCTATGTTTGCACTGTTCCTACTGAATTTGTTAGGCGTACGCGCGTGCAGCTACACAGACGCATGTATCGAGACATCCAGATTTTGTGCAACCACCCTCCGCATGTATTTGTGGTGGGACCAAATTAGTGTTCGACTCCCACCTTCTGCCTCTGTAGCTCCTCGCTAACGGTAATGGTCAGGGCCTCCTCCCAAAAGGTCACACGGTTCCAGTAGCGATGGTGATACACACAACGCTGCGCAGCACCGCTACCATACACATAGGGGGAATCAGTAATTTACTTTTGAACTGTGGCAAAGAGCAGTCTACCAACACCAGGTCCAGCAGCAACTGCACCAAAGAGAGGCCTATACCAGCAGCAGCTTGAGACCCTTACGTGTAACGACCACCGAACTGCGAGAGAAGACGGTCCTGTGGGCCCCCCCGTATCCGCGGGGGATGTTCTGCTGTTGCAGCTACTGCTGTAAGGCAGAGCTTCCTGTTCTCGCTCGTCTGCTTCTGGCCTCTTACACAATGGATCAAGTGGGCTGTTTCCCATACGTCGTTGCTCCTGCAAAGCTTCCAACCAGTTCCATTGCTGTTGCTGCTGCGGATCCTCTTCTGCAGTGCCAGGGGCGGCAATTTCAACTGCAAGCAGCAGAAGCTGCCTACCGGCCCACGCATCAAGCTGCGCGTCCGCCGCTGTCAAGAGCCAATCGCAACATACTCCCAACAGCCGCAGTTGAAGCCTGAGGAGCCACCGCAGCAGTGATTTTCTCCAAGTCGCTTTGCACTTCCCGGAGCACCAGGCTCAGTCGAAAGCAGTAGCAATAGACGCAGGTGGGGATAACGATGCACGGAACAGCACGCTCAGGCAGAGGCACCAGCAGCACCACTATTATAAAAGCCGACAAAGACGAATAAGGCAACAGATGTACTCCCCAGGGCAACATTCTACACGATGTTGGTGACAGCTGCAAAAGTAAGATCAGCAGCATGCGCAACAATGGCCTACATGGAGGGCAGCAGGGCTTGTCTGTCCGGTGCTTCTTTGGCCTTCTTTCTCTTCGTTGCTACAAGACACGATAGAAAGACATCTCTGTGAAGAGAGGAAGTCAGATCTTCCTGCAACTGTGGCATCTTTTTCTGCAGCAAACTGCACGCTGCAGCCGGCAGAACCACTGAACCTGCAGACGTCCTTGTAACGGAGGCCCACAGTGCCTCTATAAAACTGCGAAAAGACAGACATTGCAGTTCACCTCAAAGGGCTTGATGGCATCTTGAACAGTGCCAACAACAACTACCAGCACCAGCAGCAGCGGTATCTTACCCAGAGTATTCATCATTCAAGCGCTCTAAGACAGCGGGATCCGGTGGACTGGGAATGACCGAAGAAATTGCCGTTGCGGCGTTGCTTTGGCGTTCTGTCGACTCGACTACTGACGTGTCTGCTGCGCCTAGAGTATAAACAGCCAAACTCTGCAGTGGGAAATCCAGCACAGAACATTTACCGCAGCAAGAGGTCCTTGCAAGCAAAGCAACAGGCTTACGTCTCCTCAAAGAATCGGAAACATAGCAGCGCATGCAGCACGATACGCTATTCTCCAGGGGAAGGAACAGGAACAGGTAGTGTTGCTTGGGAAGGTGACGTGGGCAGTATCAAGGAGATCCACAGCATTAGTGGAGCCGTTTTTTGTCGCTGCTGGAGCCTACTGCAGCAGACTGGACGACCCTTTGGAGATGAGACTTTTGCAGGAGCTGCCGGGCTACACTGGTGGCAGAAGTCAGAGATGTGGTACTGCCTGAGCTCTTGCGGCTGGTGATGCTATTGCAGACTACTGGCTGGAGGCTATCTCCGTAGATTGACTCCAATACAGTCCATTTTTCCTGAAACGACAGTCGCAGAAGTGTGTGAAACAGTGAAACCACGAGCTGAAGGAGCACAAAAGCAGTGGGTACACCAGCAAGAGCAGCAGAGGCAGCAACGACAGCACCAGCAGCAGTAGCTACTACTAATCAGCGACACACGTTGTAGCACCAACCGACATGCGCACAAAAATTATTCAGAAAGCGTAAAACCCCCAAACGACAAAGCAGCGTACCACCAGCAGTACGGGGCACTGTGACAGTGGCAAAGAACGCAGCCGTAACTAGCGAGACACAACAGCCAAGGCTAACCACTGTTGGGGGGGAAACACTCGAAGGCGTCTGCGAAATTCTCCCATCAATAAACTCTTGCAAGTCAGCCTTGGGATCGACAGCTTCCACCGCCTGCAGCAGGGCCATCAGTGGTAGCAATGACCACACACTCAAAGATGTGTACACGCATGCTAAAAATCAACAGCAGAAGCTGCTACAGAACTGCAGTGTGCTGAGCATAATAAAATAGCACAAGGGAAAACGACGCTAGTTGTCACCACAATGAAAGGTGGGCGGGCATCCACGGCGAGAATTCTAGAGAGCTCAAAAACTGTGACACAAAGCCTTGCGCATCCCCTCACTTGGATGGACCGTTCCAAGTCGTACTGCATGTGTCTAAGGTTCGCTGCCACAAAAACCCCAGCTCTCGTCAATGCATCTCTGAGGCAGTGCATGCGCTTTAGGTCCATCTCTTCTAAGCAGCGTACAATGCCCTGCACTCTCTCGCGCGATAACTTGCTGCGGTGCTGCATCTTCTGCAGCAGCATTAGTCGCAGAACACTGGAGGAAGCAATGACTGAGTGAGCAGAAGGACTCTAATCGCTGAAACATGCAGCAACACCAAAACACCAAAAAACGCCTCCCAGAAAGCTACATTGGAGTGAGCACAAGCAGTAACGAAAGAAGCGAACAAGAACAACCATTCTCTGTCAAAGTGGTGGGGGGCACGTTGGGGAGTAAACGGTACGAGCACAAGTCAAACTACAAGGAAAAGTCAAGGAACTAAAGCAGCTTAAAGCAACCAAGAAGGAGACACGATGGTGACGCAGAGGTAGACACGCGAGAAAATGCAGCAGAAACAGATGCAGACATAAACATGCGTATTCATGAATACACAAATTTCTAGGAAAGCAGGCAGAGATGTGGTGCGTTCGAACCTCGACCGAGGCAGCATACGCTTCCTCCGCCTGTCGAGCCTCTACACAAAGCCGAATACACCTGCAATGCAAACAAGGAACCAATGCATTACCCACATCAGAACTACAAGCGGCCACCAGAGTGACCGCAGCAGCTTTAGACACCTCTGGTCCAGCAGCAACAGCCATTCTATTGCAGTGTCAGCAGGGGGAGGATGCGGAGCATAACGATAGCAGCCATGAGACGACAAAATCTCGCTCGGACTCACTGCAGCGCCAACTCTGTCTTGGTGGAGGGCAGCAGAGACTGTGAAGCCTGTGCTGTTTCCGCTGCTGCAACAGCCATTTTGCTGCAACGGAGGTAGTGTTCCATTGCCTACGCATACAAGCAGACAAGTTCATACACTTCACACTGGGAAGGTGAGAGGCTGATGACGTCATCAGAACTGGCAGCGCTGTTTTTCCGATGTGCCTCAATGCTTCTCTGGCTGCTATACGCTTTACCCGCTGATGCTCCATGGCGGCCACATGGTTTCGCCTTTGAATCTCTGCGGCATCTAGTTTCAGCTGCGCAGCAACGGCAATCACAGTCCAGACGAGATACATGTATATATAGCAGGAACACCATCGCCATCAAGCGCAGCAGCCGCCGCTGCAATCAATGATATGCGAGGAACACTGCCATCGTGATGCCGATTAAGGAGCAGGAGGGGAAAACAGCTCAAATGCCGTTACATGGGGGTGTCATAGACTCATCACCGGATGGCTACCACCGGTTCGCATGCCTTTTTGCCTTCCATGTGTATGCGTGAGTGCGAGAAAATGCGAGAGAGGGCAGTCCACCCCTTTAAGCATGCGCACAGGGAGCCCTCGTGTGAATCCCACCTATCCACATCCCCACTAAAGGAACAAATGCTCTGCGGAGTTCATACATGCACAGCTGGATGCAGAGACATATATATATCAGAGGCAGCGGCATTGGCAGCTTCCTGGTACCTGATTGAGAACTTGCGCATGATTTTCAATCGTCCTATCAAGGGTAGAGGCCACGACGTCGCGCCTTAGAGCATCCGACATTTCCTTAGCTTGAGCTGCGGAATTTCCCAACAAGCATCGGTAGCTCTGCACGGCCGCAGCGCATGTTCTGCAGAGCCAAACGACGCGAAGACGCAATTGAGATGCATTTACTTGTGAACCAATAGGTACATTTATGCTGGCTGTATCTGCTCAGGCTTTCTCTTTTTCGTTTCATTCATTGCCTCTCACTAGCTAGCTGTGTGTGACTGCTCGGGCCCGCTCCCTGCGGTGATTGAGTAGGGATGTGCCTTGTGTTGCCTATCGGCCTGCGAGTTCATCTGCGCGCCTCGCTGTACGTTTACTGTCTCTGTATCTTACTGTGACTCGGTGGCATGTGGCTTCAAAACATCTGCTGCAGCGTTAAGGGACACTGCAAAAGCGGATGCAGCTGCCGCTTGCTGCAAAAGAGCCGCACGCAGCCTCTCCAGAAGCAGCCGACCAGCCTCTACGCGCTGGATTGCGGCATTCAGGTCGTGCTGTCTGATACGCAAACGATAAGGAGAACGGGGGGAGACACACGTTGGTATTGTCGATTCCACGAGAGACATGAAAGTATACGCATTACGGGAGATACGCCACAACAGAGTGAGAAATAGGGAAGGGGCTACAAGGGGAGCAGCACAGTTACCGACATGCAGCCAATCGCGCGCAGGAGTTACCGAGGAAGAGACTCGATGATGCACGGATGAATACAGGATTCAACTCACAATACATTGACGAAGGCACTCGCCTCCTTTGACGAGCATTCACCGGAAGAACTCCTATTATCGGCTGTTGTCGCTGGTGGGGTTGGCGGTTCCGCTGCAGATGTTGCTGCTGCTTGTGCTTCTGCATCGACTGTCGCTGGAGCCTGTGCTTCTGCATTGACTGTTGCTGCTGCTTGTGCCTCTGCATCGACTGTTGCTGGAGCTTGTGCTCCAGTTTTATCTAGTGGTGTCGCCAGCTCAAAGCTTGAGCCACACCCGCTGCTTTTTGGATGTACTGTGGTCTCTGTGGCCGTCACTACATCGCCTCGCGTTGCTGGCGCTGCTAGGCTGGATGGTTCTGCTGCTTCCGCAGTTGACACATGCCCTGCTGCTACCGTCGTGCATGCGAGTGTGTCTTCTGCACTGGCGGCGCCGTATGATTCTGCGCCGTAGGAGTCCATCGCCATACAAGAAACGGTTGATGCCCCCCTTAGCAATATAGTTATTTCTGCTGCGACTGCGGCAGCTGCTGCTGCGGCGGTTGCTGGAGAAACTGCTGTTGCCCGTGCTCGTGTTTCTGACGACGCAGAGGCCGTACATATGTGTGTTGCCTCATGAAATTCTTGAGGGTCGTGCGCTTTCAGCTCCGGTTACTGCTTTATTCAGCGTGACACCGACTCAAGAGCAGCCGCTCCTTTCCTCTCTTGCAGAAAGAGACAGACCCATCGGGCGCATTGTAATCCTTTCTTGCCTGTAAGTCAATTCAGTAAAAGTCGCTGCCGCTGGACTGAGACATTGGGAGTACCAAGTAGCTGGGGCTGTCTGCTGTCATACAGTTTTGGAGCTTCTACTGATGCCAACCAGTAGCTAGAAGGCGTGCAGCATTCGCAGCAGCACTATATAGTGACAAATAAAATTAGAGAGTTCAAAATTTGTCTGGTCTCGGTCCAAATCTTGTTGGTAATTACTGCTTCCTGTGCTCTTACTGCTGTTGCCAGAGGCTTGTGCCCTCCAGCGCCGACATCGTTCTCCGTCCGTAGGGAATATCCACAAGACAGCGACCACTGACGAAGTAATTAATGAACCTAGTGGGTGATGGCTTAAATAGCCTATGACGAGGCTGTATGGCATTTCATTTAGCTAATATTCCGCGGTCTGTAGGCTCACTGTTTTGCTCGGACAAGAGTAGACCTAAAGCGAAGAAAGCTCCACGTAACTCAGTTTCCGGTAGAAAGTCCTATAGATAATTACTGCTCACCGCATAATTCATTTGTTGCCTTGTCTGTTGGTGTATTTTGCTTGTTGTGGATCAAAGTAACTCCTTACTACCAGGCTGGTTGCAATGCCCCTTTGCGGTTTCTGAAGGCATTTGTGTGTGGCTAATGAGATGCAATGACTTTGACCCTGGCCCCCCCTAAGCCCCATCCCTCCTAGTCCAAGATGAGGAGAAGGAGCACTTTTCGAGGAATGCCTATAAATTTGCATACACGTTTAGATGATTGCCGGCCATGCTACGGTTGTAGCGGGGGAAGCTACACTTAATCACCTTTTACTGAATTAGCTACATTATAATTAGTAAGGATTTAACCCATCGGTTCATGTGCTTGGAAACGATGTTCGCTTCAGAGTACTGCTAACTCGATACAAGACGCAATATTAGTGAAAGTTTTACTGCTCTGTAGAGTGTGTATTGACTTTAAAGTTAGGTGTCTCCTTACGGAGAGTTTAAACAGACCATAAGAGTAGTTGCACCTCATCGTCTTCGCAGGAATTTCCCTCCTCATCCACTAGCTATGGATACATTGGAATATCGGGCTTTCCCACATCATTTGGCTGGCTTCGATCATGTCGGGTCAGTGGTCATTAGTCCGACTTTATTCGGCAACAATCGGTCTTAAGTGCAAGTAGACGGGAACACATCGCTTGTTGGCTCGGTAGAGTCCAGCCGGCATGCTGTTATGGACGCTCCGGCTCCGCAGTTAGTGAAGCACAATAATTTGTCAGTAAAGAAAAGGGTAATAGTGCTCTGATGAATCTGCGCCGGCGCAAAAAGTATGACAAGACGAAGATCCCATCAGCGAGTTTAAAATATATCTCGCTTTTAAACCCCGAGATAGAGAGAAGCACGTGTTTCTTGCGGCATGGTCATCTAAGGAAACAGCGCTTCAACGGTGGCTCTCTCCACGCACAGAAAGTCCTGTGCCTGCAGGGCCTTATTGCAGCTAAAGCTTTCACACACGCCCTCAAACTTTGGTGCATGCAGCGATCAGCTCAACAGAAAAAGTTGCAAAAATTTAGGAAGCTGCAGCGGGGCAATGAAGAGGGCTATAGAGAATAGGGCAGCAGTTGGAGACCCACCAGGAGTCAGCTCTGCGATAACAGATACTCACATTGATACTCAAGACTTCCTCGAGTAGCTTAGCTTTGGATGTGAAGTGGATCTGTCGTCGTATGAGTCGATGGCGCAAAAGTGCTCTCTGCCTGCTCACTAGCTAGTGCAGTCCCTAAGACTTCGGTTTTCCGACGGGGGATAGAACGGTTAGTGGCAATGCCATGGCAGCATAACATATCTTCACATCAGAACTGGGTCCTATCAGGATGCCTGGTGACCTCTATGCTGAATCCGTGCACTATGGTATGACCCTAGGTGTGCCATGGTTAGCCCAATGGAAAGCGCATATGCAAGCACAGCTGTGCAGTGTGATGGTTAGTTTGCTTGAAAGCTCTAGGGTTAACCAAGCTAGGATGTCTTCAACAGCAAATATTTCATTTGCGGTGATCGAGCTGCAAACGGTGCCCCTACCAGATGAGGCGGTCTTCGTGAGGGTGGCTCAGCAGCGCAGTGGGAGAAGGGGCTTCCGAGCATTCAGGCCTTCTTGATGGCCGTGCAACCTGTTGGTTATTGGGACTTCGATTGGGCATGCAATCGAGGAAAAGCAAGGCTGGATAGGTTTAAAGGAGGAGTTCGCAGATGTGCTAAATAATGAGGAGCTTCCGGAAGGCTGACCATCTACTGGCCGTTCAGCACAATGTATTGATATAATACTTGGCCCGGCATCAAGCAGCATTTTGTGGCGTCGAAAGCCCTAACAGAGCGGAGAAGGGATTGAATGCCACGTGCATGCTTTGTGTCGAGAAGGCAGGGTGTAGAAATCGTCAGAAGCTTCGAGCATAAACCAATGCTCCAGTCAAAACAGGGCAAGATGTGGCGCACCTGTCCTTACTTCCAGCGTCTGGACGAACCTACTGCGACGCAAAAGTTCCCGATGCCTTCTAATGACAAAGTACTTTTGTTAAACTTGGATGAACAGTCTACTCGACATTTGCCTCACGGACGCTCTTTTACAATTCTCTATTCACTTTGGTAACGGGCGCCAGACGACGTTTCACATTAGCATTCGCAACTTCGAGAATGTTTGTACACCCTTCGAGCCTCTTGGTATCCGACTTGGACTACAGAGACCTCCCAGTCAGGAGTTATATGCGCCTATCAAGAAGGGATGAATGACTGCCTACAATGAGTGACGCCTTTGTCTTTAAGCAAAACATTTAAGAGCACCTGGCGCACCTACGGTGTTCCCTTCTGCTGTTGCGGAAGAAGCAGTGAGTGTAAAGGCACACTAGTGTATATTCTTCATGGGAATAGTTGTGTTTTGGGGACTTCGTGTTCTGGCTACGGAAATTGATTGAGATGCGGTGAAATTCACTGGCTAAAGCGTAGTCTTCATTTGTACGCACCCAAAAGGACGTTACGGGGTTTAGTTAGTTCAAAATTGAAGGACGAGATTTCTTTTCGGGGAGTACTGGGATTGGTGCTTCCCTGAGTAATCTTGAGACAACGCAGTCAATGACCTGGACAATGCAGGCGATGCCTCATCGAGGACGCTTATCGGTCGCCTTGCAATCATGCCTTTATGAGCTTCAGTTTTCCCTACCAATGTTAGTGACACAGCGTTGGGTGACACACTGTCCCAATAGGCTACGGTTCTCTAAAGCGTTTCCACAGAATTGACTTTGTCGGTCTCCAACTGAGGCTCTGTCCTCTGTGGCCCTCTTCATTTCGCCGCAGCCAAAGTGAGGGGCTTGCCGTTTCCCTGACGCACCGTCTGTCCTCCCCAAGAAGCCTGCTTTTGCTAGGCCTAGTCGCGTTGTCCAAGCTCGTTGGCTTTTCGTATAAACTTGAAATTGTGGAGTATGTGGCCAAACTGCTCACAGTATAAGCAAGTGCATTGGTAGGGGCCTGTCTGGTGCCTCATCGAGAGAGAGGGTGCCGCTTGCCAGGCCCGGAAGACACAGCCCCGACATGCATTGGTCATAGATCTAAACTTGCCACTTTTGTTCAGCCGAAGACGTGGGACTTCTGCTCAGTTGTTCCTACAACCTCAAGTGATCCATCAGATGCGGAAGCCCTGCCTGTCATTGTTTACTCGCTGAGTCGCTACCCAAACTGTCACCACTAAAATGACACTTCGCTTAGATCCCAGATAAACCACCAATGAAGACGCCGTTCGTCCATGCTGGGGCTTCTGCAAGCCAAAGTTTCATGTTTGTTGATATATCAGTTTTTTCTATATTGCATCGCTGCAGCTTCCTAAATTTTCGCAACTTTTTCTGTTTAGCTGATCGCTGCACGCACCAAAGTTTGAGGGCGCGTGTAAAAGCTTCAGCTGTAGTAAGCCCTGCCGGCACAGGACTTTTTGTGCTTGGAGAGAGCCACCGCTGAAGCGCCTTTTCCTTAGATGAGGATGCCGCAAGAAACACGTGCTTCTTTTTATCTCGGGGGTAAACAGCGAGGTAATTTTCGAACTGGCCAGTGAAATCTTCGAGTAGATGACCGTGGCTAGGTCCATCATACTTTTCTGGTCTGCATAGCCAAGAGAGCATTAATAGCATTTTATCGGCTGAAAAAGCGCCTCTTCTTAGCAGCTGTGGAGCAACTGCGTTGACATAAACTCCCTTGTCGGTTTCCACCACCCCACCAAAGTTACGCCCGTGTCAGCTTCCGTCTCCAGGAGGTACTTCTATCAAAATCTTGCCAGATAACCGCAGATCATTGAATTTTCACAATTTACTAGGGTGATGCCAAACCACTATTGTACGAAATATGAACCCACAATGCATTTACAACAACTAGATGAAAGGGGAACAGCTGCATCAAACCATGCGGTGCTGACAAAGGTAGCACTCCATTTTAGGTATCCGTACGGGTACGCTTACTTCTAGACCTAGAGATAGTTTGATAGAAGTTTATAACGCGCTATTCGAAGAGGGATAGTTTGATAGAAGTTTATAACGCGCTATTCGAAGAGGGCTCTCCTGACTGCGTGCCCACATGCCTCATGGACCCCGAGATGAGGGGAAAGGGATACCTTTGATGCACGTTGCTGCACCTGTAAACCACTCCAATCAATCATCCGCAGTTGCATATGGCAATTCCGCGCATGTGAAAAATATGGCGTGTATTTTATTGAGCTTCCCCTAATCCCCAATAAGGTCGATATACGAAAGGGCCGAATGTGCTAGTCAACTCTTCACTAATTCCCAATTACGTTATATATCTGGGGGGGAAAACTCAAGTGTAGCTTTGTCCGCTATATCTGACATGCGAATAGAATGCTAGGCAATTAGCGTGTGCGGGCATCTCTGTACCATTCAGGCACTCAGAGCCTTGATGCGTAGTTGCATATACGACCTTTGTGCGTATGCTCCCAGCGTTCGTTCTTTTGATGAGGGGGCCCGTCAATGCAGCAAATAGAATACACAGCAGCCACGTCAAAGAGCCAGTACGTAACAAAGCCATCGAAAAATGTGGCTGTGGCTGCTTAAACCACCAGTGCCGTGTTGTGCCTTGGCGCTCTAGCAAATGGCCACTGCCTCCGCTGTTGCAGGAGGGCACAGTACTGCTTTTACTTTGTTAGTGACTGCGGTTAAGACTGTAGCTTTGTGGACTACAACATACGCCTTTTTGAAAGTGTGATCCTTGGTGATACGTGTTGTGAGACCTCGACATAGGGGGTTAAACGTGACGGGTGCGGCGCATGCACTACAATCGTAAGGCGGCGCAGGTTAGACCAGGGAGTCATGAAGAGAGGAGAAACCTGATATAGAGCCTTTGTGACAAAGAAATTGACCTTAGAGTCGGTTAGTCTGATGCTGAGAGGGAGGTAGAAAGATGCGCAAAGCAAATTTAGCATGCAGAGACGAAACGGCGAGGCATTATGTTCCCCGCAGTTGGGCAAAGAGAACGTGCCTTTAAGCCGACCATCTGTGGGGCTTTCGCCAATACCACGCATTGGAAGAGCAGCCATGTAGAGGCGCACTGCATCCCCTCGCTGCTGCCACTGCCGCTATCAGTACAGCGGGCAGTCCTAATGAGTGGTGGAGGCACAGTTGCCGCTGCAGCTACCTCTGAGATTATATCGGGCACGAGCCTGCATGCATGCCACGAGAGCCACACATACAAGGATGCGCGATGGAAAGCGCACAGAAGCAGACAAGAAGCTAAAGGGCAGAGGTTTGAGGGTATCTGCATGCAGCCACACCATTCACAGAGAAGCCACAGCGGCGACAGCAGCAAGAGTATCAGAGGCAGCAGCAGAATCAGCACAGCAACGCCAGTTCTTACCGCCAAAACTGAGAAAGTCGTCAGTCTCCGCTTGGCGATATTCCTCAACCAAACTCAAGACGTGTTCCCTGTGCATACACCGCGGATAGTCGCAGCCGCAGCCATTTAATACTTGCAGTTGTCGCAGAACTCTCAGCAACCCACGACGCAAAAGCGGTATCCATGGATTCCAGCACAGCCCCTTAGCCTGGAAGTGTGTTTGACTACTGACTTTGAGTCTTCCATCTCTGAGAAATCTCCTAGGCCGTCGGCGCTGCTAAACATGGGCTGCCGTCTGCAGCGATACACAGCACGAGATCGCATTGGCTGCTCTTGTGGCTGCTGCACCGGAAACGACGAGCTCCAGGTGCAGTAAGAGAACTAGCAGGAGCAGGCTTACTTGTAGTTATCCAGAAAGGCCTTTCGTTTGTAGAGACGATCATACTGCACCACGCAGCGCTCGAATAGCTGCAACAGCAACAGCGGCAGCAGCAGCAGCAGCCGCAAGACACGGGGATGACACTGTTTCGTGGGTGGCTTCCTCGAGAGAGCAACTCGCGCAAGTCTATATGATATACATATATAGATGTATATAGATATGAAGGGATACCGCTACAGTAGGACTGGCGTTGGCAAAAGCTCTGCTTTTTTTGGCAGCTTGATCCAAGAGTCGTTAAAAACACGGGGAGGCAGAGCCTACCGTTGTGATTGCAGTGTGGTTGGCGAGCATAAGACCAGCACATTTGTGCTTTTGAGGGCTGAATGGCGAAGCTCGCGCAAGGACCACCTGGGGAGATGCCGGAGCCCAACGAATGAACTGCAGCAGCTGACGTTCGCGGATACGCTGCAAGCTCTTGTGCACCTGCGGCAACATCAGGGAGGCATCGGCATAGAAGGCAACATGACATTCAGCTGATGGGTAGAGCAAAGTGGTTTGCTGCAGCAGCAGCAGCGCTTTCCCTCCCTCCCTCCGCCTCCTCCTCCCCCGACAGCAGCTGTGTATCGACCGAGAAAACACATGCAAGAGGACACCACCTAGAGGAGCACCAGCAACATTGTCTTTACCTGCATCGGATCTGCTTCTCCGCGTATGATGTTCAAGAGAGACATGTACAGACCGCGACGGAGAGAAGTTGACACCTGGGCAACGACCCCACCAGAAACAAGTCCATAAATGCACGCGTGCACCCTTCGCATGGCGATATATCGGCAATCCTTTCTCCTCCCGCATCCGTGGCTGGCTGTCAGCTAACAGAAAGATCTCTCATGGGGTGATCCGGCCAGACGCAGTCAGTAGAACCCTCTGTTTCATGGGCTGCGACCCTTCTCCCCCTCCACCTCTTCTTCCCTTGTGAAGGGACTTAGAAGCCATGTGTAGATGCAGTATTACGGGAAGAATGCATGAAGATGTACGTGCACATGCATGATGGCTCAAAACAAACAGTTGCCGGGTGGCTATTCTGCAAGTATTCGGGGGTCTTGCTCATGAAGTCGCATCCATCCCTCACCATGACGTTCTTAGATTGCGTGAGTCGCCGCATAATATCCATCACTGTAGTCTTTTGGACGGCGGAAACGCAGCGCTCGAGGGTCATTGGGGTGTACCCGCACATGAGGAAGTGGCAGCGGGGTACTGGAACCAGGCAAGAAAGCAACGACAGTAGGCTGGAGGATAGAGAAGACGGATAGCGCAGCGTCGCTGTGCAGGCGGACATGACGGTAGAAATCTGAGAGGAGCAGCAACCGACAAAGTGTGACGGAAGAATATGCAGGGAGAGTATTATAAGACGAATTTAGAGGCGAGTCGACGCACCAAGACGGACGCGCATGCAGATCGAAGCGAACAACTTTCATGCAAAGGAGCTACTGGAGGATACACCCGCGAGCCAAGACACACACAAATCCGCGCCTCAAGCCCTTGCTGCCCGTCTCTCTGTCTGCCTCCGCATGTATGGACTTGAAGGCAACAACGGAGCGCTGCTGCGCATGCGTCTACTGCGCATATGCATGCGCATACTGTATAGACAGCCCCAGGTGTGTGCAAAATAGCGGCCTGCACGCGTGCAGACACGCAGACGCGTGCGGCTAGAAAGCAAATAAGGGCTCATGACTTAGGAGTGGCGTACGAGAGCATTCGTCTGCTGGAAGCTAGGATTCGGGAGTCTGAGCCTGTCAACGGCAACTCTGTGGACCGCGTGATTATCCAGTACAACAACGGCATCGGTCTGGAGACAAAGCCTCTTGAGTGTCAGCAGCGCGTTGTACGGCTGCACCACCACATCGCTAGCTGCTTCTCCCAGGACTGGAAAAACCGAGAAGTTCTGCACAAGCTTCGAGCCATACCGATCGCCAAGCAACTCCAACAAGTACGACCCCATCCCTGAGCCAGTTCCTCCAGCCTGTAAGCATCCTCAGGAAGCGACACGCATTCACAATGCAGCGAAAGCAGAAACGGCAACCCCTTCCTCCTTGATTGACGATTCTTACTGCCCTCTAGACGCGTATATGTATCTCAACCACCTTCAAACGCGGAGACGCACGATGGAATGACAGAGGACAAATCCCTCCAAACTCTCGCTGCCGTCCGCTTCTCTATCGATCATTTCCAGCAGTTCCTCCTCCACCTTAGCCGCTTGGGCATACCCGCTTCCCCAGTTATTTCCCGCTCCTAAAGACACGCATTCACTTTTGCGCGCATGCAAGGCCTGTCACGAGGACGCGCAAGAAGCCTCTGTGCAGCGTATGACCGCATGCGCATACGCATCGTGGAGGCAGCCATAGAGTCGCCTGACGCATACACCCCCAAATTACACCTCCAAACAGATAGAGAGAGAGAGGAATAGAAATACAAACACAGATCGCTGGCACATCCAGCTCCTTCGGCTGCTCTGCAATGTAGGGCCTCTTTGCATGCCTCTGTTCGACCTTCCCCACATGCTCTAGTCTTTGCCCTCTACGTAAACGCATATTATCCACAACTCTCCTTTGGAGACGCCTCGCTATACTGCCGCTTTCTGCCCATATGCAAGGGCACGAAATACAAGACACATCCACCTGATGCCCCTCCTCTCCGTTCTTCTATCGCTACTAGGAATCCGTTCTCCTTCCCCAGGCCACATTATATACGTATATATATACATATATATATATACATATATATACATATATATATACATACATATATACTGTCTCCTTTACTGCCAATTTCTACGCCCTTTTTTTCACCAGGCTGGTCCTCTTTGATAATCTCCCGCTGCGTGTTTCTCGCAATTTGCCCGGATACGTGTGCGCATGCGATAAGGCCCTACCGCCTCCGTCCTTAGACACAAAGAAGTTCTCTGGATTGTAGAGATGACGGTATTCGGAAGTCTGCGAACCCCGTGCACACGAACAGCGACACTTTGAAGGTGTGCTCCTGGTGCAGCGCGAAGCGTAGCAAGGAAATCATGCCGGGAAGCTGCAGCGGATTCATAGAGGCCCTATGGCTATCACACCTGGATGGTGTTGATTACTCTAGGCTCAAGATCGAAGAGGAGAGCTCTAGGAATGTAGTGTTCATCGTCTGCTTGGTAAAAGAAGACATCTTTTCGGTCTTCCGAGCCGATCGCGGCGGGTTGCAACAGGCCCTCCTGAAATTCCAATTTGCACACAAACTCATTGAGAGCAGGATGGTTGTAAACACGTCCCCCCCTCCTTCCCCCTGCAACAGTTCAAGTTGTGGGGCCTGTCCACGCCGTCACCAAGGCATGAGACCTTCCCTCCGACGGCAGCAGCAGTGCGGAGGCAGCAACGCACACGGGTGGACAGAAGGTGAAGCTACGACACAGAGGCGCATGCAGAGGAAACGAGGACAGCCAGAGGGCGAGAAAGACACTTGACGCAGCTTTCTGCACTGCCAGAAGCGCGGGGAAAGAAACAACAGGTCCGAGGAACCACCCCCCTTCAAGGCGATAGAAAGAGGGTCTCTCAGCTCTCAGACGCAGCCGCTGTCGAGCACAGTAAGGGCAGCTGCTGTCGCCTTGCCCATGCAGACAGACACCGAGATGCGCATCATACCTGACTAATGCCGTGCTCTGCACACAGCTGCTTCCAGAACTCCATCCCAATTTGGTTGCCGCATTGGCCAACCTGAATGGTAATTAGCTCTCGCGGCATCTTCTAGAATTGTTGGGAATACTCAGTGAAGCCGGTGCATGCTACTTCAGTCCGTGCTGACTGATGCTGCAGGGTCTGGATAGCCAAGGTGGCAAATAAGATGTCTGCTGCTGTGTCCTATGAGCTAATATGGGCCCCTCGTGCTGTGGTGACGGTACTTCCTTGTGCCTTCGCTCCTCTTATTCGTTGTGCTGCTGCCTCCGATGCTGCTGCTGCGGCGGCTTTTGCACCTGCTGCCACGTGTTTCGTGCTCACACTAGCAGGATAGCGGGAGGGCTGCTTCTTCTTGTGGGGGCACTCGCGACGCTCTCTCCGCTATGAAAGCGGCCCCTAATAATCAGACATGGAGGCAAACCCGCAGCGAGGACTAGGGCAGTGCTTAGGCAGCAACGGGGTGCATGCGGCTGCTGCCGGCTACAGCAGCTAGGTCCCTGCCACTCGTTGGATTGTGCTACCTTTTTTGCTAGGAGAAGAAGGTAATAAGCAGGGAAAAGAACGGAATTAAATGTAACTGGAGCAGTGTTTCATGGAACCACGCAGCACCAGCCCAGCTACAGGTGGTGAGGTGGTGAGGTTGCTCGGTTATTTGAAGGGCCCCTATAGGGTACATTACTATGGAAGAACTCGGAATGTTTTTCTTTTAAGGAAAATATACTTTAATCACGTTCATTTGAATTTATCTTATTTGCTTAGTTTCAGCGAATTTCCTGGAAAAAGGAAGCAATCAAACTGCACGATACAGACCCAAAGGCGCTCCCAGCGGTAAAAATGAGAAATTGCCCAAATCCTAGAATACCTTCTGTGCTGAATGGGTGTGTAGACGTGCTAATCTCAGTTTGTTTCAGTTATTCTTAGGGATGGAGGAGATTTGGGTCTGGCGAGTCACAGGAGGCGAGCCACGGCAGTGAACCTCGCTAAACAATCATACATGGCCTCTACCTACACATACGAGAGCTACGGTAGAGCTGTTAACTCGCCATCCAAATTCAAAGATAAGGGGTAACTCTGAAAGCGCCCCGGGGACACAACAGCGCATGCCGTCAATGCCACATCCTATGGTCGATGGACTTGAAATAATTGAATTATGGGAATGTTTGACGTTGCTAGAGACCCTAATGTCTCGCCACCAAATGTATCCCTTGAAAACGATAAGAAGGAAAACATGAGAGAGACTAAATGACAAGCGAAACAATGGAGAAAGACATGCACAGAGGAATGTATGCCAACGGCCCATTGCGGGAAAGCCCGTGGCAGGTGCTGCGAGTGCCTGCTTCTCATCCACTAGGACGCCAGCAGCCTCTGCTGCAATAATCGCCGCTTAAATCAGAGGCGGAGATTGCATATTTGAAACAAGGCCTCTCTGCTCGCCTTCTCCCTCTGCAAAAGCCAATGCACATATGTGCCACAATTCCTTAAACGGACTCCAGCGCCGCAACCCTAAATCCTGTCTACAACACACTTTCAAAAACCATACAGCACCAACTTCTGTAAATCGGAGTAATGCAACGCTAAGTTCAGCAACAGCAGCAATGAGAGCACGACCGGCGTGACATGAGCCAAGCGACGGCAGCTGTGCAGCACCAGTGACCTTACTAGTTCTTGAGGCGTCAGTCTGGATGTAAGCGCAGCAACAATCTTGCCCTCAATTTTCAATTCTTCCTGTCTGCTATACTGCTGCTGCAGCAAGTTTATCTGTTGCTGCAGGAGGCGTAATAGACCGTGCAGCTTCTGCAGCTCTTTTGCTTCCTGCTGCTCCACACTTGGGTAGAGACTCGCCTGTCAGAACAATGTACACCACCAACCCTGATTTCTGCATACCAAGTCAAGAGACGGTATAGACATGTGTTCAGATGCCTTTACTGTGAGGGATGTAGTTGTGCAGCACACGCGTACATGTATGTATATATATAGGGGGGAGACAGAGCGAGAATTGGTATGGGCATAAAGATACAAAGGATCTATGAAGATACACAAACATGTGCAGATATACATAAGTATAGATACCTATATATATTTATGTAAACCTGCATACACTGTGGTACTTACAGGAAGAAATGCATCCACAAACCCGCAAGCAACGTCCAGAAGCACTGGCAGAGGTATGGGTGGCTCTCTTTGCTGTTGCTGCTGCTGCTGCTGTAGCTGTAGGCCATGTAAATGCTGCTGCTGCTCCGTTTCGATTTCATTGCAGTGCTGCTCCTGCAGCCACTCAACAAGCTGCCTTAGAAGCAATTCGATAACATCTCCCTGCTTCGGCTGCTGCTGTTGTTGCAGGTGCAGCAGGCTCTCTGCCAGCACAGAAGCCCTGAAGTGTTGCGCGTGCTGCAGCAGTACATGCAGTAACTGCGGCCGCCACTGCAGTAACAAGGCTGCATCCTCCTCCTGTAGAGAGACAGCAAGCAACACCATTCGTGTGCATCATACAGCGATAGCCCTTTATGAGCACCAGCAGCAGCTCTATCAGCAGAAAAAGTAACAGCAAACGGGCAACAGCAGTTGGGTAGGGAACATAGTGCGTACCCGCAAGCCGGGAGAGCAGCAGCTGCACGCTGCAGCTGTATGAAAGTTGAAATGCATGAGTAACTGCAACAGGCTGCGGTGCGGCGTCAGGACATGGGCATGCAGCAACAGACAGATCGTCTCCTCTGCCCACAAAAACAGCAGCACACCCACGAGGGCGACAACAAATTAGATGCAATAGCAGCATGAAGGGCAGAGGGGCAATTGCAGCCTGCATCCATGAAAGCCGCATTGGCAGCAGCATCCTTAGCAGAGGCGGCAGACGCTGCAACGATACCAGCATGCTGCCTTGCGCGCGGTGTCTCGACAAAGGCCGCGAAGTCTCGCTCTAGCGCCTCCCCGCTAATGAGGTGTCTCGGCAGCTGCAGTAGCCGCTCAGCGAGCCGCTGCTGCGGCTCCGTAAGAGGCTCTGGCAACTGCTGCTGCAACTGTTGCAGTGCGACACCAGCTCTTAAGGGTAATAGCCCGGCTACGGTGTAAGAACCTGGTCATCAAGCATAGACACACAAACACACACACACACACATATTTACATGCCGCTGTGCGAGACGGAGCTCTGCCTCACGACGTCCGCAGCAGCAATAAAGTAAGCCCTTGCAGCGCCAACAGCACGAGCGATTCTGCCACACTCTGTGAAGCAGCTCACCAACAGCGCTGGCTGCAGACGGCGTGGCTAAGGGGCACCTCGTCACAAATGACTTTCCCTCGCAGTCCCATAGCAGTGGAAGCGCCTGCAGCAGCTGCTGCTGTCCACAGCGCAGCAGTGAACGCACCTGCAAAAGCGGAAACCAGCCACAGCAGCAGAATGGGCAAGGCGACACAAGGCTAAACGTTTCTTGCACCTATCAAAGACTGCTGTTGGAGATTGGTTGAGCCCGTTGTTGCAGTTAACCCCCCCTTCTTCCCCCCCCCCATAATAGCCACAAAGCTAGCCGAGAGCCCACTAAATCTGCTGCCACTGGTGCTTACCGAAAAGACAGCTGGTGTGGCGAGCTGCACGGAGTATGTGGGGCCGAAGGGAGACAACCACCGGAGGTCTCGCAGCAGAAACCTGCAGCATGAAACACTGCCTTTCTCCGCGCCTGTCTTCGTTGCTGTCTCTGTCTCTGGAGCAGCAGCTGCTGTCCACTCCAAACAGCATGCAAAAGGCAACAGAACTGCGCCTCCCGCAGCTGCTGCCGCTGCCGGAGAAAGAGGCAGAATACGCCTCGAGCGCTTCACACAGCGCATGTGACCCTTGGCGCTCTTCTCCGCACGAAACAGCTGCAGCAAACACGCCAGCACCACGATGCAACCATAGCGACACTACCCGCAACTGTGGCTGCTGCCATAAACAGCAAGCCTCCTCAGCACTAGGACGACCCTACCCACTGCTGTATACATATTTATGTCTTCGGTGTCAGAGCTGCCGCTTCAGACTGCTCGGCTTACCAGGAGCTCTCCTTCGACACATTCCACCAGCAGGCTCGGCTGCCCAGGTGCCGCTGATGGACTACAGCTGATAAGACGCGGTTTGTGGCTCCCCATGTTTAGCTGCTGCAGTGCATCCCCATGCATCGGTAGCAGCTGCCACCCCTTAGACGACGCAGAACCTTCTGCCTCGTCTTCGCTGTCGCTGCTGCTTTGCGCTGCTGCTTCCTGAACGTCCACGAAAGAATAAAAAGCCCCAACTTCCTCGCTCGCTGCGACGAGCAGCACGCGCGTGCACCGCGCTGCACCTCCTACAGCCTCCTCTGGCAATCCCTCCTGCAGCACTGCTGCTTCCAGCTGCAGCGAATCGGCAGCAGTGGCAAGAGCAGCTGCGGCGGGCAGGAACAGGTGGCCGCTTGAAAAGGTCTCGAGGGTGCACGGATCCAGCACACTGCAAAGAAGAGACAGCTGCTTCCCAGAACGAGCACCGTTGTTGCTGCTTGAATCCCTCTTCGCATACGTCCAGCTGATCGCCAAAACTGCAGCTTTTCCATGCTGCACGGGCAGCAAGAGCGCCAGACGGTCTCCCACCTGAAGGCATGCAAACGCAACAGCCCCGAAAGAAATCGCGAACACACACAATGCACTGCGCAAATTAGTCTGAGAGTTCAGAGCATGCACCCTACAGGCTCACGAAATCCCCCACTAGATTACTCTCGGCGGGAGAGCAGCCCATGAGCAAGCCACGCTTCTAGCACACCTGAGCACGAGCCGAAACTTTGAATGCTGCAGTTGACGCAGTCGGCAGCGAAGCCGCAGCATTCGTACTGCTCCGACTGCTGGATCGCTGTTTCACAGCCACAATTTCATTCGGCAATCCACCAGCAAGCACAAAGGCAACATCAGCGGCAGACTTCTCGTCCAGAGTTGCTCCTGCAGTAGGCGGCTCCTTTGGAGCCGCCCCCGCTGCCACGGCGCCATCTGTTGCAAAGACGCACCCACAGCTGGGGTGTACAGACACCCCGTTCGGCAGACTGTACGTGCTCAAAGTTGCACTGTTCGCAATCTGAGTCAGCGCACGAAGACCACGAGCATACCGCGCAGAAAAAAGCTTTGACACGACCGCAATCAATAGCCTCAACAGAGGCTGCAGAGGGGTCTTTTGGGAAGTCAAGAAAATAAAACGCAGAGGCAGCAGCACCACCCATGGGAAGCGCAACACTCGTAGCCACTGCAGTGCCCGCAACTATGAAGCCACTGGCAGCACGACTGGCAGCAGCAACTGTGTCGACACCAGCAGAAACAACTGCTGCAGCAGCAGCAGTAACAGCAGCAACACGAACAGCAACGACAACACCAGCGGCGACAAGAGGAACAGAAGTTACCGCAACAGAAGTAGCAGCAACAACAGCAACAACAGGACCAGAAGCAAGCGCAACAGCAGCTGCATTAACAGCAGCTGCAGCAGCAACAACAGCAACAGAAAGAGCCACAACAACAACACCAAGCACACTAAGAAGAGCAGCAACAACACCAAGAGCAGCAGCAGCACATACGGAAAGCTTGGCTATGGTTCCATCTGCTCGCCACAGGTACTCGTGGAGCCCAGTCGACTTTGCATCTGGACAGGAGTGTAGCGAGCGCGCAGCGACAAAATTCTCGTCTCGGTTACTGCCCCTCAAGTCAGATCCTACCGCAGCAATGCAGAAGGCAGCGAGAGATTGATCCGCCTCCCGCTGCTGCTGCAGCTGCAAGTGCTGCTCCTGCTGCTGGGGAGCTGCTGGCTGCGCCGACGCGGCGCAAGCAACAGCAGTCGATTTGCCTCGGTGTTTTTTGAGAGTTTTGCGGGTGTATCCCGCATCAGGAGTTCCCATGGCGATGCCCCCTGTAGGAAACTGCTGTCGATGCTGCTGCTCTCCCTTTACAGCTGCTCCCGCCGTTGCATCCCCCCCTCCCGTAAAGGCTGTCGACTCTACTGTTGCATAGCAGATTCTGCAGTGGAAGGCAGCTGCTGCTCGAGGCTGCAGGTGACCTCGACGATGCAGCGTAGGGGGCTGGCTGTGGCCTAAGAGGCGATCCTCACGACACTGCTGCTGATCTTCCTGCCAGCGCTGCCTAAAGGCATGCGTAATTTTCAGATTTGCCGTTTAAAGAGCAGCAGGGGAAGCAAATCGGCAAAGAACGAACGCTGTGGTGCCCCACACCGCTGCTGCCCTTCCCAGGAGTCCAAGAGGAGAGCGCTCGAGGGGGCTGCATGCGCAGCTGCCCTCGAGCAGCACTGGGCCGATTTGCCGGCGAAATACAACTCTAAATCCTCTATTGTGAGCCTTTGAGAAGCAGAAGCAGCAGGAGCCTCTGCTGCCGCCACCTCGTGGGCAGAAACTGACTGCAGGGTGTATGGCCTCATCTGCAGGGATGCGCGGGAGGCCCCTCCGCCACTGTGGCTGTACACCCGCCGCTGTTCTCGAAAAAATAGACACATTGTGGAAGCCGCATCGCGAACACACCCTGAGGGGTGATGCTGCCGCGTAATATGGTGGCAACAGGGGCAAGGGGGACATATTTGGCGGCGTCTCTGGCCTCGGCTGGCAGCGTCGTGTTGAATTCTCGAGCTGCATGCGTGCCGACTGGCAGACCTTTTGAACGCTGCTGCCAAGCAGCGTCATCGGGGGTGTCAACGGCTACAGGAGCGGGGAGAAGGCTCATAACGTCCGCCTCCCAGCTGCTGCGATCCGAAGGTATCCGTGCAAGCGCTCCCTCATCAAGGTACTGCCGCTCCACAGTCACGCGCAGTTCCTCCTGTACACACCTCGACGCACACTTTCGTCGTAGGCTAACAGCGCCAGAGGCAACGGGGGCAGCAGGCGCAGCTGCAGGTGTCTCCATACCAGCGCTCGCCTCTTGGACCCTGCAGACTGCCACTTTTTCGTCCGGAAAGCCTCGAACTAACAGGAGTTACACCGCCACTGCCAGCAGCAGCAATTCTAGCAGCAGCAATTCTAGCAGCAGAAATTCTAGCAGCAGCAATTCTAGCAGCAGCGATCCTAGCAGCAGCGCGACGTCCAGCGTCTCTTCGGTGTCAGAGGTGGAGCGGCAGCAGCAGAGGCAGGTGGTTCATTGGAACGTCTCAAAGACGTGCCCTGCATGCAACGTAGGCCGTTCACCTGTTATGCAGCTGATGCGCAGTCACGTTTATGGGGCTTGTCACGCCTTGGCTGCGCCCAGTAGCTCGTCGCTTGCTTCTTGGATGCATCCCTTGCAAAGCCTGCCTGCTCGCTGCTGTGTATTATGTATGGACCTTTCTGCAGAAAAATGTGTCTCGCGGGGAACTCGAATATTTGCCGGCCTCCTGCGGCACTGCTTGGCGCTTCCTAATGGGTTATTCTGTCAGCAGCAGAAAGTGTGGTCTTATCGGGTACGCTACTACCTGCTACTGCTACCCTCGCTGCCCTTTCTTGCGCCCTCTGTGTGCCTATTTAGCGTTACTGCTGTTGCTGAGGCCTGTGTGTATGTATGTATGTATGTATGTGTGTATGTATGTGTGTATGTGTGTATGTATGTGTGTATGTATGTATGTATGTGTGTCTGTGTATGTATGTATATGTATGTGTGTCTGTGTATGTATGTATGTATGTGTGTATGTATGTATGTGTGTATGTATGTCTGTGTGTCTATGTATGTGTGTCTGTGTATGTATGTATATGTATGTGTGTCTGTGTATGTATGTATATGTATGTGTGTCTGTGTATGTATGTCTGTCTGTGTGTCTATGTATGTGTGTCTGTGTATGTATGTATATGTATGTGTGTCTATATATGTGTGTCTGTGTATGTATGTATGTGTGTATGTGTGTATGTGTGTATGTATGTCTGTCTGTGTGTATGTGTGTTGCCACGGCCGTGCAAAGACGCGTGCAACTGCGGCTGCCGTCGCCTCTATGCCATGCGGTGTGTTGATACAGGCACATGCATGTACTGCGATATGCTGACCTCCGACGCGAGCAACAGCGGCAACTTGATGCCAGGGAACTACGGAGGCAGCAGCAAGAAGCGGCGGGCTCTCCCAAGACATCGGCACCCGCGAAACAGCAGCAGCAGAAGGAGCAGCAGCAGAAGGAGCAGCCTTGAAGTCTGTGTTTCTTCTGCTCTAGCGGCGCCCTTTCTGCTGCTGCCTCTGCGAATCCCTAGCAGGGAAAGTAGCAGCACTAACGCCGGCAGCAGCAGGTGGCATGCGTGCGTGGTTGCCCCTAGCAAGTTGTTGGAGAGCGATTCTTTATCAGCAGAGGATATGATTGTGTTATGCATAGATGATTATGTATATATGTACGCATAATATACATATGTATACCAATGGGTGTGCCTCTATGGTGCAGGCATCTTTACACAGCATGCGTTGCCGGTCCTTGGCTTGTGCGGGCACAGCTGCTGTCTGCTGTCGCGCTGCACCGAAGGTTGGCGGATGATTGATTTTGTTGGAGTTCATGGCACGCAGCGCCTAAGAACTGCGTATGCAGTGCAAGTACATGGTTGAGAGAGGGCCCCGGCGAACAGACTTTGCTTTTGCAGTGTGAGGGGGAAACGCAAGCAGCAGCGTGCTGTACTGTACGGCTGCTGCAGCATAGTGGCAGTGGCGCACCTCAGAGAGTCCACAAGCCCGTCTTGTCCTCTCCACAGCAGTGGCGGGTAGCACAGGAGACGTGCGTGCTCGCCTTCGACAGAAACACGAAGAACTCTCCAAATTCTTCGCTGTTGCGGCTGCGGCTGCGGCCGACTTCTTGTCGCGGCAACAGTAGGGGGCTTTTCACCCGTTTGGAGCCTAGGGTTTGGTGAACGTCATGGCGTATAAAAAGCGCATTCTAGGCTCCTCCAGAAAGCGTCCAGTTATTGGGTTGTAGACGAATCCCCTTGCATGTAGCGGCCTTAGGCCTAAAGACGTACAGAGGGACCGTAGCTCTGAGGGGGTGATGAAGTTCCCCCAGCTGTGCGTTCCCTGAAAGGAGAAAGCATGCGCCGAAAAAAATGCAGCACGTGCAAAGCCTGGCAGGCTGAAGAGCGGCAGAGGCGAAAAGCCCCAGGGGGTGGCACAGGGATGTGTGCAGTGCACGTTGATAGGTGCAGAGGCATGCGCTTGAGGCTTCCCACTCGACAGACACACACAAGGGGGCATTTGCATTCACTGCCCTGCAAAATATATCGAAGGCAGTGGCTGAAGACGGGTGGCAGTACGCCGTTCGAGCCACAGCTTGGCGGATGGATGTGCGCGCGCCTAGTCGCCTCCTCGCCTGCGCTGTATCCGTTCTGGGCATGCCCTCATAATGGACGTAACAATGACATGCCGAATGCAAGTTTCTACGCCTTTCATAGCATGCATGCTAAACATTGCTACAGTGCATGGAGTGCAGCGTGGTGAAATACGTATACCTCCCCACGATGCCGCCGTACGTGTATACACGTGAACCTGGGTGCACACTTGGCGCGGTGCCTGCTGGCTGTCTAGACAGTCCAGGCGTGGGTCGGCTTCTAGCAGGAGGGGTGTGGACTGTGTGCCTTTTCGCCTCTGTACCTTTGCGACGATCCGCAGTATGTGCTCCGCAAGAAGAATGGAGGCAACGTAATTCTCCAGGGTCCTATTGGGGGTGGTAATCAGCAGTAGACCTCCTGGTTGCAGACGCGCCGCAGCGGCGGCTACTGCCTTTCGTCGCTGTTCTTCTCCCCAAATGTGCTCTATCACCTCGGAAAGAACCACCGCATGGTACTGGCCGCATTCAGATCTGCGTGGATGCCACTCCGCAGCAGCCCTCAAAAGTTGCGTAAAGAAGGGGAACGGCCTCCCTACCGCTGGCGCGCACGAGGAGCCGTTGCGTTTGCGAGGAGGCTGCAACATGAAGGCTGAGCAGCCAAGGTGTGCAGACACGAGCGCAAATGCTTACGGACTGGGAGCTGCCGACGCGTCTGCAATGCTGTACGACAGACGAGAACTCAAATCCGGCAGGCCCTGTGATGCTGCAGAAGCGGCGGCAGCGGCAGCGGCAGCAGCACAAGCGGGCAGTTTGCATGCATCATTAGGACCAGGAAAATCATCATCATCGTCGTCATCATCGTCAGCAGCAGCAGCAGTGGGAGTGAAGGCTCTGGTGACAGCCGCAGAAGTGGGAAAGGGTGGAGGACGGTACGAGCAGCTACTGACCGCGTTGCTGCTGTCTGCGGCTTGCTGCAGCAAGCATCCGATCATTCGCATCAACTCCGACTACAGTAGCACCTGCAGTGGCTAAAGCTTCGCTTAATAGGCCTGCTCCGCAGCCGACATCAGCTATGCGCACTCCCAGCAGCGGCAGCTCCTCTTGCAGGTGGTCGTCGGAGTGCCGCGTCTGCTGCTGCTTTTGTCGAAGGATTCGCTGGTATAGCGGCAGTGTCTGCAGCTGCTGCACCACCATAGACACCCGAATCGGTGTATATGCATGCAAGACTGCAGCAGGGCCATTCACATCCCACCACGCGTCAGCTTGAGCAGCAAACGTCCGATGCTCGTGTTGCGCCTGCTGCCGGTACTGGTCCTTGGGATCGTCTAAGCGTCCCCCACTTGCTTTCGTACTGCTGTAGCGCTGCTGTACGAGCGGGAAAATGCCTTCGAATCCAACACACCCACGCTTGTTGCCAGAGGCGTTGCAGCCACTCCGCCTAGGTGTCGGCGGCACGTAGGAGTTTGCAGCACCAACACGAGCTGCAGCAGCAGAAGCGCGTGCCGCTCCTACAGTGCCGGTGGTTGCAGACTTCCGTAGGAAGACTGCAACACGCATCATGGACATGGGCGAGAGGAGAAGGGAGTCTGCCGCCGAAGGCGACATCTTCCAAGACGCAGAGCTTATAAGATAGAAATACCGTTTCTGGACTTGGAGAATTGGCTTTTGACACATAACTTATTGATCTATCGACTCTTCTCCCTAACTCTCCGGGGGGCTGCATGCGCACCGGTCGTCAGTGCCGCTGCGGTGTCTACACGAGGCACGCGGCCCTCCACCCCGAACAGGCGAGCCATGTACCTCCTAATTCTTCTGCAAAATGCGCGAACTGCATTCTAAAAGCCTAAAGCATAAGAGATACGAGAGAGGACTGCAGCTGCATCCAGCCTCCGACCAACCAAGCGGAGGAGGGAGTCGTTGCAGCGACGCCAAGAGCACAGCACGCTCAGCATTGCGCGTCAAGAACGGCCTTTTCCGGCATTTTAAAAGCAGCAGGGGCCGCCAGAGCACCCGGAAACTCCGTTATGGAGGTCTCTGCTGAGCGGAATGGCTGCTCCTCCAGCTGTGGAAGCACGCTTAGTACAAGCAGCAGCAGCAGGATCACGGAGAGCAGCAGCAGCAGCAACAGCAGCAGCGATTACTACGTGCCTCCGCCGTGGGGCCTTACCAAGGCTGACTATGAAACTCTGGGAAGAGCAGCCGTTGGTGGTTCTCGCACAGGTCCAGCAGCTACAGCAGCAGCTGCCACAGCCGCAGCAGCCGCAGCAGCAACGCTGCCTAAAGCTGTGCTGCAGGTAGTACGGCAGGGCGTCACCATTGAAAGCTTCCGACTCCAGGAGCGGCCTTACTGGATAATTGGCAGCAACGACCAAGCAGACATCTTATACCCTCACCCTTGTGTCTCTCGGCGTCATTTGGGTGAGGCGACCCCTTGAAGCCTCTAAATGCCTGTGCACCACTCTTCCTTGCTACTGGTGCTGCTAGTGGTATTGGTAGTAGCACTAGTGCTGCTACTGGTGCTGCTAGTGGTATTGGTAGTAGCACTAGTGCTGCTACTGGTGCTGCTAGTGGTATTGGTAGTAGCACTAGTGCTGCTACTGGTGCTGCTACTGGTGCTGCTAGTGGTATTGGTAGTAGCACTAGTGCTGCTACTGGTGCTGCTAGTGGTATTGGTAGTAGCACTAGTGCTGCTACTGGTGCTGCTACTGGTGCTGCTACTGGTGCTGCTAGTGGTACTGCTAGTACTAGTGCTACTTGTGCTGCTAGTGGTACTGCTAGTACTAGTGCTACTTGTGCTGCTACTGGTGCTGCTACTTGTGCTGCTACTGGTACTGCTAGTAGTAGTGCTACTTGTGCTGCTACTGGTGGTAGTAGTAGTGCTACTGGTGCTGCTAGTACTAGTGCTACTTGTGCTGCTACTGGTGCTGCTAGTACTAGTGCTACTGGTGCTGCTAGTACTCGTGCTACTGGTGCTGCTACTGGTAATTGCGATAGTACTGGAGGTGCTACTTGGGCTAAACTCTTTCTTACCGGTGAAGAAGCCTGCAGATCTGACTGCCAGGCTGTTTCCTCCGTCAAGCCTCTCCTCTCTCCCTTTCTGCTCCCGCATAGGAATCAGTGGTGCAAGAAAGCATGGCTTCTCCTAAGCGCGCTATGCGACGAGTGCCTGCAACAGCTTGCAGCACTTTATATACCTATAAATGTGCAGGCAGCTGCTCTTGCGAAGACTCCAGACAATTGCTTTCCACTCCTCCACGTGGGGGTGACCCCTAGCCGCTGAGGCCGTTGCCGCTCTAGCTATTCCGCGATCGAGCTAAAATTCTCAAAATACGAGATTTTCAGCAGCAGGAACAAACGAGCTACAACAGCAGCAAAACGACCTTTGCTGCAAGACTCCGTGTTTTGCATGCGGCGTGTGTGTGTGTGCCATGCTGCAGCGCTTCAGTACTCAAAAGAGGCCCCCCACAGCCTCTACGCCGTGGATCTCGCTTCCTCCTTTGGCAGCACTTGCAACGGGGTACCCCTCGCTGCATGTCAGCCGCTGCTGCTGCTTGGATCTCCTGTAGATGCTGCTACCCCCTCCTCTGCTGCAGACGGAGTTTCTGCTGAAGGGGGCAACAGCAGAAGCTCCGCATGCAGCACTAAGCCCTTGCTGGCAGCAGCATGCGAAGAAGAAGGAAGCGATAGCTGCGTCTTCATGCTGGGTACACCCGGAACTACTAACAGGTGCGCAGATGCTACCACTGCGGCTACTAGTACTACTGCTATTACTGCTACTAGTACTACTGCTATTACTGCTACTAGTACTACTGCTATTACTGCTACTAGTACTACTGCTACTAGTACTACTGCTATTACTGCTACTAGTACTACTGCTATTACTGCTACTAGTACTACTGCTATTACTACTGCTATTACTACTACTATTACTACTGCTACTACTCTCGAGCCCAACCTGCTCTTTTCGCGATCGCCGCCTTGCAGGTGCATCGAACCCTGTTCGACGTGGATATGGTGTTTCTCGACTTTTTAATGCATGCGCTTCTCAGGCTTTTCGTCGTGGAAGCGGGCTCTGCAGCAGAGGCAGCGGCCGCAGAGCGGGAAGCCGCAGCAGCAGCAGCTGCTGCTGCTGCTGCAGCCGTGAAGGCTAAAGCTGCTGCTGCCGGTACGGCAGGTGTGAAGGCAAAGGCAGCGAAAAGAGACTCCAGAGAGCAAAGGGAGGAGGCGCGCTTCGCCCAACTGCAGCAGCAGCAGCAAGAACTAGAGGAAAAGGCACTCGCAGCTGCTGCTGCAGGTGACGAGGCGGGTGCAGCGGCTGCAGAAGCGGCAGCACAAGCAGCAGCAGCTGCGGCAGATGCGCTGCAGTGGCAGCTGGACAGCCGCAAGCGCCGTAAGGCGGAAGCCTTTTTCGCTGCCGCATGTAGCTTTGATGAAGATGACGCCTTCTTTGACAGGACAGGAGCACCCGCAGAAGCTGCTGCTGCCGCTGCTGCTGCTGCACAACAGCAGCAGCAGAAAGTTCTAGATGAGCCTTCTATTCGGGCAGCAATAAAATCTCTTAAGCAGGAAATCCAGAATTTGGAGGCGCAACAAAAGAAGGGCGCTACGTCGGCTGCTGCTACTGCACAAGGACCAGCAGCAGCAGCTGCTGCCGCCACGTGCAACATCGCGGCAGGAGCTGCAGAGCCGGCAGCCGAGGCAGCAGCAGACGCTGCTACACCGCAAGCTGAGGAAGAGGAAGACTGCCTCGATGCATTCATGCGACAAACCCATGCAGAGCTGCATGCTGAGGAGCAGCACAAGCTGCAGCGGCAGCTGAGCAGCAAGAAAAAGCAGTTGAAAGAATTTAAAAAGCTGCTCAGAGTTACAAAGGCTTAACGCAGAGTGTAAGGTGGGTGCGCTGCCATGCAGCCAGCTGCTTCTGCAGTGGTCTGCAATGTGTAGCCGAGGCTACAGCCTCCCCGCCGCGTAAGAGAACCACTGCAGCGATCGAACGCAAGCAGCAGATTTTCTTGCCTCAAAAAACATCCTTTTTTGGGTACTGGCAGTGCCCTTAACCCTTCTTTGCTTAATACACAAGGCTTTTCTTCATGGTCTGCAGGTGTCTGCAGACAAGCAGTTCGATGTTTCGAAATATCCTGCGGTCCTTAGTAAATCGGGTTCAGAAACGCCTACTTGCACAGCCTCCCCAGCTGCAAAATCTTAAGAGTTTTCTAAAGGTACTCCCCTTCTAATTCTTCTTTTGGTCCTGCTGAAAACCGGTAGTTGCTTGCCCATAGTTGCCACCCATGAAGCTTCAAGCACATCGCTGATTCAATGAGCCCCTTCTGGCTGTCTGTATATCTGACTGTCTGTCTGTCTGTGTGTCTGCTCTCTCTCTCTCTCTCTCACTCTCTCTCACTCTCTCTCTGTCTGTCTGTCTGTATACATATATATAATATAACCTGAGGATTCCTCATGCTGCCGATGCTAAGATTATGACTTCGGGTTTTTTCGGCTGCTGTGGCGCGAATCTACGGACCAGGTAGTACAAGGCACAGCAGCTGCAGAGCCGTGGTGGCAGCAGCGCGTTGCTGTTGAACTCAGACTTTGTTACTCATGCACACGCCTCTGATTACGAAGAGACGTTCCTAGGCCCTGTAGACACTTCAGCGCTGCGGCCTGCCGAGAAGGCATACCCCATGCAGCCCCTACGTGTCTCTCATGCGACTCCGGCGAAGCGCTAACCTCTTCGCCACCACACAAAGAAAGTCTTCTTCTTGTTGACACCCCGCCTCTTCTCAGTCTTCTCTCCGCTGCAAATGTGACTGCAGCACATTCGTCTGCACAGCGAGCGGAAAAATAGCGCCACTAGCAGTGGGATGCGCTGACACAAAGAACGTCCCCTCTCCCGCAGGTTGTTGTGATGCCAGTGCAACCTGTTGCGAGGCTGGTTTAGCCGAGAGGCGAAGGGAGGAAGGAGACTGCTGAGACCAGCAAGAGTGCAGGAATAAAAGGGTCTATACCGTAGAAAGCAACGAAAGTAGAAGGGTCTCCGCTGCGTCTATAGGTGTGTTAAAAGGCTGATGGCTGCTGCGCTGCGTGCGCTGCTACACATCAAGCATCACAGGTGACAAGGCTGCCTGCCTCTGAGCGACTCACCTCCAGCGGGCTGGGGCAGCTGCTGCTGCTGCCTCCTTATCGAAAACACGTTTTGCATCAGCAGACCGGGAGAACCAGCGCTGTGGGGGATGATGGCTGCTGACACTTTCCTCGCTTGTTGCTGCCTGCCGCACCTCCCCGCGCAAAGCGGCCGCTTTGCTGCTTCTGTTAACGCCTGTTGCTCTGCCTTCGACTGGCCTCGCTGCCGCGTCGGTTGCTGCTGCAGGGTTGTGCCTTCGGCTGCAATGCACATTAAAGAGGCAACGGCGGCAGATAGAGTGCAATCCTCCTGCAGCCCCCCCTGCTCATGACGCTCTTTAAAAGCAGAGGCGATTCTGCTTGTTGGCGACGCGGAGGTGGCCCCAAGGTACCCGCATTTGCACTGCAACGGGGAGCTACAAATCAGTAGACGTGCCGGCTGGACCTGTCGGCTCTCGAGTCTCTCACGGCTATTGGGTTGGCTGCAACTGCTGCTGCAACTGTTGCTTTTACTGATGCTGCAACTGTTGCTGCTGATACTGCGCCCCTCCGGGGGCGGGCTTTCAACAGGACAGTTCCCTGGAGAGGAGGACTCTGCGCCGCTCGTTTCTTCGAGAATCGGTGAGAGAGTCGTCCACGGCTGCTCCAAGCGTGAATGGTGACTCAGCGAACTGTAGCTGCTCGAGTGGGACCTGAGTGTGCCTCTCCAACGTGCGAGCGAATATTCCGCATGCTGGAAGCTGCGAACCGCGCCAGGAACGGACATTTTCCGCGGTATACTGACGGCGTTTCCACCCCTCGTGCTTCCTGGTAGAGTCCGGGTTGCAGCCGTTCATACGGCGTCCAGTGGTTCTTTGAATCGGGAGTCGTAAAATACTGCTAAAGTTGCAGAAGAAACACGATCTCCAACTCCTTGCGATGAATGCATGTACGGCTTTTATTAATGTTCGGGTATTCCCTTCGCGAGTGCCAGAGGGTGCCCTTAATAAAGTGTGTTTGCGGGCTCCTTGTAATACACCACAGTGACCCCGTGCCGATTCCTTGCCCCTGCTGCTTTTGGAGCCAGACCACGGACTACTTATGGAAGCACGACACCGCTATTTTTTGCAAGATTTGAGGTTGTTTGGGGTGGTTTTATCTACTAGTTACCAATTTGTTGAAAGAAATCGAGCGATCCCTCTGCACGGTCTTCTTGAGGCATTCCCTGCCTACAGCGGCATCGGTGTGCGGAACAGAAGCTGTGGTCTGGACAGCTCTGGAGTAACGTAGGGAAAAGCTGTAACGTAGCTGTCTTTAGGCTTGTCTTCCTCTGCTTTGGACGCCATGCGGTTCATTCTTCTTCACTCATTTCAGTGCCTTGCTGTTTCCAAGCACCGAGTTCCCCCAAGATGCTCGTCTTGCTTCTTCCCACACGCTCAACTGACCGCCTGATTCGCTTGCGCCCCAGCATTTCAGCGCACACAAAGCTTCTAGCCATTTTCCTGGAATCCCTTACCAGCACACATCCTGTTCGCATATTGTTCCTTCGTACGAGCGTGCTCTGCTTACCTTCAGGGTTGCTGCAGGGGGGTCAAAAGAAACACGGCGACAACCACAGGGACGCTGTGCTCGCCCCCCCTTCCTAAAGCCACAACCTGCAGCCCTATATAGGCACCCCTTTTTAGCGAAAGCTTGCCAGCAGGCTGCCGCAGCTAGCTGTACGCAGTGAATGTCGCGCCCTGACCGTAGTGTATGCACAGATTAGTGCGCAGCGACCCCACGGTTTCTCCGAGTGCTTTGGCTTCCTTTTTGATACCGGAGCCTATTAAAGAGCAAAGCAAGGCCTTCTACAGCACCATTTTGAAACGACGGCCTGCTACTGCGCTGACTGGGGGGGTTTAAGCCTTCGCAGAGGGGCAAGCAGCAAGGGCAGCCAACCACAAGAACTGCGATTTGTTCGTACTAGACGGCAATCGGCCTGCCCTTAATAGTAGCATTAGTTGCCATACCAGCCGTAACGGTGGCACCTGGCGCAGTAGCAGCAGTGGTCCCACAACAAGGAAAAGGGGTCGGGTGTCTTCTCATCGCGCAGTGCTTGCCGTTGGCGATTTTTCAGCGACTTGTGGTTCCTTAAAGGCGCTATTAGGGGTTTGCAAGCCTACGTGCGGCTGTAGACAGGGGCACCTGCATCCACTCTCTCTCCCAAAGCACTCGCACAGGGGCCCTCCTACTCAGCAGCTGAGCATGATCTGGGTTTGCGATCAAAGCTGTACCCCACTAACTTCGAGCATAAAGGTTCCATTGTACTCCTCTTTTTAGCGCCTCCTCTACTTGGCCTGTCTACGAGGCACTATTTGCAGAGAGCAGCCGCTGGATCCCTGCCAGTAACTCTCTTTAGCGGTCCAGAGGAAACAAACACGAAACTTTAAGAGGGCTGCCTGTCTCGGCAAGCCTTCATGGCCAGAGGGCGCAAGATGGAGCGCCTGCGTTCTCCGTGTGCTGTGAGGCAAACAACTAACCAAAGCAGGCCCCTAGTGACGTTTATGGTGTCTGGATGCAGCGGCTGCGTGTCTCTATTGGCTTTGCTTCTAGCTGCCCAAAATACTTTTACGCCTTTCGAATGACCTCAAGCACGCCGGTTCTTTGCATACCCGCTTTGCTGCTCGATTTTCTCTGCTGCCGACCCTACTCTGTATTTGCAGCTAAGAACTAGTAAAGGTTTGATTACTTGGTCTGTCCGTTCGTGCATGTGTATTGATTGCAGAGCAACTTTAGCTCGATACAACAAGCACAGTGTTAAGTGCGTGTGCGCAAGATGCTATGTGCAGCTAGATATGAATGCCTGGAATGCTTCGAGGGTGCACCAAAGCGCAACCAAGCTGCGCCTTGCTCTCTGTCTCTCTCTCTCTGTCTCTGTCTCTCTGTCTCTGTCTCTCTGTAATGCCGGTGCCCCTAGAAGCCCAGGCAGGGAAGAAGGGGGGCCTTATAGAGAAGCACTGCCTAATGTTATCTTCAAAGTGTCCATTAAGCCTCGAGTTGAATGTCTGCCCTCGGAAACTGTATACGGACCGTTATACAGGTACATTGAGTCCTCTTGACTACGGAGCTACTCTGTAAGCGAGGTCGTAGTGTGCACAGCGAAGGCCGCTTTGCATTCGACTTCGCTCTCTTCCCGCCAACTAATTACGCTGCAGGATTCCCGAGAGGCCCTTCTCTAAGCAGCCCCCTTCCTTGATATAGACCTCTTAATCTCCCCCAAAATACAAGACTTTTGAAAGCTTCCCGTCAGCAGTGTCTGTTCCCCTTGGGTCCTGTGGAAAGACCACCCCTCAAAAACTTCACAGTGAATTGCCGAGGCTGCTGCCTCTTCCCTTGCGTGCCAGTCGTGGTCGGTTGCTACACCCCACTTCGCCACTCGCGATTATTGCAGGCAGAGGCACTAGAACTCCAACAGCTTCCATATGCGTCCACCAATCAGTCCCCTTGCCAAATCTTGTACTGCCAAGTCAGTTGAGATGCTTTCCAGGAGGCAACCGCAATGCAGAAGACATTCCTCGCAACAGAAGCCCACCAGCACCCTTGCCGTCGTTACAGCTAAGGGGCCACTCCCCCTCTCCAAGGAGCGCAGTCTGCCCACCCCGCTGCGCTTCTTGGCGAACAAGTGCCGCTACAGGAGCAACGCAGAGTCACCGTCGGTGTCAATGGCAGAAAAACCGACTGCCACTGTGCTATAGTCTAGCGTGCAGTCCCTGCCTCCGCTTAAAAAAGATTTGACTTCCTCATAACCCTAAGAAACTCTTCTTCGTTGATTTCCCCATCCCCATCCCTGTCCGCCTCGTCTATCATCTGCAAAGGCACACACAGCTACGATGATTCTGAATTCCACATATACACATATACACACACATATAAATGTGCACACATACCTATACACATATAGATATATATCATGTACATATTCGTAGAGATACATGCACAAATGCAATTATCTGCTTCCTGTTGCTACGAGAGAAAAGCTTCTTCAAGAGGCATTATTAGTTTCTGTGCTTGAAAGCTGCTCTTTTTCTACAATAGCCTCTCTTGACCTCGCCTTCCCCGAGCTGCCTCCATGGAGCTTTGCTCCCTCTCCTGCACATGAGTAACTCCGTACGGCTCCCTGCTAGACCTTCCCCCAGCGATTCCAGCATTCTTCCTACCTCTTGTATTTCTTCATCCGAGATGTTCTCCCCAATTTCCTTCGCAACCCGTTTTAAATTCTGCATCCCATCGCATGCGCAGTCACAGTTGCTGCCGAGCACGCTGTAAAAGCAGGGAAAAGAAGAGGGCAGCACACCCCAGCCAGAAAGGCGCGCAAACGGCAACCCCCGTCCGTTTAAAGCTAAAGCGGCGCTTGTAAAAAAAGCGATCAAGGGCAAGAAAACAAGGATGCCACTGCAGCACGAACGCGCAATGCACACCTTGAACGTTATCTTGCCGGTGCCGTCGTCGTCAAAGAGGCGGAAGGCTTTCAACATCTCTTCCTTCGGATCTCGAGCTAGCTGCACGACAGGATAAACAGTATGACCCGCTGCTCTTGTAATGTCTATATAAACAGATATATGTATGTATCTATATATATATATATATAGATGTAGACATAGATATATATATATATGTATGTAGGTATAGAAATAAATATAAAAAGGGATACATATCAATATACAGATCTACATACAGATATAAAATTGCATATAGTTATAGATATCAAAGGAGGGACTGGATTCACCTGGGTTCGGAGTGTGTAGTGTGCGTGAATCCGTTGCGACACCACTACCCCACCACTTGAATGCGGCTCACCAGCACCAGCAGAGGGTCCCCCAGCGCTAACTCACTCACAATTTTTTGAGTCATCATGGAGAGGAATTCGCTGAACTCAATTGTGCCCGTGCCGTCTGCATCAGCGGCCGCAATCAGCTTTCTTATCTGTAACAAGCGAACCCACATGCATTCAAGAAGGCAGGCAGTAGGGAAAAAGCGGTGAGCATGCGTGTGCCACGCCACGCCACGCCACGCCACGGCTTTTGAATGCACGCACACTATCAGCCAGCTGTACAGACACCCAAGAAAACATCGTACTTCTTCTCGCTTAGGCTCGAAGCCAAGGGCCCGCATTGCAACCTTTAGTTCCTTCGCATCTATACATCCGGATCCGTCGGTATCAAACAAATCGAAAGCATCCCTTATTTCCTGCTTCTGCTCCTCCGTCAACTCACGGCGAGGTGGTACCCCTGGAGCTCCGCTGCGGAGGCTCCCAGGGGCCCTTCCTGCACCAGCAGGCTGCGTGCGCCGACTTAGCTGCGTCGTACAGACAACGACCACACACACACATGCACATACATACACATACACACACATACACACACATAAACATGCATACACATAAACACACATACACATATATATTTACGTACATCTACATACACACATGCGTATATATAAATATATGTCAGATCCCTCCTTTCGTACATTGCCAGGCTCGCTGCTGCTGCTCAAGTGATGTTGCCGGTTCTACCAGGGTTTCTGCTGCTGCAGGCGTTCTCGAGGGAGCCAGACTCCCCCTTCCCGCCGTCCTCCACCCCTGCTGCTGCCTCAGCTACAACTGCGCGCTCAGGGAGAGCGGAGATCGAGAAACACGCGAGAAGACGCAGAGAGGCCACACGCTGCGAAGCCCATGCCATCGATGCATGCAAGGTCACTTGGTAGCGGCACTTATCCCGGCGCTGGTGGTGCGTGCTGTCTGCAGGCAGCGTTTGACGCCTAGAAAGCGAAAGATCTGTCGAAGCGACTGCGAGAATACAAGGGAGTGTTGGCTTGTCTCACCATCTCCGAGGAAATGCCACGCGAGAGGCGACACAGCCTTCAGCAGCAGCACCACCCCTACTACCCCCGGCGGCGGCAGTACGCAGGCCCTCTGTCGGTGTTTTCCAGACAGGAGTGCTCCAAAGGCGAGTAAGACGCGAAACTCGTTTTCTTAAGTCCTTTAAAGTAACCTGAAAATCCACCCTGCGCCAATGGACTGGGGTTCTGGGAGGTGCAATGAGCCGTGGCAGCAGTAGCACCAGCAGGGCCCCCCCCTTCCAAAACCGTTGCGAACGGGGGAACACAAGAAAATGTCCTTTATTCTTCTCTCTAAAGCAAACACAGTGCAAAAAGCTTCTTTTGAATGGTTCTGAACTTCCTTTGCGGACTGGCGCGTGCGGTTGCTGCAGCCTCGCAAGCTCTAAGGGCTGCAGGTACACCGGACGCCGCAGCTGCCGTCACAGCAGCAGCAGCAACAACTTGCGAGCTGCAGCAGCGAAAACAAAGGAAAAGACCGTTGCCTCGTCCTGTTAAGGGTATTTTGATTAGTTCTCGAGTTTAGAGCGACTCCTCTACCTTCGGAACCGGAAGCAGCGGCAACACTGCGGCTCTCTCTCTTCCTCTCGGGGGACCTCGCTTCTGCGCATAGGAGGGCAAGCAGTGCACGCCTCCGTGAAAATAATGCCGCATCAACCGACACAGCGGAGCGTGGAGCTGCTCTTCTTGTTCTATCTGCGTCTGCCGCCGCAGTAAGACCTCTCCGTTTCAGCCGCTGCGGCTGCTGCCCTGCAGCAACGCGGCTCCGCAGTACCAAGTGCAGCAGCAGCAGCGGCGAAACAGCAGATCAGCCAGAGACTCCGGCAGCGGCAGCGCTGCAGCAGAAGGACCGCGCGGTGTGTCGTCATGCTTGCTGCTGTGAAGCGCAGCAGCAAGACACATTTGCATGCGCCCCCTCATGTGCATACGCATGCTCATACATACCCGCACACACCCACAAACGGACAAACGCATGGGCGTACACACATGCGCATCCCTTTCGTATTGCACGCGCAGACTTTTTGCCGTCCAAGCCACAAGCAGGAAATCCAGCTCGAATAACTGCAGCAGACAGTAGCTGCCCTAGTACATACCTACCTACCCACCTACCTCGAGGAGCTGCGATCGCCACACGGGAGTGCCCTCGACCTCTCCTCCGCATCCGATGCATGCGCCATCCTGACTAGAGGATGTCTCTCTCGGCGAGCATGCCTCTGTTTGGGGGCTCTGAGGCAGAAGAAGGCGGGTGTGCCTACTACGGAGATGCGGACTGTCCATCCTTGGCTGCCTACTTGTTGCAGTTGCTGCACTGGTGGCTGCAAGTTCTACTGCAGCTGGGGATAAAGAGCAGCAGCTACGTGGGAGCCTCCGTCTTCGCCTCTCTCTCGCGCATGCCTTCTCAGCTCCTGCAGATATGCGTGTCGCTGGGAGGCGCCCTCCTGCTCGTCCTCCTGATTTCGCTCGTCTACTGGCACTGTCGCGTCAGCCGGTACAACACCCCCAGCACTCCGAGGGGCCCCCAGGGGCCCCCCCTGCGGCACCCCGTGCATGCATGGGATGGCTTTGCTTCGGCGTCCAGCCCCAAATACTGCTGCATGTGCAGGGAGCTTATTTCCGGCTTTCTGATCTACAGAAACAAGGGCTGGGAATGCTCCATCTGCCGACGCGCCTGCCACGCAACCTGTCTCGCTGCATGCGACTCTCTGCCCTGCAAAACGCCCGCAGCTCCAGCCGCCGCGGCAGCCGCCGCCTTTTCTGCGGCTCCCGCGCTGCGACATCAACTGGTGGAGGGGGCGCTCGCTGCCGACGCCGTTTGTTGCTGCTGTGGGCTTGCATGCAGCAGCACCTTCGGCTTGGATGGCATGCGGTGTCTGTGGTGCGCGCGCACTGTCCACTCAGAGTGCCTTTCCCTCTTGCCAGCTGTCTGCGACATGGGGTCGCTCCGCCTGCTGATGCTCCCCCCCGCCGCCGTAACGCCTCTCCTTTCCGCCGCAGCCAGCCCTCACGTGCTCCTAAGGCTTGCTGCCGCGCTCAGAGAGGGGGGGGGGGTGGTTGCTGCCATGAGGGGCCTGCGCAGCATGGGCATGCTGCTGCAGCAAAGCGTCTCACGTCAGATGAAGCGCATCAATGCCTCCCTCATGGGGTCCCTTAGGAATGCACGTGGCGGCAGCGTCTCACAGCAGCAGCAGCAGCAGCAACAGCAGCAGCAGCAACAAGAACAGCAGCAACAACAGCAGCAACAAGAACAGCAGCAACAAGAACAGCAGCAACAAGAACAGCAGCAACAAGAACAGCAGCAACAAGGACAGCAGCAACAAGAACAGCAACAGCAGCAGCAAATGCAGCAAGAACAGCAGCAACAAGAACAGCAACAGCAGCAGCAAATGCAGCAAGAACAGCAGCAGCAAGAACAGCAGCAGCAACAGCAACAGCAGCAGCAACAGCAACAGCAGCAACAGCAGCAGATGTCGGTGGACGACGACGCTGGGGGGGGTGCCGATGGAGGCATCTCCGAAAGGAGCAGGGTAAAGCCTTCTCCTTCTCCACCAGAGTGTTGCAACACTTCAGCAGCTCCAACTCCTGAGTCTGCTTCTGCAGAGACGGGGGCGTCTGGCACAGGAAGCACCAACAGCGCGGATGTCGAGACAGCGGCTTCAGACGCTGCCGCTGGAGCAACACCCCCGCTCCCCCGGTGTAGCGACACCTCCAACCCTGCGACTGCAGACTCCGTTGCCTCTGCGTGCTGTTCGGAGTCTCAACAACAACAGCAACAGCAGCAGCAGCTGACGCCCTCATATCTGAACCAGCTGTCTTTGCAGCAGCACAGACCGCAGGATATCTTGAGAGCCTTGGGAAAGCATCTTGAAGGCTTCAGAGCGCTCGCTGGGGGAACCGAAAGCAGTGGCAACAGCGGCGCCAGCAGCTGTCCATACACCAGCGGCGATAGCGACAGCAGCAGCAGCAGTGGCGGATACAGCAGGAGCTCGAGTCGCATGTCGTGCTCCTCCTGCAGTCGCAGCAGCAGCAGCCACAGGCACGTGTGCCACCACTACCAGGAGCAGCAACAGGAGCAGCAGCAGGAGCAGGAGCCCTCTTCCCTGAGACTCCGAGCGATTCGCAATCGGCAGCGTCGTTCAGCCTCCCCTCCCGAATCTCCAGATGCAGCGGATGCTTCTTCTGTGCGCGATCCAGTCGCATCCCCCGCAGTCCATGCAGAGGAACGCGCCGTGAAGAGGCTTTTTGCTTCCGCCTCGAAGGATGAAGCCAGCAGCAGCAGCAGCAGCAGTAACAACGGCAAGAAAGCGCGCATCGCGCAGCTGCAGCAGGCACTGGCGGAGATCCTCCCACCCAAGGCTCCCGTGTGGCGTCTAAGAGGACAGCCTCAGAGACTGCTGCATGGAGCGGAGGTGACTCCCGTTCTGGTGTTTGTCAACTGCAAGAGTGGTGGTCAAGTGGGCAGAACCCTCTACAAGGAGCTCCTCTACAGGCTGAATCCTCTGCAGGTGCGTTACCGTGGTGCGAATTTGCTGCTGAATTTCTCCGGTGTATGTGTACGTGTGTGTGTGTCTCTCTCTCCCTCTCTGTGTGGGGCTTGCTCGGGCCTCCAGAGAGAGACTCCAAAAACGCTGCATGCACGCATGCATGCACGCACGCATGCATGCGCACCCCGTGACTGGAAACAGGCAGGAACGACTCGCCTGCGCCGTCTGTTGGTGTGGAGAAACATGCTCCGATCCTGTCGCTTTCCTTGCCAACTTACGCCTCCTGCCGCAGGTTGTAGATATCCAAGCGGAAGAAGGTCCAGAGCGTGCGCTGCATCTCTTTAGGCCCCTCGCGCTCAGAAGGAGACTGCGCGTCTTAGTGTGTGGGGGAGACGGCACTGTGGGGTGGGTTATTGATGCCATACAGAAGGTGTATCGCATTCCCCAGAAGGAGAACGCCGACTCTCCTGCGAGATTGCAGAACCTCGATGACTGCGGGGTTGCCAGCCAGAAGAAGCAGACTGCGCAGCAGAGCTTGCCTTCTGCTTCTCAGAGTAACGCCCCCTCAGCCACCACTACTACTGCAACTGCTACTGGTGGTGGTGGTAGTAGTAGTAGTAGTAGTACCCGATCGGGGGGCCCCCCCCCAAGTCATACGCATTGCCGACTCTGTCGCCAAGAAGCAGGCGAATCTGAGGAGCAGCAGCATGAGCAGCATGAGCAGCATGAACATGAGCAGCAGGAGCAGCAGGAGCACCAGCATGAGCCCCAGCCTCTGTTCTTGCAGGAGCAGCAGAAGCAGAAACAGCCTTCCGCTTTTGTGCCGGTGGCAATTTGCCCCTTAGGAACCGGAAATGACTTGAGCAACGTCTTAGGCTGGGGTATGAGTTTTGACGGCGATATTGTAGAGGTATGCAGAAAAGGCATTCCTTCGTCAGTACTGTGGCTCACGCTGCCGGCAAGATTCTGTCTTGTGCATGTATGGCGTGCCTACCTACCAAATACGTATATATATATATATATATGTATCTATATATATGTATCTATATTTCTATTTCTACATAGATATTCTGCGCTTGTTTTAGCATCTTCTGAAGATCCGGAGGGCAGTTCCTTCAGCCCTGGATATATGGAATGTGGAAGGTGAGGAACCTTTTAGGATGTTGTTGCATGTGCGATTCTGGCATGAAACACACGTTGCAGTGCTGCCAGCCGCTCTCTGTTGGTTGGAATAAATACTCCTAGATAGGCTACACAGTCAGTAGTTTGCTTGAACCCCCCCCCGATCACCACCTCTCTATTCCCACCGTCGAATCTTCTGCCTTCTGCTTCCTCACAGCTACAGTTGCTCTTGCGGCTGCTTCTCACATGGGTGTTTTTCTTCGTGGCGCAGTGTCTGGAAGCAGTGGCCGTCTTGTGAGCAGCACATTCTCCAACTATTTAGATGTCGGTGTCGCTGCTCGCATTGCCCTCAAGTTTCACAGACTGCGGGAAGGCAATCCCGAGCTGTTTCAGTCGAGAGTAAGTATTAAGCCTCCAGCACACAAGGCGATGCATAACTGTGTTGCCTTTTTGCAAACGCTTTTCAACGCTTGTGCTCCTCCAAAAAGAAGGCTTCTGGCCGTCCCTCATGCTGTTGGTCATCTTTCTAGCCGCAAAAAGGCAGTTTTGCGGCATGCATTTTGTCAGCAGGGGTGTTGCTTGCTTCCATGTGTATGTTTGTGTATATGGAGCTGTCTGTATAGCCGTCTACGTGTGTTTGTGTGTGTATATATATGTATTATGTGTGTATGGGAACTGCCGCTATGAGTGCAATCTCTTTGTCTGCATATCATTCTACGTTTGTGTGTATATATATGTATTATGTGTGTATGTATGTGTGTATGGGAACTGCCGCTCCGCGTGCTGTCTGTTGCTCCTCATCTATCTATCTACGTGTGTGTATGTGTATGTATGGGTGTATGGGAGCTGCCGCTATGAGTGCAATCTGTTCGTCTGCATATCTGTCCACGTTCATGTGTACGTATGTACTGTGTGTATATATTATGTGTGTATGTATGAGTAAGGGAATTGCCGCTTCGCATGGTGGCCGTTCATGGGGCAGGTGGACGCGTGACGCTGCTCGAGCTTCCGCTTGCCTCTCCAGAGGGCTTCTTTTCACGCGCATATGTCACATAGGATGCCGCTTGTGTGTCTGCATGGACGCTTTTCAGCTCGGAAATAAATTTCTTTATGGCGAAGTTGGATTCAGAGACTTTTTGGGGTCTCGTGCTGCTTCCCTTGAAATTCAAGCCCTTTTTTGTGATGGGCAGGAGGTTCCACTGCCGCCTCAAGGAGTCGAGGGCATTTGCATCGTGAATATTCCGAGTTTTGCAGGTTCGCTGGAGGCGTTGTTGCTCTTGGTGGTGCTGCGCTGCTTATAGTCCCTCTTCTGATGCTGTGTGTCTCCCAGCCGGTGTACATGCACACATGCTTGCATGCTGCGCTGCAATTTTTTGAGTCTCGCATGCGTTTTTTCGTGCTGCACTGAGAGGAATGGGCAGTGCGAGCCGCCGATGATCATCACGATCTTGCAGCGCAGCAGCAGCAGTCGCGACAGCAGCCTTTTGCGAGCTGCATGCACGGCGTGTCTTGCATGCGGCCTGCAGGGGGTGTCATGTTGTGGGGCGACGCGGAGCCTCAGCAGCAGCACGTGATGCTGCCTCACGAGCCACACCACTACACCAACCCCCTCCACCACCACTCGCGCATGACGAGTTTTAGCCGCGGAATCTCCTCGGATTCGTCTTCTTCAGCCATGGAGGTGGACAGACAGTGGCGAAGGCACTGTCACACACACAAGCGTCGGCGTGGTGCAGCCGCGGGAGGTGCTGCTCCTGCAGCTGCCAAAGCTTCCCGCGCTGATTTCTGCACTGCCGCTTCTGCTCCTCCAAGCCCTGGACAGCAACGAGCTGCTGCAGCAGCTCAGCTGGCTGCTGGAGCGCCTCCCCAGCCTCCGCTGCAGCGGGATGATGGCGAGCAGTGTGCTGCGCGAACGCCACAAGCAACCCCACGAGATAAGGAGATGCGGAGCCGCAGCGACGGCTGGACTCAGGAGGAAGAGGCCACACTCAGTGGAGATTATGCGCAACAGCAGCAGCTGCAGCAGCAGCAGCAGCTGCAACAGCAGCAGCAGCAACAGAATCGACGGCGGAGGCTGCAGGATCCACCTCTTTCTTCCCGCATTCGAACGCCATCGGGGGGCGCAGGCAACAGCCTGGGAGTCAGAGATCAGCAGCCTTCGACTGCCTCTCATTTGCCATCTCTGGCAGCGCGACTGCAGCAACAACAGCAGCAGCAACAGCAGCAACAGCAGCAGCAGCAACAACAGCACTTTGGCCATTGGAAGCCGCAGAAGATTGACGACGGACTGATTGAAGTCGTCGCCTTCAAGAGCCTATTCCATCTAGGCCAAGTTCAGGTGTGTTGCGGCTGCTGCATGCTCTTGCTGCTCCTGTGGTGTGTCCGCAATTCATGCTGTGTCTTCTGCTCTACGGGTGCTTTGTCTAGGTGTGCACAGGCAGTGCTTTCTATTTGTGAGCCTGTGCCAGATGAACACGTGTCTGTACTCAAATGCCTACACACGCATAGTTTGCCTTTGCCTGAGTTCCTTCCTCCCTGCGCCCTTTCCCCTTGACAAGGCAGCGTCCTTCTCCGCGAGTCTTCTCCAACAACTCGTGTCATTGCGCCATTGCTTTTGTTGCAGGTTGGTCTGGCCAAGGCTGTGCGCCTGTGTCAAGGGCGCAGCGTGTGCTTGCACGTCAGAGGATCGTTGCCGCTGCAAGTTGATGGGGAGCCGCAGCTGCTGGAGGGCAGCTGCCGCATAGTGATTACCCACAAGTGAGTGGCAGACAGCATTCGAAGAAGGAAGCGAGGCACTGCTCCCTGCTGCTCTGGCTGCGCCTTCCTGTGCCTTGACCACAGGCTGTGAAGGCGGGGAAAATACTCTTTCGAGGTCGATCGAGGGCGACTGTTCTCTGATGCAGCATGCTCTGACAGGGGGGGGAAGGGGAAGGGGGGGCCCTGCATTCCTAGCAGCAGCCGCGTTGCAACTACTGCCTCTGTCGTCGAGTTCGGTGATGGTGCTTTTGTGCCTGTGCTGCATGCACAAAAGCCTGCAATTCTTATCGTCAGCTTCTTGGGGGTATACCCTTTGTCTATCAGCGCCGGCCGCTGCGTCTGGGCAAAGGTGTATGTATGTGTTCATGTAAATAGGCTTCTACATGTTGAGTCGTAGTGATGCCTCCGCATGTCACGGCGGCTGCAGTGCAGAGGTCAGGAGTAAATTTTCAGCGCACGCTGGGTAAACACCAGCAGCTTTCAAGCAGTGTCCATACAGCCAATTGAATGCAATCCATTTGTGCTGCGTTTCCATCAGTTGTCAGGCCCCAGTTTTGGTCGCTTCCGAGAAGTCGCCTCGCATGCAGACCTTGTCCGTCGTTCAGGAGGTGAATTTCTTGCAGCGAAAATTCCTGCAGCACTTAAGCCTGATGCACTGAATGAACCCGAGTCGTTCCCCTCCTTCCTCGTCTTTCCCCTCCTTCCTCGTCTTTCCCCTCCTTCCTCGTCTTTCCCCTCCTTCCTCGTCTCTCCCCTCCCTCCTCGTCTCTCCCCTCCTTCCTCGTCTCTCCCCTCCTTCCTCGTCTTTCCCCTCCTTTCTCGTCTCTCCCCTCCTTCCTCGTCTTTCCCCTCCTTTCTCGTCTCTCCCCTCCTTCCTCGTCTTTCCCCTCCTTCCTCGCCCTTCCCTGCGTCTTCACAAGGCAGGATGTCTGCCTATAGCGGCATGCGCGTAAAGGCTTGCTTCGGTCCTTGCCGTGCAGCTCGTGTCGCAATGCATTGCCTGCATGCATATGTTTTTGCGCTGCGTGACTTTGGGGCTTTGCCCTTCTTCGGTGTCTGTGCGATTTGTCAATCTTCCGCAGGTTCTCAATAGGGCGCGAGACCGGCGTGTCATCAGCAAACTGCAGTGCGCTCAACTACTGAACGACTTCCAACGAACTTTGGGATAATGTATCGTCACCGCAAAGAACGAAGGATAAAGATATTTAGGATGTGTATGCACATGTATATATTATATATATATATATATTATAGATCTAGGGCCTAGGTGGATAGCAGGGGGTAGGTAGGTAGGTAGATAGGTGGGTCATGAGGGGCTGGCGCTACATCGTTGCATGCACACCGGCGGGAAATCTCGAAGGGGATATTTCCTTCTACAGTCAGTCTGGTAGCGTGTCGTGCGTTAGCAGTGAGTATGATGCACAGAAAAGGCTTGTCCACGAAGAGACACCACATACGGACATGCAGCACATGCAACGAGGACTGTAAAATAGATAGGCTGCAGCAGCAGCAGCACTCAGCCACATTTAAAGTAGTCCTCCTCCTGCATAGAGTCGCACAACATAGAGGACTCTTCCGAGACGCAAAAGCCTCACTCATGCTCGCCAAAGAAAGAAGCCTTCACAGGCCCGTATATATAGCCATCCCTATACGTCCGATACAACCCTTGCGGCAGCAACCCCCTCTTTCTGCCTCCACCCGTCTTTAGACAAAGCAGCAAAAGAAAGACACGTCCAAGCTGCCCTGCTCTGCGTGCCTTCCTCATACCGCACACTTCACAGCACCCGCCAACAACGGCCCCTTCCGCCAACCGTATGTACATACATAGTAGTAGTAGCACCCCGAGGGAATTTTTTGTACGGGCTGCTGCTGCGCATGCAGCAGCACCGTACGAAAAAGCCCCCCAATGCGCCTATAATAGAGACATGCACACACACACCAAAGGCCCTTCGGTGCCTATGCCTCAAGATCTTTCGGCTGCACAAAGCGCCGGTGCGTGCCTCTAGAACGAAACCAGCACCAATCAACGCCCCCGTGTTTCGAAGCGTCCTTAGCCGTCTTTTTGCGCGATCGATCACCTGCCTGCCGCCAATACTCCTTGGGCAATAGCTGAACAAGCGGGAGGCGTGCGTGGTGGGACCAACGACCATCGCGGCAGCTTCCCGTAGTTCGACGATATTTGCGCTGGTGCTGCTCTGCTTCACGTTTGAATGCCGTACGGTTGAGAGCTCACTGAAGCTCCTGTCCACAGAAAACTCCCCCCTCATGTAGACTCTGCTGAGACATGCGTGCCGCTGAGTGAATACTGTGCAGAACCTCGAATGTCTCATCTCGAAGAACAAGACCCCCTCCCCCTTCCCTCCGTCTTCTACTCGCAGGTGGTACTGTACATACACCGGCACCACCAGGAAGCCAAACGCCAACCGCAGCAACAACGCAGCAGCAGCAGCTGCACAGTCGCAGGCGGCCCCCTCGCACTTCCGCTATCTTACGACCCCTTCCCTTCAATCTTGAGCTTCTCCTCCCTCCTTGTTGCTGCCAACCTCAGATGAGGCAGCTACGTCCTCTAGAGATCCCAGCGCCTCGCCAGCAGTGCCCTCCTCCTGCTCGACTCCAGCGCTGACGGTATAGTCAGCCTCCTGAATGTGCTTGATCTTCGTCTGGCAGGCAAAAAAGTACCGACAGGGCATGCATGCATAGGTATACGGTAGACTTTGAACGCGCAAATCCGTGCATTCAAAGCCACACAAAAAGGCGTCCCCCTCCCACACCAAAAAAGCAGAGACAGGCACACGCTAACACGGCAGGCCATACATAAAGTCGGAGAAGCGCAAAGAGTCTCCCCTGTGCAGCCAGGCACCCCCTCCACCTCTGCCCTTCCATAACCCAAGCCCCCCTCCACCTCCCCCCTCCCTCCTACCCCTCAGAGCGCTAGCAAGAAAACAGAGGCAGCGACAGGCAGCAGCCAACATGGCGTCAAGATTTACGAAGGCAGAGCAACAGGGTGCAGCGCACGAGGCCATGCGCATACATGCGCTGTCGCAGCCTCCGACATACGCGCTGGCGAAGAATACGCCTGGCGCGTCTAAAAGAAAGAGGGGCGAACACCAACAGCGAGCGAGGTATACGGATGTCGTCGGCATAACAGAAAGGAGAGAAAGTGGACAAGACTGCTTCGGTAGACTGCCCGCGCTCACCTTGATCCACACTTTCGTTTGCTGCTGCAGCCTCCGCGTGTGTGTATCCCACTCAGCAGGTCGCCAGAAAAGCGTTGGCTGTGCTCTGCGCACACGTCCTCAGAACATGCACAGAAGTTGGGTGTCAAAGTCTTCCGAAAGGGTGTGCATGCGCATTCATGATCGCTATCAGCGCAGCGTAGGCAGGCCTTGTTTGACGGTCGCGGCATTAAAAAAGACGCTCGCCAGCGGTTGAAACACCCTAACGTGCGCAGCTGAGCTAGCTGTCGATACACCGCAATCGCAACACGCGCGAAGCCGCCTGGGGCCAGAATTAGACGCACTCCGTGCCAACAAAGTGCTCCATATTGACGTAATGCTGCACCAAGTGGTACCGCTGCACATACATGCAAAAGTACACACAACGCCATGCACATATATGCATGCAAAATCTACAGGGAGACGCGCACCGGTCTAACGCTTCATACAAATATACAGACACGTACATACACAGCGAGAGAGACAGAGAAACAGGCAGACAGACACCGACATCAACTGCCAGAAGAAAGCAGTGATAAACAAAACGCCAGACAAAAGGCCCAATAGATAGAAGGGTGCCTTTTCTTAACCCTGGGATTTCAGCCCCTCCGTTGTCTTTTCGCTGCACCGCATGCACTTCCGCTGCAACAAGGAGCGGCCGCAGTTACCGCCTAGCAACGAGAAGAGAGCTTCTAGGGACGGAAAAAAACTCTCTTCTCGTTGCTCTGCGCGATCCGAGCTTCTTTTGCATGCGGTCTCTGGTGTCGCTCCCGCGCACTGGCCTCTCACCATTAGATCGTTCTCCTTCTGTATCAACTCGTTTGAAACCTTGAGAAGCTCTGTTTCATCCTCCTTTCGCTGCTCTTGCCACTGAATCAGTGCAATCTCTGCCAGATGGCGGCGCGCTAACTCGAGCTTAGAGTTCACTCGCTCCTCCTGCATTTTGTGGCGTTGTGCCTGCCAACCACAAGGTTCCACATGTCCAAAAACCTACTAAAAAGCCTCTCACGGCGAGCTTCTACGGCACACAAAAACGCCAAAAGAGCGTTCCTGGCTCATAGAGGAGCCGATGCCACCCCCCCAAAAGGCCAAACAGCATGCAAAGGGGGCACTCAACAGAGCTGCAAATACCCAAGGATGAGAGAAGCGGGGAAGCGCGCGAGGCGTCCATCCACCGAGCACAGCTCTCTGCAGATATCTAGATAGGTGTGCAAATAGGTAGGCAGGTATGTATATTTGTACATAGAGATATCGACACACACACACTCTCTCTCTCTCTTGACGGCCTACAAGAGAGGGCGCCTGTTCCTTACGAAATCTGTATCGCGCTCCTTTGCGAGCTGCTGCTTCGCCTTGTTCAAGTGAGAAGACAAAAATCCGAAAATCCTCTTGTTGCGTGTGGCCGAAGTGGGGTCCGCCTCGACCTTTGGCTGAGCAGACATCCAAAACGGCGATGCCCTCACACAGGGATACACCCCGCGAACGCATCACGCACTGGATGTGGAAGACAAGCCGGGCATGCGGTTACATGGAAAAAGAGTCCACAAATGCAAAACGAAATAGGAGACAACCCTTGACACGGCACTGCATGCTGAGAAGACGGAAGTACCCCAAGTCGGTCGAGATACTGGGTGCACGCGGTGCGCAGCGCAAGGCGCATGCTTCCACGGGAGTATGGTCATGAACACACTTCAAGGCAGGGTACAGAAAGATCAGCCACGCGGTAGCATCACACTACCAGCAGCGCAGCTCTCCTCACCCGTTTCGCTACTTGAAATTCAGGGCCTTCAAAATCGTACGTGGGGGGGGAGGCTCCGCCAGCCTACACAATCCCGGCGAACACGCACAAAAGCACGAAGCCGGTGCTAGTCGAGAAGCCTCGTGAGGGAGCTACACCGGCGCAGGCCAAATACTGAGGCTAGGCAGAAGGCTTTTTCACGCACTTTTTGCTGTCTCTTCTGGCCGCCTGCTGCCGTAGCCTCTCCCGAGGCAGGAGCTGCCGTCGCATCCTCCTTTTCGCCTCCTTCTCCCGTAGGAAGAGGCCTCTGAGCCGACGGCGCTCCAGACGCCCCCGGAGTACCAGGAGGCTTCCGTTGCAGCCTCTGGTTCAAGACCTTCTGCTGCTCAACGAGCCGCTTGATTTCCCTGCGCAGAATTGCGTCAGCCATCTTGCGTGGGGAACGCTCGGTTTCTGCGCTGCATGCGCGCGCGCAGGGCCTCGAAAGAATTCTAGGAGATCCACGAAGCGCCCGTATTCCTCAGAGGGGGCCCTCGGTCTTTCGGATCGGAGGTGGCAAAGTGGCTGGTCCGTGTGTATATACCCCTTGACCACTTTCAGCGGCCAAGGAAAAGCAGTGCACACGGATCTCGGCTGAATATGGGTTCTCGAGGGTTGCCACCGCAACTAGGAGCCAAATAAGCCGCGCGTCTGATTTGCATGCACCCCGGGAGCCCCGAAGGAGGCGGCCGGAGCAGTGGCAGCAGGGAAAGCTGCCCAGTGCATGTGGCTTTCCAGCTTTCTCTTCATGCGCGAGCACCGTTTTCTTGTTATCTTTGTTTGGAGCAAAAGACCAACGGCCATTCGGACACAACCCCGAAGCTTCTGTGCTTGTGCATGCAGCCCAGCAGCAATCGCAGCGCCACGTTGGAGGCTGGTGCGCCTCCGTTAATGGTTTAGTTGGCCTTTTCCTCGCAGCAGTTTGAATCCTTTCAAAGGGGATTTCGACATCTGGTACACGATGCTGAGATGAGGCCCGTATGGCGCCTGTGCAAATTGCGTATTGTGGGAATGCCAGGGGGTCCCGGTCTCTTCGTAGCCATGCCAAGCCATGCATGAGGCTTGAAAAATACGCGCACCTACTCCTATGTAGTCGCTCTCGAATACAGCGGTATCATGCAAGATAATCTCTCATGAAACAGCTGCCTTCGAGCCCCTATGAGACACATTTGTTGCCCAGGAGGTGTCGCTCCCTCCACTAGGACCTCTACGAGAAAACGCTCCTAGCACCCAACACAAAACACAAATTAGCACGAAGTTTCCAAAGTGCCACTTCGAAAGCATTCAGCCTTCGTCCTCCCTGGCCTCACCCCTAAGGGTTCCGAAAGGTGTAAGGAGCGACAGGTAGCGTAGGGAGCTAGTAGCGGGTCGTGCTACACTTAAACGCTTTCTACCCCACAACTCATGCATATCGAAGATGTAGAAAACTCAATAGTCGTATTATCTGTTCGTATATCTTATATGTGAGCGAGTAGCGCCCGCTGGAGACAGAAGACATAATGCTGTCTCCGGTGTCATCCATGATGTACTACTCCATTCAAGGCCTTGAAGCAAGGCGCTGGACCCAAAGCGCAACAAAAAACCTGCACCACAATATAGGTCATTTCCCTGCTTGAAAAAGTCAGCGAATCACCTCTAGAGCTTCCGAACTTCTTTAGCTGCCAACACGGATAGTCCCGGGCACCTCCAACTTTTAGCGCAATCCGGAGTTTTATAAAACACAAAACTATTTCCCAAAATATATAGGGAAACGGTTCAAGCCACGTAGCCACACTAATTAGTCCGCTGCTTCAGCGTTCTCCAGTCTTTAACAGCTTGCTCTTGGGCGGATCTCCACATAATAGACGAGTCAGGGAGTGCTTGACGGCTTGGACTATATAGTGTCTGTAGGCAAATGACTTCCCCTACATAAATAGAGCCACCATTGACGCGCTCTATGCGATAGACTTGCTGCAAGAAAACTGCGCCTCTATTGATCTCAGGTACAAATCGAGGTAAATCCCCAGTTGGCGCATAAAAACATCAAGAACTTGCTGAATCTCACCACTGCCCTACTCTTCTACTCACCACAACATCACCAAGCGACGCACTCACCAACATTTTATTGGCTGGGTTTAGGGTTTATTGCACCAGCTGCGGAGCAACTGCATTCACATCAGCTTGCAAACCGGCTTTTGCCATGCCAATAAGGGATGTGGGCTGTGCCACCGTCTACTTCCATAGCCATACACATCTTGTAGACTGAAGTCAAAGAAAATCAGATTACTGAGTCACCAAAAGACTATCGAAACCAGACAACTGTTAAGGGGGACGAACCCTAGTATCTCATTGCATCCACAGCCAGTGGAGAGGCAGAGAACACCTGCATCGAAGCCAGCGGTGCCACCAAATGCCACCGTCAATCTAAGGTCTGCGTGGGGAAAGCTTGACTACATACTACATACGAAGAATGGAGACTTATTGGGATTTTTCCAAAAGAGTGTCGAATGTCTCGCTCTTCCTTCTCGTTGTCCTGAGAGTCTCGAAAGGAGGGGAGAGGGACAGTCAGGGTGTGCACAGCCGCACAGTCTAAGCACTCACAGCTGGTTGCACATAGAGCCTACCGTAAAGGCACACAGCACTGCGTCTTTTGTGTTGAGTGAGTAGTACTGTAAATAGATAATCTGTATGGACAAATCTATTCGTCGATCGTTTACTAATCTGGAGTTAAAATGAGTATCGTAGTAGAAACTATTTAAGTGCACTTTATCTCGCCACACACGAAGGATTACCATGGATAAAATGGTTGCAAACGAGGGTTTGAAGGTGCTAATTTTTACACCGACTCCGTTAAGTATCTTCGGCGTTTTCCGTCCTGTTGGCTCAAAGGATACAGTAAGACTCTACACTTTGGTGGAAATGCGAAGAGGTGCATTGCTGTCATATTTCAACAAGCTACTTGGCTGCCATCTATTACAAGTGCTTTCTTTACGCAATGCTCTATGCGTGCAACTTTCATCTTTTTGTTGCTTTCTGACCTGCCCCTTGTTCAAAAAATGAACTTATGGACGTTTATATCCGGCCGCTAATTGAAGAGGCTAGAGCTGTTTTGTTTGAAGGTTTAAGAGGTGTTTGATAAGAACCAACTTTGAGTAGCCGCTGCTGAGGGAACACGAACAGATCGGCAGAGGGCATTCGGCAACGGATAGCAAAGAAGGAAAGTAGCTCAAACAGCCGTCACAGTGATTATATTATTGCGAAATTCTGCGGACGCTGTACTCTTTTATCAGCAACTTCGGTGCACCGCATTCGCTCTGCAACTTTGAGCGCGGTTGCTTCGCTCACCGTACGGCAGCCGTCCGCCAGGAATCACCTCCCTTATGCATTCCCCCAGCTGTCTTCCCTGCTATTTTAGTGAAGAAATCATTAAACCAGCCAATTGCTGGTGTATTTCACCATTCCTCTCTCACCTCCTACTGTGTATGAATACCTGGCTACCATAGAGCTGCCCAGCAGTCATGGCCCCTCTTCCAGGACTGCCACATTTTTGGAGCATCCCGTTCAAAATCTTTTGGAATACCATTCTAATATAATGTAAATTGATCCGCATATCTGCTTCTCGATGTGCGGCATTCTCCTCCGCATGTTCTGTGGCCGAAATTTCAAGGACTGCTGAAACTTCTTTCGGCATTTCCTGCGATTTGCGGGTCTTCTCACATTCCTGTGTCTCCAGTGAAACCATTTGGATCCAGGAAACATGATCAGGGATACACTTGACAATTTGCGTGAGTCAGCATTCTTCGTCCCTGCTGCCGTTGCCAGCAATTTATTCTCAGCAGTGTCCCATATTTTTAAGGGCTTACAACAACATGGGCGCTTTCCTAAAAGTCACAAGATCCCTCAAAGGCTGATGGGCTGTGTTGTTGAGGCCATATCAGGTGTTCTGTTCCTCTCTCTGGTTGCTTTCCCCTCTTTCACCCTCGTTGCATCCACCTCTCGCATTCTGTCCAGTCATCTTCAAGCAAATCGTGCGCTAGGTGGTTGAGCCAACACTTTTGGCTCTGCTTCACCATCCCGCATCGACTCGTATCTTGGGGGAAGCGAAAGAGGGAAAATGGCTGCGGGGCGAATCACACAGTCCCCCTCTACCTGTTCGCTGCTCGCACGAAACAGGCAACGAGAGTCACCCCAACCTGTGGAGTGGAACAGTGCCGCATCACGCTTACTAAGCCCACCACCAATAGCAGCAGCAGTAGGTACAGAGTCCAGTTTTTCTGGCGCTAGTTCGCGCTCTGCATGGGGTGACACCAGCAGCCGTCTAGACACCGGGTCCATATCTTCCCCCCCCCGTAAGCTTTCAGCTGCAAACGCACAGCCAACACCACCTCCGGACATGCAGGGGACCTTTCAGTTGGGGGCGTCTATGCCTTCAGGAGCCACGCCAGAAACAACGGCTCGGTCATCAGGCTCACCCCCAGAGTGCAGCAATCCAGTCGTTCACAAATGTCTGCTAGGCCGTCAGCAGGAGATGGAAAAGAGTTATTCATGCTGCATCCCCGGTTTTCTAGCTGGAGAGAGGATTGGTAACGAGGGACCTTGTTGTGGTTTGAGCTCCTCACTGCACACAGTCGTCCACGTTTGCGAATGCATGCAACCCTATGAGCTGGATCGTGCACTTGCTGTTGAAAATCTGCGGCTGGAAAGGGTGCGGGATGCCCACATGGTCGTTTTGGGTATTGCCCAACAGTACGGCGTGGAACGAGTGTTGGAAGATGAGGATCTTCTTCTTGTGGAGTACAAGTACAACGAAATGATGAGTATGTTTAAGGTGATGAGCGGAAGTCTCCACTATAGAAGGAGACAAAGCTACTTTAAGCGGGTCACGTCGTCAATCCTACAAGAAGCATCTGCAATTCACAAGAAAAAGGACACGGAACATGAAAAGGAGTCGCATCGGCAGCAACAACAGAACCTGCAGCATCCTCATCACCATCTTCATCATTCAGGAGACGATGAGTTGTTTACGCCTCCATATTCAAAGGAACTGCATGCAGCTCCTTCAATGTCATTGGGTTTGGAGAGTTTGGAGGAAAAATTGAGTGATGGAGTGCAACAACAATTTGGTTTTCGCTCACTCGGCACTCTGACTGCATGCGATATAACGGCAGCTGACGACTCGTGGACTTTGGCTGTACAGGAGGCAAACGAGCTAAGGATCTTCTTCAGGAGGCACTGCAGCAGCACAATGATTAGTTTCAGGGTCGAGGGTACAGTAGATGCGAATCTTCTGAATATCATTTCTGTCTTGCACGAGATGGACTTGTACAAGGAATGGATTCCGTACTACTCATTCCCAGTCAAGTAAGGAAAAACACACTTTTTCATTAAGCAAATCAACTCCGAAGAATAGCGAACAAAGAAATGCTTTAGACATGGCATATGGAGAATTGAGGTACTGAAGCAGCTTTGGTTGTGTTTTGTAGATTCAACTTATGCCCCGATTTTTTACTCCTCTCTTTCAGGTTTGCATTTGTCCCTTGGTCCTAAAAATTGTTTTGCTTCCGCTCGATTATGTTCATGTACGTTCACATTTTGGTAAGAGTGTGCTGCATTCTGTTATCCTTGCCTTTGTTCGACTGTATTGTTCTGAATCGCCGTCTTACTTGCAATACATGTGCACCAATTCCCGCTGATCGCAGTCATTTTCCTCGCCTCACTGTGGCCCTTTAGTTGGGTGGACTCCTTTTCGTAGTCGGATTTCTTGTTTTTCGCGGTTGATGGTAGGTTGGGCTTGCGAGACGTCAAGAAGATCTACCAACTTGGTCGGGTTGACCAAGTTGATTTGCTACAGCTTGACTTTCCATGGCCAATGAACAACAGGTGAACTTTTGGAGAGGAGAATATAGCTAATGAGCGGCGCTATGAACATAGTTCAATGAAAGACAAAGGAAGGGAAGGAGCAGGGGACTAAGGGAAGTGCATGTGTGTATTAATATGTACGTATCGTGAGCGTCGATGGCAACAGGCGCTGCGGATAATATGGGTTGGATATAAAAGTAACGCTTTTGCACTTGTGCTAAAACCATGGTGACTCAATGCATACGATAAATTTGTATTCCTTGTGCGTTGCGTGTCCTTCTGTTCGGGCGCCTTTTGCTGGGTTTCCTTTATGAGCATAGTCAAGCTTAGCGCGTCTTTTCAGACAATTCGCTATGGCTATGGGTGGTCTTTTATACATGGCAGTGGCTTTTTGCTTCAAAAGAGATAGCATGATGAGTTAGTTTTTCTTTTGCCTAGGTTGACAGAATGCATGTTGGGACTAGTATGCTCTGCCATTTTCGTGATTTTGGGGCCTGTATTTTTCCCTGCATTTGGGTTATCCCGTTGAGGCTCACTTTCTTTAGACTGAAATGAGACTGTAGTAATCCTGTGGGGATCTAAATAGTGTGGGAGCCAACCCATCAACCATGCAGCTTGCATTCGGCGTAGAAATTCGATAAAGGCGGCATGGGATTACTCTGTATGTGCTTTGAATTAGAGATTGCTGTGTGGCAATTTGGGCCGCGGATGACCTGGACTATAGCAATAGGTTCTTCATCCGCATAACATCACTAGACGCAGGAAGCAAGAATCCCAGAATTCCTCTGGTAAGGCTCTTCCGAATAGGGGGCTGTAGGAATGGGGAGGGGGGGAAACATGTGGGCGGCAGAGGAGCTGCAGGTAGAAGATCGGAAACACGATAACAAGCAAGCCTTGGTTTGCTCCTGAACATCGTCCCTTCGATTGATTTGCTGGCTTGGAAGGAGTGCTAGCAACTTTGTAGCTGCGCTGTTGCCTTTTAAGATCTTCAGCTTGCATGTTGGCGTGCTCAGCTGTTTGTGTTGGGTTTCAATAGGAGGTGCCAATGCCGGCTAACAAGACTCTCCGTCTGTACTTTGAAGGAGCAATTGTTCTTGTACCCCTTGCCGCTGATAAAAGTTTCATCGAGCTCGTATGGACACTTGATCCCAAGGCGCATCTGAGCGAATATATCGTCAACTTCTTTACTCGGTAAATCCTGCATTCAGATTTTGCATGCGTAGATTTTGGGGTTTGCTCCGTCCTCGTGTACTCACTTGCTGATTATTTTTCGTTGCTTCTGGGTTGGATTGCGAGCTGTCCATTAGTGTGCTAATGAGTTGCCTGTCGATGCACGAATATGCCTTCTCTGCGGATGCCTGTACAGCCTTCTCGGTAGTTCTACGCATCTCCTTCCTGTCGTATATTATGTTTCCTTTTTTTATCATCCTTCGGTGCTCTCTGTAGAGTCTTCGCCAAGGCTTCATTTCACGCGTTCTGCAAGGTCTGCATTGAAGCTTCGTCCGGGGAACACGCAAAGCGGCGGGCAGCCTTTCCTTTACTATATGGCTTTGTCGCCCAGAGACTCGCAGAAGTAGGAAATTTACTCGGGCAAGGGTATAGGAAAGAAGCGTCATCAACTGTGCCTCATGACCAGCCTTTCACAGCAGAGCCCATGGATGATGAAAACAAGCCACCAAGCACCACTAGAAGTAAAGAGGGCAAAGACGGAGATGGAGAAGAAGCACACGAACAAGAATACAAGGACAGGGATACCGATCATCCGCACTCAAAGAAGTGCAAGAGCGGGAAAATCTTCCCCTTTAGGAAGAGGCGATCAGCTTGCGGTTCGAACACAAGTCCTGAACATCACTAATCAGCAGCAGTTAACAACTTCAAGCAATAGGCAAAGGAAAAGCGACCATACACCCATACAGCAGCACGAAATAAATGAAGCTTGGTTACTTCCAGGCGAGCAGCACTACCGCTTCGTGAAATTCACCTTCATTGATTTTACTCGCTCTCGCACATTTTGGGTAGCTGGTGCCGTTGTGCGGTTAGCTGGCCCCACAGCCAGCAGCTTTGTTTACTAGCCAGCTAGCGGATTCAGCTGATTGCGTTGCAAATACTGGCTGTGTGATTAGCGGGGGAGATAGGTACCTAACTAGGCAGATGTGCTTTGTGTAGCTCTGACTGGTTTGAGGTGCAATTTTTTGTTTGGGTTTTGTTTTGAACGGTCCGGGGTCCTGCTGGAACCCTTCCGCCTTTTTATTGCTGCAGTGGCTACATGCCGACAGAAGGATATATGCGGAATCCTTCACGATGGAACACAAATATGTGGATCAACCGGTTTCTTCACATTTCCTCATCACCCGACCGAACTAAGCATGTTGAAAAAAAATTATGGGTTTGCTTTGTGTGTCTTCGCACTGTCGCATGATTCTGCATTGCTGCATAAGCACGCTGAAGTTAGACAGAGCAGAATGTTCCTACGCGGCCTGGCCACCGCATAATATGCACTTTAGGGGGCGCATACCTCTGAAGGCGAAAGAACAGGCTGCTCCGGTGTTTTCCTTGATTCGTGCTGCACAATATGCTTTTATTAATACTGCCTTCCCGCTTCACAAAGCCCTACCACGGATCAACCTCCCTACAAAAATCAATCAAGTTCAGGTGTTCTCGCCTTCACATGCACCGCTGCAACATCCGATGGGACATTAATGGAGCCTTTTTGCCCGTTTAACGGAGGGCATTACGGAGAAGCAGGGCCTTCTGAGCGACCCCATCGAACCTTCAAAGGCCCCTAGGTTGCCCAAACGACTCTTGGGGGGCTCCGTACACAATCCATGAAACGCCATAGAGAATTCCCATGATATGTTTCTACTAGGGGCTGTGGCTTTCGAATGAAGATAAATGCTAGGCACCCTAAGCTCGTTCTCAGGATGCTTTCTTGTGTCCACAGTGCCAAGGTAAACAGTGAGATATGCGAAAGGCAAAGATGAGAGGCGAAATTCGAGCGAATGCGATAAAAATAAGAGTGTATACCACTATAGTTAAGCCCGTGGAAGAGTGCTGTTAGACGACAGTCTTCTCCATGGTCATCTGCTCGTAAAACTCGAGCAGCTGCAGTGTCTGCGGTATTCACATGCATCCCGAAGCACACATACTGTCCGAAGTATTGAAGCTTCAGTGTGTTAAGACAAGAGCAGCGAAGTCAACAAGTAGATGACAATGCATAAGCATCTCGCTGGGTGAACAGAGAGACTACGAGATCAAAACCATCGACAGGAGGAAAGAGAGATAGGCCACCTTTCATCAAACCTCTTTTAGAGGGAAAGCCATTAAAGGTGGACAGATGCATATAGAGGAAGGAAAGGAGTGGAAGCAATCTAAAAAACAATTTTAAAGAAATAGCGATGAAAATACTCACCAAAATGTCCCTAAAGGCAAGGACGTCCTGGGGATCGACGCGGGGCTTGCAACCGTGCAGGAGCTCGTAGGAAACTAACGAGCAAAAAAGACGTGGATCATTCATATGCTGGTGCATTCCGCTCTGAGCACAAGCGAAGGCTTTGCTATTAGTGCTTATTAGCCCACTTTTGAGTTTGGAACCTCAGCTTTTGAGGAGAGCGAATCTGTCAGTCACAAACTAAGCAGAGCTATCTTCCCTGACAGTGATAAACTGTTGTCAGCGCGGAAATGGTCACGAAAATAGAAACAAGGAATCAAGCAAAACGCAAAACATCTATGAAGAGAAGGATGCAAGCCTATCGGGCAAAGAGTCTCACCTCTACAGCAAAGTTTTCCCTATGCAGCAAACGCACAGCCAGTCCTGTGATACCCACACACAACATAGGCCCCCCAAAGCCATTGATATTAATAAACGGGTATCCATCATTTTGCATATCTCGTATGCTGCTCGGCTTCTCTCACTGATGCTTCTATGTCGTGAACAGCCTTCTATTGCCAAAAAAGTCTATGCGCAGTTCTCAGTGGCCTTTGTCATGAGCTTAGCCTTCATCAGCAATAAAAAAGAGGACCCATATATTCGCATTGTACCTTGCTTTGAGAGCTCAGAAGAAAGGACATGAGCGAGTAGAGGACCCATAAAATTGTCATACTGCATAGCCCAGCTAAAGGAACGTATAGTAGCTTGAATATTCTTAGCTGACAGCATCCTGAATAGCAAACGCAGGCTACGCAAGGAGGGACGTCCGCTTGAATAGCAGCACCAATGCACTGGCACTTAATAAGCAATGAAGAAGGGTGGATGTGCTAGGTTCTGCTGGTCCGAGGCCGACTAGAAAACATGAAGGAAAATAAAAGACTAGTGCTTCCGTTCGTTTTCTGCGTTCAACTGTTCCGCTAGCTTTTTTATGGCCTGAATTTCGTCTGTGCAGTGTAGTGGATGAACTTCCAAGCGATAGCCTTGCTGCTCGAGTGTGATCGAAACTGTGAGTCGCAGCTACTAAAACACTTAAGGCTCACTGGGTCTCAGCGTAGGTGACCCCATACATCGTAGCCTGGAGTCTCCACGGGACAATTATGCCCATCGTTTGATGCGAGGTATATGACACTTTGGCTATAGCTTCCTGCAGGAAAATTTCGCGCACGCTGGGTATGCAGCTAAGATATGAAGGAGAGGACGGACCACGAACCAACGGGCTCACCAAGTGCAGGCGAGAACAGGGGAAAAACCAAAACGCACAAGGGCAAGGTCACGAAACACATGGAAAGAAATGAAGAGGAAACTAGGCAGGGCATTGTAAAAGGAACACCATCCACTGAGGGATAAGCAAAAGGGGAAGCCTAAATCTCGAAACAGAGGGGCAGAAACAGCCGAAAATGGAAATTCAGGCACGGCCGTGTTGTTGGCTGGCACCTGTAGTTTTTCTGCAACGGCATCGGCCTTTCCGTTCTGTGTTGCTACCAGCTGAGCAACGGGCAATACCACCATCGTCGTCCTAGGCATCCTAAAAAGTACGCATAGATCAACAATAGATAAAAACGCATTCCATTTCCTCCACGGGGAACGCTGAACAAAACAAACCAAGGAAATTTTTGCTGCGTCGAGGAGCTCCAATATACAGAAGGAGAACTAGCAGAAACCGGGAATGATCAAATTATGGGCTCTATGTAGTTCTTTGGGAAGTTTTACTCAGGTAAAACCTTCCGCCATTCATCCTTCTTCGCCTATAATCAAGCAAGTAGAAATAGCACAGAGGAACACTGAAATCATGGTTGAAACCACACGAAGTTGCTGTCCAGCCGCAAGGGCCGCGTTCTAAGAAAGCGAGAGGGAGCACCAGGCGACACAAGGAGAAAGCCCAAGAGTGCTTTAAAGACATTTAGCAAGGCAGGAATCGCTAAATTGACGAGTTCTAGGAGTGCAATAGATCCTTGTCGATGCGAATTTACCTTCAAGAATTCAAGATATAGCTTCGCCGTGGAAGACTTTAATGGTTTCGTAGGATCCAAGGCGGACAAAATATCAGTCCTAACGGCAAACATATCACGCCCCTTCAGCCCCAACAAAATCATGCAGCTTTCACGACTCCTAGTCTTTTGAGTTATATCTACACTTGTGCTTCGGTACCGGAGGCTATGCACGGGCCCTTTCATCAAACTGGAAAGGTAGCGAATAGGAGTGCTAAGAACTGGAGGTTTGGTTCGCCTCGCATTCGAAGCTTCTACAAGGCATTCCATCATACAGTCGAAGCGAAACTCCGGCGATGGTTTGTTGCTGAGCGCTTGCTCCAGCGTCTTGAAAGTGTCGGACTTTCTCGCTCAGCAAAGCCTCTCCTGAGAGCCCATAACACAGCATGAACGAATTGTTCGCTAGGCGAGATTTTCATGGTTGAAGAGCCGGGGGAAAATGTGAGCGGCAGCATCAGGAGGAAACGATCAAAGACGTACTCTGAGATGGAAGAAGGGTGAGTATTTCAGAACATCTGGCCATTTTATCCTCCAACTCATCATCCTGTACACAGGTTCCGCATCACAACAGCTTCAGTATGCCACCCTTTCTCTGTGTCTGCTCCCTCGCACCTGTTGTTGCCTTGTATCCCCTTCTGCCCCTCTATCTCTTCGCTTGGGAGAAACTCGTAATCCGAAGGTTTAAGAGTGTCCCGTCAGGATGGCTGGGGGAGACCAGCGGGCAGATTGTTGAAGAGGGCCCGATCTAAATCGCGGAGAGCTTACTGGTCTCAGCTGCGAGCACACCAACACATAAATAAGCACGTATTCATCCGGAAACATCAGCAGAAGATACATGCCGAGAGACTGCACTACTGCATCCAGGGCCAAGTGCTGCTTTCTATGTCAGTTCTGAAGTGTACAGGCAGCGCACAAGTTCAGTATTGACTAAGGATTCCGCTGCAACAGATTCTTCTGCAGAAGGGGGAACGTCTGAGTCCGTAGACGAAGGATAACCCCCGGAGGAGGAGCTTGTCGGCTCAAAAGGCACAAGCATGTCAGGGGGGGGAGGAGGAGGGAACATGTCCTCAGTGTCTGAAGGCGGAGAAGGGCCGCCAGGCTGCACTGTGGACGGCGGCGTTGAATCGACCGCGGTAGGCTGGGAGATAGGCGCATCGGGTTGGCCAGGTGGCTGAAGGACAGAAGACGGGGAAGAAATAGGTGATGAATCATTTTCCGCAGAAAACAGAATCGGGAAAGAAGGTATGGTGGGCTGCTTAGTCGATTTTTCCGGATTTTCTGGATGTTCGGCTTCCTTCGCTTCAGTAACCGGTTTTCCGCTCACCTTGCCTAACGCCTGAGCAGTCTTCTTTTTAGGCTTCTTGACGGCTCCTTGCGATTTCACCGGTTGTTCTACTTCGGCCTCAGAGGTCGGTGCATCTTTTCCTTGCTGTGGGCTGTAAGGTTGCTGATGCCTTATATTATCTAAGAAGTGAGAGCTGAGGTTATACGTATCAACTGAGGTGCACAAATAGAGACCAGTACAGACCTGGGCACTCGCTTAGCTTTTCATGAGATTTTTTATGGAATACAAAAAGCAAATCGAAGCACCTATGCCTTCCGCGCTTTCACCCATTCGTGGTAGGCTAGAATAACCCTAATCCAAAGTACATTAAAATTACACCTGTGTTTTCTTAGTTATATCTGCCATTTTGACCCTCAGCGGCTACCAGGCAAAGTAACCCTCTATAAGTGAGAAAATGCGCGGCGACAAGAAGCACACCTCCTCTATCGTCTGCAGGTCTCGGAATCCCGTCACTGCCGGATGATTCTCCTGTTCCTGATGTGCCTTCTCCCTCGGAAGTTTCAGAGCTTGGCTGCTGTTGATCCTGGTTTCCTTGCTGAGCTCGTGTTTCAATCCGTTGCTTCAATTCCTGCTGCATCTTATTCCTGTGTCCCCGCGAGTGCCTCCGCCGCCTTCGTTCCCGACTCCCTCCAGGAGCTCGAGAATCTGCTCCTCCTGAGCAACACCACGGAAGCTACTTGCCATGTACGCCGACATTTTAAAGTTCGACATATTCGTGCGCCGCATCAGGTAGCACGACGCATGGATGTGCTACACTGAGACCGAAACAGCTCGCAAAGACGAGAAAACAAGGGTCGTTCCCAGGACAGGTGTCAACCAACCGCGTGCAAACCCACCACTTTGCCCTTTTGAAGCCTCGGATGAGACTTCTTTGGCCGGTCCTGCTCCTTCCTCCACTGTTCCAGCACCGGCTTGCTTCTTGTTGAGGTCTGGCTGTTTCGAGAGCTCCGAAGAAGTAGAAACAGAAGGAGAAGAAGTAGAAGATGGAGAAGAAGTAGAAGGTGCAGGAGAAGAAGTAGAAGATGGAGGAGAATAAGTAGGAACAGAAGGAGAAGTAGATGGAGGAGAAGAAGTAGGAACAGAAGAAGTAGGAACAGAAGGAGAAGAAGTAGAAGGTGGAGGAGAAGTAAGAACAGAAGGAGAAGAAGCAGAAGATGGAGGAGAAGTAGGAACAGACAGAGAAGAAGTAGGAACAGACAGAGATGAAGGAGGAACAGAAGGAGAAGAAGTAGAAGATGGAGAGGAAGTAGAAGATGCAGAAGAAGAAGTAGAAGATGGAGAAGAAGTAGAAGATGCAGGAGAAGAAGTAAAAGATGGAGGATAAGAAGTAGAAATAGAAGAAGTAGCTGATGGAGGAGAAGAAGTAGGAACAGAAGAAGAAGTAGGAACAGAAGGAGAAGAAGTAGAAGATGGAGGAGAAGTAGAAGATGCAGGAGAAGAAGTAGAAGATGGAGGAGAGGTAGGAACAGAAGGAGAAGCAGGATCAGAAGGAGAAGAAGTAGGAACAGAAGGAGAAGGAGTAGAAACAGGTGGAGAAGAAGTGGAAGATGGAGGACTGGAAAGTTTGTCATCAGACAACTTTGGCGCCTCCGCATTGCTTGTTGGCGGAGTTGTCACCGTAGCACCTTCGCCATCTGCATGGAAACGCAAACACTCATTTAAAACTTTTAATTCAGCCTTATCTCTGTTCTTGCTGTGGCTTTAGTGGCTTACGGGTAATAGTCACTAAAGAAGGCACAAATAATCAGCCCTCTCAGTCGCCGTGTGGCCAGGAGGAAGAAGCATCAAGTTTCGCCTCAAACTTATGTGTGCATTTTCTTTATTTCCTACATTCAATATGTGTACAACAGCCGAGTTTGCACTGTGACTTTATAGATTCATCGGGAGAAGGACGTAGCTCCTCTCCCCTGATTATTGAAACGTGCTCGCTTACTTAGCTGGGAGACATCTTCGAGAATTGGGATATCATTCCTCTCTTCTGAAGGAAAATGACAATGAAGATGCGCATAGGCGAGGTAAAAGAAGGCTCTTCCTAACCTTATGAAAAAGAACAGAAGAGGCGCAGCCTCTTTCGAGCAGCTGCTTGGCAGAGGTATGTGTGTGTGTAACGCAGCGAGCATCCATAAAGCGCCAGCAAGGTAGCAGCATGTCAGAGAAGGATACAGAAGTCGTGCTTTCCTATCGCCTTTCCCTTGTGCCTCCGCAGGAAACCAAAGAGAAGCTGCACTGCGCGGTCACTCCCTAAGGTGTGGAGAAAATTCCCCTTTGGAGCAAACACAAAACCCACACAGTAGCGTACCTATGGTGCAGAGCACGTGGAGACCAAGGCCCAGCACAAAGACTAAAAAACAAGGGAAGTATTTCATTGCGTGTCGCCCTTGTCTTGAGACATGGTCCAGCCGTTCCCGTTGCGTTGAACCAGAAAATTTCTGGCACAGCGCCATTTTCAGCAGCATCAATGACAGCTGCTCAAGTAGTCGCTCTTTAATTCAAGGGTATCGGGTCTGGTGTATGTTTCGAGGGAAAGTCAGATGAGAGAATTTCCGTAAGGGCCCCCGATACACAGCGGCACGAGGCATCGCGCTGACAGCTTGGCACGTTGTCGCTTTTCCTGCTGTGTTTGACGCACGTATTGGCACACACAGAAGTAAAACAGATTTATTTTTTTCGGAGTTCACTGTGAGAGAAGAGGGAAGCAATGCCGCATAGTAGCAGGGAGAGCGGCGCACGGGCCTCCGCTCCACTCACTGGAGGCTCAGGGCACGTTGATCTCCATCCAGTAAGGTCCCCTTAGCACGAGAGAAGAAGGTGGATCTGACAAGAGGAAGGTGTTAAATCGCCACTCTTCTGTTGCTTTCTTCTTGGTTTGTTGACTAACCCTTTTCCATTTACTGGAATGCCCCCAGCGAAAGCTCAACCTGGAAACCCTTCCGCCCCCTCCTACCAAAGCAGCTGCATGCGCTGCCTTCTCGGTAGCTTAGAGTGCATTGCCTGCTCATCTCTTCATTATCCTTCCGCTACCGCATTTTACTTCTATTTCTCTGTCCAGTGCCACTACCCTTCTTCTTTGCAGCCGTCAGAGCCGCGACAATTCAAAATGATTGAGGTGATCCTGAATGACCGCTTGGGACGCAAAATCCGCGTCAAATGCAACCCTGATGATACAGTCGGCGATTTAAAGAAGCTGGTTGCTGCTCAATGCGGTAAGCTACAAAAACGATAGCGAGAGAAGAGGCTGCAGTTAAGTGGTAAGACCTGACATACATGCGCGCGATAGGCGATGAGTACATTGCGCACCCCAGCGTGGCGCACTTATACATAAGGCTCTGCTTCGGTTAATCGTTTGCTTTTGTCTCTACTTGTGCTGCACAATCTCTAGTTTGCTTAAAAGGGCTCGCAGAAGACTGGCTTTCTGCGCTTTGGTCAATGGACAGAGGGCAGACGCCTCTGGTCGTGGTGTTCTGCAGACTGTCTTCTGCATTGTGATCTTTATTGCTCTTGGATTTTATGTTCCTTCTTCCTTGTATCGTTGTCAGGCTCTAGATACCGTTCCTGCCACTCAGCCTTCCCCCCTCGCTCCGGTGGCATAGCAATCCAGCCCGCGTCTCTTCCTGCTTCTCACCTGCGTGCCTCGTTCTTTTTCCCTGCTGGAATTTGAAGAATCTGCGTCCTTTGCGCTTGCTTTGTGTGCCAAGGAACTCGCGAGGACAAGATTCGCATTCAGAAATGGTATACAGTGTACAAGGATCACATTACTCTTGAGGACTACGAGATTCATGACGGCATGGGCTTGGAACTGTATTACAATTAACCGCGCAATCGCACCAACGCCTTTTTCAATATGAGCTGTGATCAAATGGGCAGGCACGATGTGGAGTGCCTGACTGCGGACAAGCCGCTCCAGGTGAGGTCTAGCAAACTCTTTTCTACTGTCCAAAGCGCGAGAGGACAGTCGCGTGAATCGCTGGATTCGAGGACCCCTAAGAAACCAGTCTATGATTTATTCTGCTTTTTCTGATCCCCGTGGCTCAGCATTTCTTCAGCTTTCAAGGCGTGCTAGAGTGCAGCTGCAGCCTGTCTGCTAGCGGGCGGATGTGGCTGATCTCGCTCTTCTTTCGTCCTCCTGCTATCAGTGCAGCAAAAACGGCCACGATCGTTTCCGAAGAGGCAATGCGTTTTCACCAGCTAAAATACGTGAAGTGCGATTCAATTTCGCAGTTCGCGCATACGTCTCCTAGTGGTTAATCGCACTTTGCTGGGTTTTTGGCGGCAGCGAAAATGGCACTCTCAGCATTCCCCGCAGTTTCTGCGTTTCCAGTTCTAGAGAGGGTTGAGGTGCATGCACTGCCAGAGTATCGGCTGCGTGCAAACGAAAGGAGTTCGCATGATACTCCAGCGTCCGTATACACTTACGCATGCGGAGGTGCTGGCATGCTTCTCATTTCTCCCTACTAATAACAACTCGGCCACCGTTACTAGCGGCTGCAGTTCCAGCGTGAACAGTAGGAGCACTGCAACTTGCCTTTCCGTGATTGGCTCTCCATAAGGGCTGGTAGCGGGATTTCAGTGTGTCTCTGTCCAGTGGCTTGTCCCTTGGCAGAGGCCTTTTAAAGGGTTTTTGTAAACTGACCTGTGTTATTCTTCAGCCACTCAGCACAAGAGCTACCATCCCCTGTTTTCCGTACAAAGCTTAGCGCTTATGGATATTTGTTTGAAAAAATACCATCTCACGGGAAGTTTCCCATCTCCCGATCCATGCAGAGGGTCGTCTAATGCGTTTTTAACGGAGGTAGTGGGGCGCTGCCGCCATCTGTCTTCGGTTTCTCTGGCACATCATGCATGGTGTTTCAAGGGGCTTTGTCCAGTGCTCTATGAGAAAGTCATGGGAATGCAGGTTCCGAGGAGATTATACCACCACAACAGCTGGCTCGCTAAAGCAAGCCGCTTCGCCCTAAAAGGGTGCCAACTTTGGGGAGAAGTTGTGTACATTGTGATTAGTGAGGTGAATTTGCTTAGAATGATCTTTCCTATCTTCGGCAAGCCTTTGGTATATCTGTACATCAAACCACTGATGCTCACAGCCTCAAGTGATCCATGGCTTTGTCATCTTCTGCATCTTACGGGCCACTGGAAAGCCATGATTGCTCCCTTTTTCAAAGAAGATATAACTTGTAACGGAGGGGGCTGTGGGGTTGACCGTTTTTTGCAACGTTTCTCTACTAAAGCGCAGCCTTTGGAGTCGCTTTGTCCTCTTTCTCTGCATGGGAAAAAGCTTTAGGAGTGAAGGCAGCAGCCCCCACTCAAGAGAAGAGTTCGCGTCTTTTCTGCCACTTGCGCTGCACGATTCGATGTACTGAAGCGCGATGTTTTGCTCGCTAAAGTGAGCCCAAGCTTGCGAGTAACGCAGCTGCTACGGTATGGAGTTTGCTGATGCCATCGTTATGAAACAGAAATGTGAGCAAACAGCAACCATTGGGTTTTCCGACCTCGCCCGTGGTGTCGGGAGCGCAAAGGGACTGCTACGAGCAGTTGGTCGTTGCAGTTTATTCTGCCACGAGTGCAAAATATGCTTTCATTATATGTGCAAGCAACATTTCGGCCTCGAGTGGAAAGCGGCGGCTTGCTCTTGTTTGGCCACCTTTCTATGTGTTTCCCTTGGCCTTTGTTTATTATGGTGGAGACGGCTGCTCCTTCCCCTCTCAGCACTGTAAATTCCCGCAAGATATCTCTTTTTCAACTTGATCCATGGGAAACATTAGAAAGCATGACATTTGGGCTCGTTTTCCACCCCGAGAGCCCTGGAGGGCTGAGAGTGCTCCGAACGCACAAGCAGTGGAGGGTCACTCAGTCCGGCGTGCCGACAACGCAGTGTGTTTCACTTTTTGTTTTCGTTTTATTCATATTGCGCCGATGGTTTTATACTTTTCTCATGGTGTGTCCTGAATTAGAGGCGGAACAAGGCCCAAACATGCCCATCCGCTTCGGCCTTGGCAGTGTTCGCTGTTGTGTGTGGCTATCCTCTCCCGACTTCTTCCTTATCTTTTGAAGGCATGGGCGCCCACTCGCCTGACAGTTTAGGGGTCTTAAAATCGCGCTGTTTTTGCACTGGTGTGCATCCGCTTGGAGCATCTGGACAGCCAGCGAGCCGTTGCAGCACGGGGACGGCCCCACTTCCGCTGCGGCTTCTGTGTTCTGATTCCTCTTTACCGCTATGCATGATCCCTCTGGGGAGCTTCAAAGAGGTGCAGCGACTAGGGGGGAGGGGGGGAAGCAGGAGCGTGCAGAAGGACTGGAAGAACGGTGCAGCACCTTCTCACCAGCCGAAGAGCAAGGATTAGAACGCAATGGGAAGAAAACGCCAGCAGTGGGCCAGTCTGCTCCAGAGGTATTCGAACAAACAGCGCAATGCGGCAGCAACCAGATCGCAGACTCTCATGGAGAGTTGGACAGGTGCCCCTGTCAGAGGGTGCCTGCAGTGTCTCCCCCCGAAGGGGTCTCTTGGCCACACGTAGGGGCAGAGCTTCCCAAGAAAAGTTCAGCAAGTGACAGGGGTTTTGAAAGCTTCAGAGCAAGGAGGAGAAGGCTTTCGCCTTGGCTTCGGAAAGGATTCTTCGCTGGAGCAACCCTTGCACTCTTATGGGCATGTGGCCCTTCTCTTCTGAACTCTCTATTCAGTTTGCTTGTTGCCTATGAGCCTTCCTCTCAGCGCATCTTCACCGTAGCCTGTCTCAAGAATCGCACAAAGGAGGGAGACACCCAGGGAGATGGGAGCCATTTTCAGGAGGTGGAGAAGTCCTCTCCTACGATTGACAGGGGGGGCCTCTTTGACGGAGACAGCGCCTGTGCAGTGCTGCTGCATCCCTCGCGATATTATTGGGGTGCACGTCCTCCCTTTGCGTCTCTCGTCGTCTTTTTGCAATCCGCAGCGCTCTGCAGCCTTGAAGTTGTCTGTGCTCTTGGTTTGGAGCCACTGCTGCCGGAACGTGAAGCAGTTGAACGGCGATTGCGGCGCTTGGGCCCTATCCTTGCTTCTCTCTCTCTGTTGCTCCGTCCTTCCTCCTCGCCCCTCCAGCTCCCTTGCGAGGAATGGCTATCTGCATGGTCAGATACCAACAGAAGAGGGGATCTGCACACTTGGACGCGACGCAAATACGCAAAAAAACACCAACACAGCGCAACCGCGCCGTTCTTCGACTTCATTGTTGTTGGAGGAGGCACTGCAGGGACTACACTCGCTGGGCTCTTGGGGAGACTGAAGCAGCCTCAATTTCAACTCGATGAGCAGGCAGCGGGGAGAAATGGAGCGCCAGACGTCGAGACAGAGCAGACGAGAGGAAACTCAGGCAGGAAGAAGCCCCGCGTGCTGCTCCTCGAGGCAGGCGGCTGGCCAGATCTACGAGCTTTCTCTTCGCTGAAGATTCCTGCGCGAACTTTCGAAGGGCAGAGAGGAGACATCGATTGGAAGCTCAGCACAACCCAACAAGCCAGTGCATGCCTTGTAGGTCCATTAGGCACGCCCCCCTACTCCCTGCTTTGCGCCTCCTCCTGAACGCCCTTGCAGCCCTTGTGACGCTTTTGCGTGTTCCGAGAAACGCTGCGCCCGTGTTGTTGGCTCGTTGTGCACTACTGAACTGAAATCTATCACCTTTTACGGGGAAAGAGTCAGTAGTCAGTGGTTTTAAGCGCTTTCTTCCTTTCTGCATGTGGCCCTCTCCCTTCTCATATGTATTGCATCCTTGTGACCAGCCGTTTGCACCCCATCAGCTCTTCTTTTCTCCTTGTTTTTCTGTTCCCAACAATACACACAGGGCCTCCAGGAAAGCAAATCCTTCTGGCCCCGAGGAAAGGCTCTTGGAGGCAGCAGCTGGTTAAACTACATGCTATTTGTCAGGGGTGACCCAAGGGATTATGACAGCTATAGCAAGTGCACGAAAGACGAGAGATGGGCGTTCAGCAATGTCTTGCGCAAATTCAAACAAATTGAACGGGTTCAATTCCCGGCGGACCCTCAGTTTCGGTAAGCAAGAACACTAAAACTCAGATCTAAGCCTGTTTCTTTAGTAGACGTACTGTACAACGTGCAGATACTCGGTGCGCATGCACATGGCTAATGGATTCATGCATTCGCTTCGCTGGAAGTGAGACAACACCCACGTTCGTTGTACCTAGTTGAATTCCTCGAATCTGCAGTAAAGTGGCACTTTTGTCGCATAACTTCGTTTTTCGCTCTTCCTGTGCCGTTGTTTTTCAACGAGAGGAACGCGCGGCGCTGGTGGATTGGATGTGTCATCTGCTTTCGCCGCAGTGGGACAGGGGGTTCCATAAGCGTGAATCTTCCAGAGACTGCAGACCCTACAGTTCTCGCCTTCCTACGGAGTGCAGAAGGCCTAAGCCTCGAAGCAGAGGAGGAAGGACAGGCTGGGAGCTCCACCGGCAGCAGCTACTATGCTGCAAATCCAGATTACAATGGAGCGAGATATGCGGGGCCATCCCTGTTTCAGCTGAATACCCAAAACGGAAAACGTCGAAGTCCTTTGGAGGCTTTTCTCCTTAGCCCAATGCTCACTGATGTGAGTGGGGATGGAAAATTCACAGAAATAAGAAGGCAGCTGGCTGTTTCACTGGTGTGAAAGCTGTTCTGTATGGTCGTTAAGGCATGAACGACAGTTGAGCAATTTGTGGTTGCTTTCGCACTGCCTTGCGCCGCCATGTTTCTGTAGATGGATACAGAGCATCAGGATGACGCTCCTTCTGTTAGCGTTGTCTTTAATGCGAGAGTAATCAAAATCATATTCGAGCCAGAGATGTCACAAGTCTCAAACGAAGCTGAGGAAGAGCGACACCGCCCCCCTCAGTACCAGGCACAAGCAAACGGGCAGTCTGCAGAAGAAATGGGAACGGGGAAGAAAAGTGAAAGGCTCATGGCAACGGCAATGCTTGTTGTAGATGAGACCCACTGCACAGCTGAAAAATGGGAGAAGGAGATGTGCGAGGTTTTTGAGGTGAACTATCTGATGCCTGGTTTCCCCACTCTTTTAGCGTTTCCTCTTTTATTGAAACGTAGCTGTTATGCATGCCGGAGAGAAATCAAATGATGCCTCGAGTATGCTTGTGAACTTTATAGGAAATTCGAGATTACTTAAAACACCATTTCCTTTCTCTGCGTTTTCAGGTCCCTGTTAAAGGGGAATTGATTCTTACTGCTGGCACCATCCATACTCCCCAAATTCTTCTGCAATCAGGTGCTCTGCTTCTGCCCACCATTTCAAAATCTGCTGCTACCCGCTGGAATTCATACTTGCGCACTGCATTATCTTTCATAATCTATATGAAGTATGTGAGTGTCTGCACTAAGTGAAAAAGGGCGACACTAATGTGCAACGCTTTATAGAACAGTTCAGCGTCCTCCCAGTTCAAATACTTACAGCACGCATGTTGGAGTGATTTGTTTGATTGCCTGTGTTTCTGCAATGCGTTTTGATTAGCTGGCTTTTCGTGTGTAATGAATGAAACTTCTTTAACATGCCGCACAATATGAGATTTTCATGTATCTTTTGGGAAGTGCGAATGAGCCTGCAGGAGTCGGCGACCCCGCTGAGCTAAAGAAACTCCGGTTGGAGCCGGTACTCAATATTCCAGGGGTCGGTAAAAATCTGCAGGTGCGGCACTGACTAGCTAGCTTGTATCAGAGTATTCCGCAGTCGTTTCTTAAAGTGCAGGCGTGAATAGATGTGGATTCATGTCGTGAACCTCATGTTCTGAGGCTTAAAGCCGTTGAGTTTAAATGTTGGCACATTTCCATGTCAGCCCTTGGTCGCGGGAGGCTGCCTTGCCGTGCACGTGGTTGTTGCCGTTGCGCTTGTTGTGTGTTTGCTATTAACGTTTACTGGGGGAGAAAACTCTTTCAACTTGCATGCATTTGTGTGTTGGGTGTGTGCACAAGCAGGACCACGTGTTTACCCCGCGGACCTTTGTGCTGAAAGACGAAGTGAACTTGGAAGAATTTGCCAGTACATTTCCCACAGTGCGAAGTGGCGAAGATGATTTTGCACAGGTTTGTCTCAGTTACTATGAGCCGATATACAACACAAAGTTCACTGTTTTGCAACAACTTGTTTGGGGAAGGGCAGTGTCAGCGGAGTAGCATGTGGAAAGAAGAGTAACAGATGAAAGAGAGCTTGACATACACATGACGCGAAGCGAAGAGGGTCGGACGAACACAGCACAGTACAGACCAATACAGGGGATACTTTGCTTCAGCGCACCAATTGTCATGCGATGAACTGGCTGCTGGCTACAGACTGAGGGCGACACTCATGTAAAGCGGCTTGAGAAGTATGCGGCCTTATATGGCAGCGGAGTGTCACTAGACATCAACGCTGAAGGAGGCTGGCAGCCGTTCTCTTCCACAGAGGCCGGAGACTCTCAAGAAGCCACACATGTCCAGAGAACGTCAATTTCAATTAAAACAGCTAATGAACTAAGGGGAACCCAGCTAGGAACGATCTGGAGATATCTAACCAAGCAAACGGGACTCCTAGCTTCCTCAGGTGCAAAAAATCTCAAATATACACACATTGCAAACCGGAATCTGTAGAGTGTACGACGGGTTCTTATCATCCCTTTCGTATCGTTTCCATCATTCGAAAGCGAAGTTTGCTCGGTGTAGCAGTGCTCAACACCTGTAGAGACTCTGAGAATCACAGAGTGACGCAGTTCGCAGCAAATGCGACAATGAAGCAAACAAATTGGGTGGGTGGGTGGCTTCAGGGGTCGAGGCGCACGTGGTTTCTGAGCACTTCAGCTCTCTTGAAGATGAGGAAAATGAGAATACAGGGCTGCCCTCCTCATGCCCGCCCGGAATTCCCCTTCCCGATATTCAGCTTCATTTCCTGAACGGTATGCCTTTACACGAAATTGTCGCGTCTCATCGCGTTTTCAGATTGATCAGCCTTCTTTCTTTTCTGTATGTGCATCTACTACAATAGGGCTATCTGTTCCTCGGTTTCTCTCGCTCGCTACCCCATTGCATCCTGTACAATTAACCGAGGTCTGCCCTGGTAGCGCTGTTCCCTTCCCATCGCCCTTCTCTTCATGTCGCTTCTACTGCGCAGTGATACCCCTTCAGAAAACATTGCCTTAAGTTGTAGGTGTCACTGCATATGCGCGTGTATACGTACATTTTTCGGCATGTTCATTCTTCAGCTATGCCGGACGCTGCGTTTATGAAGACGCGTTTAAATGTACCCGATTGGTTTCCTTTTATTGTGGGGACGCCTGAAGACTGGGGAAATGCATATCATGCTCCCAAATTGCATGGGATCGTGATGATGCCCGTATTGCTGCACCCCCGATCTAGGGGTACAGTCTCCTTGGCTCCCACCTCGATTCCGCCGACTTGGTTTCTTGACGAAAAATCCCAGAAGGACGCAGAGGGAACGGTGTTCGCTAATCCAATCAGCAGCCCTCAAATTGACCCGCAGTATCTCAGCAACAGGCGGGATGTAGCGGCTCTAGTAAAAGGTCATTATGCACATAAAAATGCACGGAAACAAGCACCCAGTTCTCCCTCTGCACCCTTCTCCTGTGTTGATATGTTGTCTTCCCTTGTTTCTCCTCGAGGGCCTCAGCACCCGCGACTCCTTCCACTGCCTTTCCTCTCCAAAAGTCTATTGTTGTGTGCAGGTTCCTCTTTACTTCGCACATGTGCCGAGCTTCTTTGTCTCTCTCTTTTCTTCCTTCTTGCTCCTCCTGCCTTCTGTTCTCGCTGTTCATCAGTCGGCTCCATCTCCCGCTGCTCCATCATCTGTGAGCTCCTTTTATGCGCACAGGCCTTGGCATGGTGAAGGCCATTGCGTCTTCCAGGCCATTCGCCTCGCTCATTAAAAAGGAGATGGTGCCTCAATGCCACCCCGAGGTGTTTCGCAGAATATTCGTGCCTAACGATTTCACGGGAGATGCATACGTGGGCGTGGACAAAAGGGCGCCTCAAGGGGGTGCCGTCGGTGACAATAATCGCCCCAAAGAGGGCCTTGAGGGATCTCCCTTTAACGAGTCCTCTTGTGATTCTGTGGATTGCGCGGAGGGCATCCTTTCTTCACTCTCTGCTAAAATAGCGGCAAAGTATCCAGAGTTGGCCGCAGTAGATCCTGTGTTGCCTCGTGTATGCGCGTTGGCAGTGGCGCATGAGCAGGGACGTATTAGTGACGAGGAGTGGGCAATGGGCTTTGTCCGGTTGTTTACATTGACGCTTTACCACCCTGTTGGCACCTGCAAGATGGGAGTAGCTGATGAGGCTTTCCTCAAGACCATGGGGAGGGAAACCGGAGAAGGAGCCGTACAGGGCGCAGAACAGACAGGCGTTGGAGCTGCAGCTAAGGGAGGCAGTAGTAGCGATCACACGGACGCCCTTGATGAAAAAATACCGAAGAACACGCAGACAAATGAAAGGCTCGCAGAGAAAAGGGAAGATGAGGTGTCTCTTCCTCCTGCATGGTCTGCAACGGCGGTAGTGGATGGGTCGCTTCGTCTGTGTGGTGGCTTTTGCGTGGGAAATGTTTCCATTGCAGATGCCTCGGTGCTGCCGCATCTCCCGTCTGGCAACACCCATTTGCCCGTGGTGCTTGTAGCTCATGTTGCTGCGGAAGCCCTGAGCGAGCGGTGGCTGCAGGGCTAGGCGGAGGACAGCGGGGGGTAAGGCAGGAGAGACTGCACGCGCCTCCTGGTAATCTTCTTGGATGGTTCGATGTGTCATTGGCGGCGCCTCATGATCGCAATTCCCACGTTTCTTGCTTTGAAATGCAGGAAGCGATGCGGCGAGATGTCGATACTGAACGCGCTAGAGCTTAGGCTGCTAGGTATACGCACCCCCGGAATGTAGCATGAAGAGGCAAATGCTCTGATCAAGCAGGCGCATTGGTTTTGGGCGGAAGGGAAACTGGAACAGAGGGGACACGGGCAGAGATGAGGCTTGAAGGGCAGTCAGGTTCAGAGATAGAGTGTGCATGAGACAGAAAAAGAAAGGGCGAAAGCAAGAGCGGCGTATTGGCCGTGTCGGCCCTCTCGTGTCTGGCCCTCCCTGAGCACGCTTGCTGAAAGGCTGCCAACCAGCAAACCTGCATCCCTTTGCGTTTCTTGGCAACTTGTTTGTCGCCATCTGGGCCGTTAGCTACACCCGGCTTGCTTCCACAGGCAAACCGCAAAATGATTTCAGACGGCGAGACTGCCTGACTTCTCCGTGCATCTAAGCTTTTTAGCGAAAGCCTTAAGCAATCGTGCACAGGGGGAAAAATACCAGGTCTATACCCAAAAGTGTAAATTCTAGCGCCTCAAGCATCCAGTTGTGCCGCATGGTGAGCTTATGTTTTAGATGTCGAATTGTTCGTGCACGCCCAACGATTCAGCGCGGCAGCCCAGCAAGGCAGGCAGGAGTTTTTAGAGCAGTGGCTACAAGGCCTTCTATGGCTTCATCTAACCCTAAGTACCCCAACTAACTGACCACAGATCCCTAGAAATCTGTTTGGGAGTCCCGTGTGCTCTACGAGTCAGCGGGCTTTTCTTCCTTATACTGCTGCAACAGCATATCCCTGGTTTCTTGCTGACTGTACAACCCGTTACAATGCCAAAGCTTCCACGTCCGATCAAATCCCACGCTGGCAACGACGTCTCCGCCACCGATGCCTCTTCTTTCCTCCCCGTCGTAAAGCGTGTCCTTGTGGGAGTCTTCCTTGGTGGAGCACCCGTTCGCGTGTTCTTCTTTGACTTCTTTATGCAACGGGGAAACACCTTCGGCGGAGCCGCTTGGGAAGGCCTGCGAAGTCTCTAGGATGTCGATGCCCATTACCTTCCCGTCATGAGCGGGGAGGCTTTTCTGCAGAGAAAAGTCCGTGCAGGACCAGACCTTCACCAGCCCGTCGAAACCCGAAGTGTATAGACACCGCCCACTCCCTGGCTCAAAGATACACTCCGTGATCATCTTAGTGTGAGCGGGGATCGTAAGCAACGCCTGAGAAACACAGGCTGCTGCGGAGGTTCCCTTCTCTGCCGCAGCAGCACGCGCTGCAGCGGACGTTGTCGCAACTTTGCGCAAATCCCAAAGCTTCACGCAGTTGTCATCGCCGCCGGTGACCATCCAGTTGGCACACACGGGGTGTACAGACAACGCCACCACTTGCTTTACGTGCGCGGCAATGTCCACCACTCCCCGTCCCACTCGCAGATCCGTAACCTTCACCAGTCCCATTAAATCGGATGTAACTGCCAGCGACCCGTCGGGATGGAAACATAGCGCATACACCGCAGCTGAGTGGCCCTCCTGTACACGCACACATGCAAGCAAGCATGCCCATATGTGCCTACACACATCTACCCATACACCGCATTAGCCCCCCGGGGGTGAACAAGCCGCCGCGAATCGCCGGCTCCATCTTCTACGAGCACGCTTCCGAAACTTCCAGAGAGGAGAAGCATTTGTACACGCAGACATGCAAGCGTGAAAAGAGCTAAAAGGTGCCACGTATCTCCCAATCAGAAGCCCCTCCTGCCCTGCCTGCAAAAGAATTTCTTGTCTTGTCTCCACGTCCCAGAGTCTCCATGTCTCGTCATGCGAGGTAGTGGCTAGAGAGCGTCCTGCGAGGCGCATGCGCAAACAGAGCATCAGGACGGCTCTCGTGTGGAGGGGTATCGCCACATTCTTCCTAATTGGGCCTAATTGCACTGTCTCTTCAAGCGCGTCGCTTGACACATCAGCGCTTTGCCAAGAGGCCTTCTCTAGCCGTGCATGTTGCACACACCTGTAGGGTGAAAAACGACTCTATTGACTCGTTCTTCGTGGCCTGTTAGTTTGCCGACAAGCAGCTTCGCAGAGGCAGCGGACGCCCCCTGCAGTCCACACTTCGCCGCCCTCCCCAAATCCCAAAGGCATACTGTGGCATCCGCAGAGCCACTGGCCAGCAGCAAACTCTGAGCAGCAGCAGCAGCCACCAGCAACACACACACAGGCAGCAAAAACAGGCACTTCTCTGCAGCTGTGCTGCACACGCATGCATGCGACTCGCAGCCAGACTGCAGCGGCCACCTAGGCGGCTTCACGACGCCTCCATGACCAAGAGTGCAGAAACGCCAAAGCTGCAAAATACGACGACGCGCGTTCCCAGCGGCTACTCTCCCGTCCCTCCAGCCTTTCCGCCCCCATGCAACGACACTGTTTGTTCACGTCTTTCCCCCCTACCCCCCCCTATTCCCCCCACTATACACCATGACGCACATCGCCACCACCCGCCTGAGGAGGCGTCCACGCAAGGGAGTGCACGCGAGTCTGGTGCTGCTTCAATTGCAGCAGCAGACGGCCGTCCGAGGGCCTCCATATCTTTACACTCTCCCCCCAAGAGGCCGTCGCCAGCAGCGTCTTGCTTCCGCCAGCAAATTCCAGCTGCTGCGCCTCTTCTTCAGCCCGAAGTGCCGCCTCTCCCTGCGCAGCGCCTGCTGAACCCCCACCTCTTGCGTCTGCCGCTGCGATTTCCGCAGCAAGCGGAGAGGGCGGAGAAAAACGGCAACAGGTAAGGGGCCGCTCATCGCCGACAATTGACGCGGCCAGAGACATTTTCTGCTGAATAAATTTATTAAAAAAGTGCATATCTAAGATGGGGCTGCTGGGCGGGAGGCACGAAAGACTCTTCTCCTGCTGAAGCTGTTGCGCGTGCTGTCTGTACACCGTCTCCCTCCGCAGCCGCTGCTGCGCCGCCTGACCGCTCGCAGCTGCACAAAGCTTCCTGAACGCCAACAAGGCGGGCTGCCCCTCGGTATAGAAGGTCCCCTCAATCTCCTCAGTGACCTCCTCTGCCTCGGCAGCCCCCGCACCAGCCTCCGCCTTCGCTTGCTGCTTCTTCACGGCTATGATCCGGGCAGCAGGAGCTCCCAAATGCAATGAAGGCCGCTGCGGCGCATCAACACCTGCCGGGATGGTTCGCCCCTCCGCCAACAGCCCCTTAAGACGGGCCCTCCGCTCGAAGGGACCCTCTCCAAAAAGTGTAACCGGCTCTCCCATACGCCTGTTCAACAACATGCCAAAAGAGATATATAAATATATATATACAAACCACACTACACAGAGGCAGGAAACGCAAAGGCGGACATGGGAGGTACTCACGCCTAGACAGCTCCTTTCAAGGAATATATATATACATACAGATGTGTATTAATATATACATATATTAATATACATAATATATATGCACACGCATGGGCACCTCCAAAGCAGAGGCGCACTCATATATTAAGCCGCGAAACCAACATTCCTTCTTCCCCCCGCAGCCATCACCACCACCATACACCCGAAGTGTGCATACGAAGCTGCAGCCCAATCCCTTTATGCAAACATCCACGCATTCCCGTGAGGCCACCCCGAGCTGAATACCATGAATTTCCTCCTACCTGAGAGCATCTCGCACATCCGCATCAATAGTTGGAGCTGAGGTTTTGAAGGACGAAGCCGTTTGCTGAATCTGAAAAGCTTTCAGCTTCTCTTCGTGCTGAGCCACCGCTGCATCCATCTGCACTCCTGTTTCGCCATCCTGAGGGCTCTCACTAGAGGGCAGTGGTCGATCCTCGGAATCCGAGGGCTGGAGCTCCTGGGGGGCCTCTTCCTCCCGCACAGCGGCCGCAGTAGCACTGGCGGTTTCTGTGATTTTCCCATAGTACAGATGACTCTTGGTCTGGACACCACCCCGCTCGGCGTCAGCAGTGCCAGGCCCTGAAGAGGGTCGGGGCCTCGATTGATCTGACATTTGCCGAAGTATGGATGGTTGTGTGCAAGTTCGTCTTTTAGACAAGCGGACGACGGGGGGCGGTGCAGATATGGCTGCCAGGGCAGTGCGAGGAGGTTAAGAAAGCCGATGGATGGATAGAAGAGGCTAGGCGGATGCCTGCATTGTGAGCTATTTAATACTATATCTCATGAAGAAAAACCGGCCGCTGGCGTTGGGGGCCCTAAGAGGGCCCTGCAGAGACTTTGAGACTAGCGGGATGAAGAGCATGCGGTTCAACGCCGAGATACCCGCGTCTATATGTCTTCGATTCATAAAGGGTAAAGGGACAAAGGAGTAAAGGAAGCCGCAACTGGGGCGCTGCAACCCGCGGTTACCCGCGAGTGCATGCTACCGACAGCCCCAATGGCAGTGAAGAAAAAGAGGATCTAGAGAAGTTTTCCTGCGAAGTACGTTGCGAATAGAGATAAATAATGCGTGTTTCAAGGCTGTTCCTATGTGGAATGCTTCCTGAATTCTCATCAGAAGCGGGAAGCTTGAGGGCCAAGTGTGTTCAAGTCAGCCTAGGAAAACGGCTGTGAAGGGTTGTCCTGTTTCTTTTTCTTCGACATTCACCATGAGACACTAAAGACCATGCAGTATGGCCTGTGAAGTGCAGCCAAATGCCAAGACTTCTGCTAATGAATTCGGCCGCGGCTGGCACCGCCGGATTCAGGAAAATGAACGCCTGGCGTTGCAGTGCGATTTGCAACGGCGGGGCCTCTGCCTTGTTTCGGCGTAGCGATTTTCTTTGTTCCGCTTTCCATTATTTCTGTTGTGGCCGGTGGATCACAGCTGTCTGCCCCACCTCAGCATGCCATTCTGCGGCAGCGTCCGGAGAAGTGCTCAACGACGCACCCAGAAGCAGCTCAAAGCAGGCACTCCGAGTCCATCAAAGCCTCGGGTTAGTTCTTCGCCTTTCTGGTCTGCGTCTGGCCAAGGCAAGTTCTCCTAGTGTCTTTTCGCGCCTCTCTGCCTTGTCCCTGTGGCTGCATGTCTGTGTGGAATGTGGTACTGAACTGTTCTACTCGATTTCGTCGGGTAATTATGTTCATTTTGATGAGGCAACTTGTGGCGCATGTGTGCAATCATATAGTTTGGGAAGATAAATGAAGCCAATTTTCCTTGCCTAGGAATATTGTAAACAGAAAAATCGTTCTGTGGTGCAGCTACCGGACCTCACGTTTGAGCTCACTGTGAGAGTAGAGCAAACACTGAGTACTGCGTATGCCTGTTTGTTCCAGATGGGACCGAGCAAAGGCAGAGGGCCTCTAATTGCAAAGTATGCCCCTGCTGGATTCAAGAAGGGCTTCGGCGCCGTTGGTTTAGGCAGACACACGAAGAAGGGTAGGCCCTCGAATGCAATGAAGACCTCCCGCAGACATTTAGTGAACAAATGATGAGGCCTATTGAGGACTCATGCTTAGAATTGATTAGGTACAGCTTCGAGAGCTTGCGTTTCTTTGACGCGCCCCTGGTGGAGGTGGTTTCTGCATTCTATGTGGACTGACCTCATTCTCTGTATGGCATGCAGGCATTTTAGGGACCAGTGACAAACCTGTGCGTTGCGCCTTTCTCAACATGTGCATCGCTTTCGTGCAAATTCGTAGTGTCTGGTGCTTGTATACAGTGGCCAGGGGACGTTCTCACGAGAGGTACTGCTTGTAGACGGCCTGCCCGCCCTCATTGCATGCGTTGCGTTGCCCTCTCTCAGGTTTCTTCTTGATCAATTCAATGCTAGTTCCTAAATTTCATGTCTCAAATTTGGAAGGATGTGAGGTACGTAGTTTCACTCATCGTTTTGTCCACGAAATCATCTAGCGTAGTCCTCACAAGCGTTGAGCTGTTTCATGTCCTCTTCTCTCAGCAGACCACGCTAGTGGTTGCCTTGTTTTAGCGTTTCCCTAGTGGCCGCTACCATTCTAAATCGGCCATCGATTCTTATAGAACGTCTTCAGCCCTCCGTTCCTTACTCTGGATAGCCCTTTCCCCCCTTCCCGCCTTTCCTCCCCCACGAGAGTCTTCGGTCTGTTTGGTCTGTGTGCAGCTCAAACCCTACGTAAGCCCCGAAACTTACAAAGTCGCGACGCAGAAATTCTGGTCTGCCGACCTGGACGACTAGCCTGACTTCCCCATTCATCATACGGCTTATTTTAGCAGTTAGAGGTGTAATGGTGAGGGATCGGGAGGCCTGCGTCTATCGGCTGCACAGACACCCAGACGCCCACAGCCTCGGCCGTAGCTGCTTAAGGGCTGAGGCCTAACCGCGTTTGCTCTGTTTCACTGGCTGCGATTTGAAATGTGTAACTGCATATCTGCTGTGAAGCTGAAAGTGAGATCCTTCATCTGCAGGGTCCTCCCCAAAAGTACTATTAGATGAAACCGTAGCAGCGGATGTGTGATTAAGCTCCTAGAGTTAACGATTACTCTGGCACCTCCTACCACCTCCAACTATACATGGTGGCCTCTCTGCAGTAGTGCTCGAAATGCCGCCGGGCTGCTAAAGCCGGATCAAACTCGTTATCCCAGCCAACTAGGTGCCTCTTAGTACGTAACCTGCCCACTGTATCCCCCCACCTGATGGCCAAACTCTAATAAACGCCAGGAAACTGCAGCTTTCCGGGGTCACGGCGCCTACGGCAACGTATACGTATAAATCAAAGAAAGTTGAAGCGAGCACCACCGGCTGTCCGCGACTTAATTTTTATCCAGGAAACCTGCATGCTAACACAAGTTGAGGGAACTGAAAGCCCTTGCTCCTTGTTGGCTCTCTCAATGCGTGGACGCACATCCAAAGGGGAAAGGGGCCACAGCAGTGAGGGCTGCAGCGTCCGCTTTCGCACGCTTCCTTGCGCACACCGTCTGCCAAAGAAAGGGGAAGTTGCAGTGGCCCGCCTCTGCGACGTTTTCGAAAGGCAAAGAGTACACCAAACATAAACTGGTGGGCATCTTTAAGGTGCTGTTCGCACAGGAAGCCCTGAAGTGTTCAGAGGTCCACGGGTATATTCATGAAGCTGTTGTTGCAATACTGCTAACTGACTTCCTTCGGGGCCGCACGTTTGCTTTCTTGACATTGCGTTCCCCCTGGCTTTCATACTTCATCCACTCCCCAAAGTGCCCTCCTTGCCGATCCTCTGCTTCGAGTTCTGGCAACTCTAGATCTATTCCCATTTCCTTGAGAGTCGCCAATTTTCTTTTCATTCTCTTTTCTACAGCCTTGATCTCCCTAGCAGAGGGCCGCTGATCTTCCGGTTTGTTATGCTTCGCGGCGGCGATCGACTGCCAATTGATGTGTCTAAAGGGCTTATCGCAGTTCTTGAATACGTGATCTTCGACCTGCCCTTTCTCCATCAGGCGGCAAACAAGAGTTCGCCCGAACATTCTGTATTTGTCCATGGCTTTCGCTGCAATATCAGCCACTTCGCTCAGCGCGAATTCAACAAAGGCATACCCTTTGCTGTGGGCTGTCTTCCGGCTTCGAAACAGCCGCACTCGAGTTACTTCACCAAATTGACCAAAGAAAGCCTTAAGCTGAGGCTCTAGGAACCCCAAAGGCAAATGGGCGATGTAAATTACCCCCCGTTTCGCTCTTGCTTGTCTCTCTCTTCTAGAGAGCCTGGCAGGGACACGCACTTTCGATTTAGCAGCGCCTATGCGCTTTGTCTTCTTCTTCACACGCTTCTGTGATGCCTTTACACGAGGAATTTCACCTTCATCGCTCCTCACCGGCTTTATTTCTGTACTCTGTCGAGGGCGCTTCTTAAGCTTTGGGTCGCTTGTCCGCCCGCTCTGTGATTCAGGTGGGGGCCTCCGCGCCACTTTCTTCTTCTGCGTTCCCTTCTGGCTCGCTTTCACCGCACGCGACGCACCTCTATTGTCTCCCCCTGATATGCGCTTTTTAATACCCGTGGCTTTCTTCTTTCCCGCGGCCTTCTTGGGCTTCTGACTGACGCCGCAGGCCTTCCCTGAGGAGGCATCTTTGCGCTTAGCTTGCGCCGCCAGCTGCGATCGAGGGGCCTTAAGGTCCTTCCCCATCTTCATATGCGTGAGCCAGTTGTGTCTGGTGATGGCTTTCGCCGAACGCGCCAGACTCGAGCACCTGTGAAAATCCAGAAGCCGTGGCCGAGGGTCACAGACTCGCGAGAAAAATGGAAATTCCTCCACGTCACTGCATTTATGGTTGCCGCTAGAAGCCCATAGATCCAGAGGATGCAAAAAGCCAAAACCTTGTAGAAGGCCAGCAGGGCCACTGGGAACGAAGGGAGAGACTCACCGAGCAACCGGTGCAGCAGAAGCACGGGCAGATCCCCTCCGTGAGTATTCCTTGTTTTAAGGATTGGAGAGAAACGGAAAGTTTGTTAGCCTGGCCTCTGTTTCGCAGCTGTTGGGAACCGCGGGTTAAGCACGCGCAGTACCACAGGGCCCCCCACGGGGGCTGCAGCCGGAAACCCCGCAGTAGGAACACTCGTAAACTCCACTTCTTTCATTAGTTTGTCCCTTCTGCACTTTTTATACACTTGAAGTCTTCCATCACAACGCTCACCATGTCTTCCGACGGCGCGGACCCCGTGCAAATGGCCATCGTGGAGCTGCTGGGGATGAGCGACATGTACAGAAGGTACGGTTTCCGAACAAGCAGTCGCCGGTATCCCTCTTAAATAGGGAAAATCTCAGAGGATCGCTGCAAGCGTAAAGCCGCAAAGCGGCAATGGAGGAGGCTGAGTGTTTTCTAAGGGCCTGAACTATTCCCTGAAAGTGCTCTTGTCAGTTCTTGCCCTGTCCGCTGCAGGATGCAGGACACATGCTGGTCCCGCTGCATTCCTGGAGTGAAGCGCGACAGCCTGGACGCAGGAGAAAGCAGTTGCATCGACAGATGTGTCAACAAGGTGAGCCAATGGCCTCTGCCAGCCCCCGATTACTCACGCTCGACTATTGTATACTCGGAAATACAGCAAACACTGAAGCCTTCAAGTTTCATTTCCCACTGCTGCTTACATCTCTCTTGATCCATCGGTCTAAGCACGCCATATGATTGGCTGTTTCCGTTGTGGCTGCGCAGTACACTGAAGTGCACAGCAGCTTGGGGAAACAGCTGCAAGAGTCGATGCCTCAGAAATAAAGCCCCATGGGGTCGAAGGACTACTGCGAGTTTGTCAAATGTTCACGATGCTAAATCCTTGAGGATTGGCTCAACCGGGCGCACTGTCTCGGCAGGTACAAGCTCCTAAAGGCCGCTTGTTGTTTCTTGACTGCTGTCTCGTCACTCTAGAAGAATGATTAATTGTGCTCGCCTTCTGCACGTTCATGGGAATAGATTCGCTGCGGGCCGTGTTTTAATTGCGTATTATCGAGGTAAGCGCCGTGCGCCTCTCCCTCATGGGCTCTTGAGCCTGCAGCTCGGCGCCGACGTTCATATAACGCAACGGCAGGGTACACGAGCACATATCTACCGCATACTCCTGTTTGCCCCAACTCGCTATTCGCATATTGTCTTTTGATTTTCTAGGAATGCAGCAAATGAACTGGTTCTCTGATGTCGTCTCTCTGTGCTTTTTGACTGTAAAGAACTCCGCATCCAACGGTAGAAACTGCCCAAGCCAAAAATAATAGTAAAGTCAAAAGTCACTTTGACCTAGTAATGCGTCATGCATTTCTTCTTGGGGTTGCTTGTGAACTCCTTGTTGTTTGGCCTCTGGAACACAGATCTCGATGCTCAGCTCGTGCCGCTGTATGCGAATACGCCTTACCCAATTTCAGAAGCGGTTTCAACACGAGTAGGGCCACGGGCGTAAGGGCTTTGAGTTCACTTGCATTGAAAAAAAACAGAAAATCAGAGGAATGCAAACGGTTACCTACTTGCGATTCCACCAACGTACACCCAAACCATGCCGCCTCTATTGCAGTGTCCTGCGTCTCTGCCTGAGAGAGAACGAGAATCCTTTCGATAGAGGTGAAGCATGTAACCTCTGCTATAACGTACAAAACGTTTCGAGGAGATATCCAGAAGAAGCTCCGGCAAATAATCGCGCGATATAACGTGGGATGGCCGATAGTGCAAGGACTGCTCGAACGGATTAGAAGAAAAAACACCAGCTCTTCATGAGACGAGACTTTCACCCTCACCGGTCCCTTCTCGTCCCTCTTGCCCCACCTGCAAGTTCAACGTTGTTGCGCAAATACGGGAAATCAATGAAACGTGTCCTCACCATCACGGAAAGCTCCAACAAGCGAGGTGCCCATATCATCTCGCCGAAGGTAAAGCACGCAACGCCAACGACAGCTCCCGTTACGGAAGAAAAATTTGCCTTAAATCCTTGAGCCTTCGGGCTTTGAACATTGGTATTGGTACTATCTGCCTTACAAGAACAAACATAGAGGCTGCGGACAGTGAAGTCCCCTGTTCAAAAACGCCATCAGGCATCCTATACCGAAGAATGCTGGAAGCAAGAAACAGCTCACCAGCACTAGAAGATTATAGGGATCGTAGTTTTTCCCATGCAAGCACATGGACATCAATGGGAGAAAGGTTGTCACGACCAGGGGATTCACAGAGAGCACCAGTTCATATGCCGACTGAGATGAATTCGCTGGTGAAAGTAGCCATCAAAGCACCCATGACACAAAAAAGCTCCAAAGTTGAACGTACACCGGGTGTAGGTCTTTGGAAATGTGCTTCCAAAATGCCTAAACCCGTCCATCGGTGACAAATTTCATGAAAAATCTTCCATCCAACATACCGCAGTATGGTCCCGACGCCTGTGCGGGCATAGCGAATCGTAGTACTGTTTGCATGAAAGCAACAGATTTACACGTACCTGCGCAGATTATTGTTGAAGTAATGAGGAACCGCCACAAGTTGGGTGATGTGCAGGTTTCCCTGAGTATCTAAACGGCGCTTCTAATTGCAACAGCCACTTCAGAGTGCAGCATTGCATTTTATTCGCTTTACCACACTTGGGGGGCACGGCTGCGGTTTGTACTCTGTAAGGGACTGGGTGGCTTCATCAATGGCGGTCTCTCTTAAAAATAGAGTGATGAAAAACTGCACGAATCCAGGAATGCACGCGAGCAACAGGTAGGGGCGGTAAGGCAGCCCAAAATCTGGTATTATCGTCCTTGTCACTGTCAGCATGATGGCAGCGCTTAGGGCCGCAGAGTTAATAACGAGGTACCTGAAGCGTAGAGCAAGTATGTTCCTCATCACCTTTTCTTCACTGATGTTATCAGAAATGGCACTTACGAGCAGTCAAAGGCTGAGGAACGCGAAACGCTTGTAGTGTACCGTCGGATGCCTAGTTTGAGAACATTGCTGGTGAGGGCCACACCCATGGGGAGCAGGACAAGTAACGTAGCAAAAAGAGTGACTGTGTCTGTGACGAATACTAGAGCCAGCCGTGCAAAGGTGGATGTCAGTGTTCCGAGAACCAGAGACCATTTCACACCGATGTTATCAATCAAGGGGCCAAAAAGAATGCCAAATAATAGACTCATTATGCCGAATATTCCGTAAATCCAGCTCGCCGCAACGTCACTCATGCCAAAACACATGCTCAAGTACAACACGAAAACATAGTCCAGTGCGAAACTGCTGAAAGAGTCAGCATATTCGCAAGCATAAACCAGGGCTAGCTCCCGTGGCGACTTAAGAAGTTGCTCAAGGTGCTTCAACATTTCTGCGACTTCGCGAAAACGGAAGACACTATGATTGATCTCAGACCAGGACGGGCATTCATGCATGTGCTGGGCCGAGGTGTGAGTACAGTCAGCCGTCTGGGAGCTGCTCAAGGCTTGTAGGAGCCAGAATGTTCAAAAGCAAATCGAAATGAGAGTAACTTTGTGAATGGCTTTACACGTTTTAGGTGGATTGCTCGCTGCACGGTTTCATTCGAGATATTCAAGGGGTATCACGACCTGCCAGAAGGATTGCTGACTCGCCCGCGGCCTGCTGTTGAACCCGAGTTATTTCCGAATTAGTCATCGTATTTTCCCACTTGTTTCAGTTTGTGTGTTTGTTAAAGCGTTTTCAGCCCTGAGGATTGTGCTATCCGTGCTACTGTTTTTCTGTTTTGCATCTCAGTGTGCTGTATGCCCGGTAGATGGTTCACCATTCACGTGACTCAGGACTGACCCCTAATGGCCGAGTTTCACCCTGATTGTTGCTCCATTGAGGCGCAAGACACCTGCACTGGCCAGCCTACAGCTCCCCAACAGCATGGCTTCACTGCTTCTAGTCTAGAAAACAAACAACCTTCAGGAGTGCAAGCAGATACACTAGCTGCATCCACGGGGCCCAGCAGAATCATCAGTCGCGGCTGCGAGCAAACAACTGCCGTCTCTATTGGTGCTGCGCTGCCGGATGTGAAGGACTCGGCACCAGATGCCAAGCCGTGCTCAGTTCAGACTGCAATCGCAAATCCCCACAGGAACCCTAAGGCTCTAGACTCCGCAAGTAGCCCCCTGAAATCTGAAGCCTCAAAAAGATCTCCTATGGCGCGCCCAGGTACTTCAGAGTACGACGACAACACAGCAGCTGCACATGGTGAGCCCCTTGCCCTCATTTACAGATCTCTGTGGTAGATCGCACAGCTCGGGTCATGTGACAAGTATTTGGCACTCATACATAAAACTGGTGCCTTTCTGAAATCATCTTGAGATTTATTCCTTTTCAGGACGCACACTCACGGGCAGATGCGGTTTGAATTGCACGACGCGCGTGGGAGCTGTATATCATGTCCAAAACTGTCGCGCATAACCGAGCATTAACAAGCATGCCCATGAGACAAGGTTTCACCTCAGTCTTTTTGGCTGTGATCACTCTCTGGCATTTTGCTTTCAGGTCTCGATCCACCAGTGCAAACGGACCCGCAGCCAAGGGAGTCCTCCGAATGCCAGACGACATCTGCAGCCGTCAATACAGTGGAGAAGGCGCCCGTGGCATCTTGCGATCCTCTCGCCAAACAGGAGTCTAGGGTTTCGCAGTTGAGGGCAAAATTCGAGAGGCAGAGGCAGTCGATGACTGAGAGCGAAGTCCACCCGTTACAAGAACGCACCCCTTCATTGGCGAATCCGAGAAACAGGCGCCAGTCTGAATGTACGAGGCCTTCCAGCCCGCATTCCAGCGCAACAGTCATCCGCCCCTCTCAGTCAGTCAGAGAGATCAAATCTCGATTCGAGGTTCACGAGCAGGCGCAACACCCCGCAGAGACGATCATAAGCACCAGCACCAGCAAGGGGACTCCCCCACTTGCTCGCAGGATTTCAGAAGCCACCCTCGTGCAGCTGGACACATTAGATATTGCTGCACGTTACGGGAAGACATACAAGTCTAAAAGACGCCCTAGTTCGAATGCGCAGGATTCCTGTAGCGAGGAGACAGCTTGCTTCGTCCCGAACACAGACGCGGCGGAATTAGGCAGCCCTGCTACTTCTGAATGGACGGCACAAAAATTAGCACAGCTTGAAATATCGGAAAACACACGCCAAGGTGTAGGCGAGTCTGAGACCAGCGCTCAACGAGATACGCTGACACCTGGGAGAGGTGATGAAAATGATGCTTCTCCTTCTGCCGGCTCGGGCATGTGTGAAGCCCTCGGAGAAGGGGGAACCGAGAGTGCCGATACAGATGGTACTGATGGTGGACCATCTGGTGCTGCAGTAGCAGCAACAGACACGAGAACAGGCGAAACAGACGATCCGTTGACAAGTGTTTGCGGCCACCCATCCCCTCAGATTGAGCGCCTCGCTGCCCTCGTCGCTGCGCAAGCAAAGAACTACGGAAAGCGGCTGCCGCGGCGTCTACTAACGCGTCAAGACACAGACGAAACGTAGTGGCCACGATCATTCGTACTCTGGGGGTGCCCTTTTTCGTAGATTTGTTGTGTCGGTTGTCGGATGAGCGTGCGGTGCTGCCAGGAACTGAATAGTTTGTACCACTCTGGCAATTGTTTTTTCATGCGTTTGGCTCAGTCTTCTGCCGCCACAAGTGTGCTTACGAAAGCTACGCCCTTGGGGCCCAACCCTGTACGCGGGGCCGCGTATATCTATATGCATATATACATGTATATATTTGTATATATTGTGCCTCTGAATCGCCTGTGGCCAGCCATTTTCTCTCCTGTGAAGCTGTTTTCAAGAGAAGCAAGTGCTTCAAGAACAGCAAATGCCACGGCCGGTGGACAAGTGGCACGACCGTATCCGTCTAACGACACCAGCGGGGTAATCTGTACGGGGGTAGCATACTTACATTTTAAAATCAACAGTGTCTTCTTCCATAACTGAGAGGCTTCGGGAGACCCTCGTTGGAAGCACGCCCTGCTTTCTGAGTCTGAATTTATTTGATTTCTTTCCTCCGCTATTGCTACAGGCAAAACTTACGTTAACATGTGCTGCAGTGTACGTGAACGGAAGACAGCACATTTTCCCGTGCTGCTGTACTTGTCCCGGTGCTCAGAACACTGGGTTTCCGTGGTTAAAAGTTATGGGTAATACGGCGCCGTGAAGGGTACCTGTGCCATGAGTGCTCAGACGGAGAGGACGTTGGCCTCCAGCGACACTTTCCGGTTGTAAAGTGCTTTTACTGTGCGATGTTTCACACAGAAAGCACAGTGAGCTATACTGTGATTATTCGAACGTGAGTCAGCGCAAGGAGCTGCACTCCTGTTATTTTTGGCTGTTGCCTAACAGGGGAAATTTTGACAAACCTCATAAGCTATTCGACACCCGGAAATTGAGTTTAGCTATAGTTCTAATTAGAAAGGAGAAGTAAGGATCTATCAGCCGGAATTCTTGTCACTACTGTGAGACCGATATCTCCTCTCGTGTAACCAACAGAGCGTCGTTTTGATCTCGCTTTTTCATATCAAGCATGCGAAGATTTTCTATAGCGTACGGGAATAACTCCACCTCGATAATCGCCCGTGGAGCACCTACTCGCGGGGACCGATAGTATAAGCTAGTATTTCGGTGAGTTGAGTCTCGCTATCTTTCGGGTGTACTCGAATCATATGAAGTCCGATACAACAGTCCTCCACGTTTTATATTGCACACGATGCGGACTCATTTTTGTCGGAATACTAACCGTGTGCATTGTCTGATGGTGAAAAGCTAGACATGGCCAATGATTGCGCTACCAGTTTCATCTACAACCCAAAGAGTGACTGCGATTCCGCATTCCAATCACGAGACTTTAAAAAAATTCCGTTTAGGAAAGGGAACAATCGGCAGCGTTTCCAACACTCTGCGTGTCCTGTTGAATTCAGGGTGGGCTGCAACCTGACAAGAAGACGTTTGGGGCAAGCGGCCAGTATCCGAAACATGCGATTTCGGGATCCCCCGCTGTGTGACACCGAGTACCCTTGCGCAATTGAGTTCACGCTGAATGGACGGCAATCGAAGCTGGATTTTCGTTGCCTAGGTGGCTGAGGACGGGGCGTAGAGAGGAAAGCATCAGCCCTCCAGCGATCGCCACATTCAGAGACTCGACGTATGCGGCCATAGGGAAGGACACCCTGTGAAACAATGCGGCACATTCAGGCGCAGCGTCCACTGGAACACAAAACAGAACATTAGAAAAGGAAGGAAGAAAATTGTAGAGCCCCTTGTACCCTCTATTCTTTTCGTAATCGGGTCGAAACAGCTAAATTACGTGTGGATCTCAAATCGGTTTCGTTTTCCGGACCTCCTACGTTGCTTAGTGCATAGAAAACCAACCACACCACCGACAGTAATTAGACACAGCACCGTTTACCTTAGATGCCTAACTGTCAACTCAATGCCCCAGAAAAGTTGTAACTGCCCTTTGCCAACTTTCAATCGTAGAAAGCACATACTTGAGGGCGTGTTCTCTGATGAAGTCGGATGGCCCATGTGATTCACTCCCTAAGATGCAACAAAGGCCCTTGTAGCCTGAGACTTTATCTGCGCGCAGGAGAGCCCAAAATCAAGTGAGAGACAACTGTTTGAGGAGTATACAAACTAAGCCGAACACAACGACAGAGTGTATACACACAAGATACTCCCCAGACTCTACCTTGTATTCTCTATACCGATACAGTCCGTACGAACAGCGCACCACAAACACTCTCAATTGAGTCCCCCCTAAGATCTCCAACAATTGGCGCCAGATTGTGCGTCTTGCATAGGTCGAAAAGCTCAGAAGCTGAACCGAATTGATACGGAACGTGACAGTGAAGCCCTCTGCTGATTTCCTGAGCAAAGCACCAAGAACTGAAAGAAGACTACACAAATCAGTCTCCCCACAGCTGGTATCCTCCTCAATAACATTGGCACTAGGCGTAGCGTAGGCTCACAAGTGTTTTCCAGTTAAAGGGATCCGCTGTCCCTTCTAAAAAGAAGAAACCATCGACTTCCATCAGAGCAGCAGCGCGCAGAAGAATGCCCAAATTGAAGACATAGCGAATCCTATCCAAGGCTAAAATGAACCTGTTAGACGCACGCAGTTAATCAAAAAGGGATTCTATTAACACGCCACAAATAAATTCATGATATCAAAAAAGGAGAGCGCACTCAAAGGAGAGAAGGGGTACGCGTAGCAGACCTTATGAATAAGCAACAGGGACGTGTTTCGTGTAATTCACCCTTTTGCAGGAAACGGCAACGTAAGGAATGCAGCTAGTCGTGCATACATCTAAAATGTCGCATTCAATGCCACAAGTGTACAAGATATCTCTCCGATCCTCATCGCTGCCGGATGTCTTTCTATACGTACATTATCTGCGATGTAGGGTGGTTAAATGCATAGTCTTCCGTGCATAGCATCCCTTCTGGCGTTCGATGCGCACAACTGGGGAGCAGACTCCGTTTTCGTACCTGGGCCGTCCGAATTCTTTGCACGGTTTTGGCATCTTTAAGATAGCAGCCGCTTGGATTAGTCTTCGGGTGCTGGATGGTCTACCCGTTTCCTCTTGTTTCGCTTCTCGTGCCGCTGTTGCACCTTTGCGCTGTCTCTTGACCTCAGACTTCGGACCTGCTGCAGCGTATGCTGCTTCATTGCGTTCTAGAACGGCATTCATGACGGATTGCGTTGCCAGCCGTATTTCTGCAGCTCCAAATACAGAGGGGCTAGCGGTGGAGGCAAAGGACATGCTATCTGTCAAAATCAGCGATGGCTCTGCTCTCCAGGGTGTCGACTCCCCATCCGCGCCTTCAGGAGGAGGAGGCACATCTGAATTAGAGCAGAAAATGCTTGTTTGCATGTGTGCGTCACAAATACCATGAAGCGTGTCGATTCCCAGAACGGCCATTTCGCCGCATGCCGTCCTGCACAGACACCCGAGCAAAGCGCAACGTCAACCACAAATTGCATCGTTCGCAAGCGGAAAAAAGATGGTCGAACTACGTGCGGTCTGCCAACAGGAGAAAACCATTTGCATCAGCTCTCCGCATGGAAGTACATGTACGCCTAAGGCCCCTTTCCATCACTTTGTGTTGCCACTTGCACCCATCACTCATGGGCTCAAAGAGAATGCGCGCAACCAAAGTGCACCAGTGCCCCCTACTGGTTTGTCCAGCAGAGCCCCCCATAGGAAGCTGAGAGAGAGGTGCCCTCGAGCTGCCGCCTGAAGGATCTTTCTGTGCTTGGTACAGCTATTCAAAGTGCTTCTCACTCCGTACCGGTAGCGTCGGCGGGATTTGAGTCGAAGTAGATGCTTCACTACTGCATGATGCCGCGAAGAAATGGTCTCATTCCCAAGCCCTTCATGTTTTAGGGACCTTGCCGCATTGCCGTGGTCCGGGTGTATCGCCTTCTGCTGTAACTTAGACTCTTCTTCTGTGACATGTTCCCCCTGAATTTCCGCGGAAGGCGCGATTGTACGTTCATCGTTGCAGGCCGTGCCTCCCCGCGGAGACCCCGCCGCTTGGCTATTTGGGGGTTTGAAGCAGTCTTCTAGCCAGTGAGGAGGAGTTTTCAGTGTGGAAGATCGCCGACAGTGCAGAGCAGTACCGGCTGTCCATAAGCCAGTATTCTGTGGTGCGGCAATGGGGAGGCAGACAGAAGGAATTCTTGCACCGCTAAATCCGTGATAACCTGGACAGTAAGCCAGCAGACGAAACCGCTTCATTGTGCTCCGACATTTACACCTCATGGGACTGCAGCTTGCTTGCAAACGCGGGATGCACAAGGAAGGGGAGCTCACAAGCCGTGCTGCCCACTCCCCTAGCACTACAACGAAGAAGAAAGCAACATTGGAGGTGGCTGAAGGGCAATCAAGACGCAGAATGGTCGTGGAGCCGCTGCATGTGGGGAGCTGAGCGCCCCTAGAAACTAGCGGAGGTAGAGGAGTGGAAAATCACTGTTGGTCGGCACTTCAGTTGTAATATCCAGAATGCCCCCAAAGCACTTTTCGAGTTTGAAGTTCAAATTTTTGCATCTTCATAGAGCCTATTCTCGAGGGGGGGAAATACGCAGATCCTTTAGCTTCTAGTTCGGTGTGTGAAGGCGGGCAGACGCTTAGCCCCGGCTCGGGCGGAGACCATACCTCAGAAAAACCGCATAGAAACAGATATCAGTTGAAATACTTTGGGGGGGTTTCTGGGTGGGAAGCTCACCTCCTGTCTCCGAGATTTCTGGAATTCCGTGGTTCCTAACGGTCGGGCCGAAGAAAACCTCGAAGTCCTTACCGGTATTTCATCCTTTCGTTCTGCTGTTTCTCGAGGCACAATGACGAGCGATGTCAAGTTTGATCCTGCAAAGGCGGAGGAGCATCTGAGGTGAGGGATTCGATGAGGCAGACCTGTTAGCTGTCTGCCACGCCCGCTGCTCTGCACTGCGCTGGAATGCATACACATACACCAAGAAAGGGATATTGGCGTGTGTCAGCGCCGCGCTAAATAGCTTGAGATTTACTACAGAGTAAACACTTGACACAGAAAATTGTACAGCCTGGCTGTAGGCACAGCATCTGCTGCCTTTTTTGCGCAGGGAGGTGGTAACCGCAGAAACATGGAAAGATATGAGCCGCAAACTCGCAAGAGAAAAATTGGAGGAGAAGCTCGGGGTGGCCCCTGACGGGCTAAAGGATCATAAGAAGGCGATAAACGAAATTCTCGACAAAATCGTCAACGAGCTTTCGGGAGGAGGCGACAGCGTACGCGCATCTCAGACGCATGAACTTCAATTATATTCGAATTACTGAGCCCCCAGTGCACTCCAAAATCTCATTATTCTCCGCTAGCAAGGGTTTTGCATTTGGGAAGTTGAAGAGCAGTGCGTTGTGATGGGCTCGTGACAGGAATCAGAGGCGGAAGAATCAGAAGCTGATGAAGAAACAGAGCCGGCGACCAAGAAGCAGAAAACTGGACCTGATCCTCCCAAGAACCTTAAGAAACTTCAGGGTGCGCGAAACTCGAGGAATCACGTGCGATGTGGTGCGAGAGGTTACATAAATTTTTTCCTGACGCATGAAATGCTATTTTTTGCGCACACTTTGTTTCCTTTCTGTTGCTGCAACAGCTTCCCTCATGACGCGGCAGTCATTTTTGGAGCAAGCACCAGTTATGGCTTCCAAGATAGGGGAAATGATGTTCGACATGAAGCCGAGAACCTTCAGCAGTGGCTCATGTGGCTGGTAGGTCGTGTTCCTATGCTTGGAAAGGCAGGCAAGAAACATAGGGGCCCCAAAGGACTCGGCCCGTTTCGGAAGATGGATGCGATAGCGCAGTAGAGGGAGAATAAGCTGTGCTCTTTTCTGGGTGCAGGTTTCACGGAGGAAAAGTTGCAATTAAAGTTGGTGATCAGGAAATCTGGTGCCAGCTGGGTGTCAACTGCACTGGTGAGTTGTACAATTACATACTTGGAATTTACGGAAGAGAACTTCCTCAATTTGTAAAAAGCTGGTGTATCCAGTGTTGATCGCGTGCTGGTGGAGCCCCGCCGAACTGTTTAGACGCGGTTTAGCAATCAGCATTTTGCATGGCAGCAGCCAATCTGCAGTGGCCTGTTGACTGTTTTCTTCCCTTCCTGCTTCTCCTCGTATCAAAAAGGCCTCTGGTCTGCTTTGCTAGACTTCGGAATTCACTGTCTATTTTCTTGTGCGATGCAACAACCCTGTAGTGTCTGCTCTGCGTTTCATCTACTCTCTTATGCTTTGACCCTCATTGAGTGCTGTGTTGTAGCTTCCAGGCACCGCCCTGTGCTCTACCGTTTTACAATCGTTTATTTGTTCTGGGTTTCTTCAGTCCTAGGAAGTAAAGAATGGCGAGATGGAATCAAGAAAGCAAAGAAGTGAAGCATTCACGTTCATTTCCCTGCATGCACGCCGAGAAGGTCTATATGGACACCCTATGCGCTTAAACGGGCACATATGGCGTGCAGCCTCATCCACGAGGGTTTAGACCATGAGAAGATGCGCAACACAAAATGAATGATTTAAACGAAAGCACATGAAGCAGAGTACAACACACGCAAGGCCACAAGCTCGCTGCTAATGAGCAGAAATGCACAGTTGACATCTGCATATGGGATTTTGATAGGTCGCCTTCAAACTGACTTTGTTGTTCTCTTCCCATACCTTCTTGATACACCAGCTAGTGGCGTAGGGGGACGAGGAACCCTTTGAGTGCTGAGTCGGATTCTTGTTTCCTAGGTCAAGTTCCCAATGATTTTCCCGTGCTCGTTTTCCTATTGATAATGGTGTTATTGCAAACAGGTGTGGATGTGTATATCGTTGCAACCTTCTTGTCACGTGCCGGACATTTAAATGGTGCGTTTTGCAGCCTTCAGATACTCCTAGCGTTTTCGACACCTCGCAGCTTTTTTAGCAACTTTTTCAAGATTCGCATAAACAAGCAGTTCTTCGGGTAATGTTACACTGTAGCTACTTTATAGGGCCCTAACCGAAACCGAAGTTCCGCTCTCTAGCACTCGCTTCCCGAGGCCGCTGACTGGCACTGTCCGGCCCTCGGAAGAAAATGCAAATTCTGGCATACGGCTTTATTCTCACACTATGACACCAGATTAAGTCTATAAGTAACATAGTCAAGAATGTCACCTTTGGAACTGGGGATCTACTGCCGAATGTGCGTGCCACCACTGGGTTTAGCAGTTTCAGCGGACACAGACGATGCCAGTTATGCACGAACAGAATTGTCACACATGTTTTAAGAGACAAAAAATAAATGGACGTTAATTCAGTACATCAATTGAGAGGGGTCAAAAGACGTGCAACGCAGCACTTTTTTACTCCATTACATCCGAAATGCCTTGTGTCGTCCTGAGCGGGTTTTATGTGTAAATTATCTCGAAAGAATTACGTTTGTGACTTACAGCTGAAATATGCACTCAGACTCGGGTAGGTTTGGCGCGTCGTAGACTTTGCAAATTCGTTGCTCGCCTTTTCCCTTTCGCAAGGAAAGCCGAGTCGTCGAGGCGTGGCCCAACACATGGCCTCCAACTACCACATCAGGCATCCCCAAATAATTATGAAGGCATACACACACTCTTGGGAGCTGAAACGGAAGGCTGCACCTGGTTTGGTGGGGTTTGCAACAAACGTTAGGCCCCCTGCTGGGTCAGACCTGAGTGGTTCATAGCACATTGTGTGCAAGGAAGTAAAAATACATGTACTGTAAGGTGAAGCTTACATAACCTGGTTGGTTACTACAACAGCAACATTGTACTGTTCTGAAATCTTGATCAATGAGCTGAGCATTTTGTTCAATTTCTGCTGCCTGTCTGCAAGCTCTCCACGCCCGCAGAAGTCGACACGAAAGAGGGCAATAATGGAATCCACGATTATGATTGCTATTGTTTGCAGCAGAGGCTCGATAGTTAAGATTTAGCTCATGACCAGAGCTTGCATACCGAATTTTTCCTCGCTCATCTGGAAACGGGGGCATTTAGCGTTTTAACCCTTCGTTTTAGTTGCAAATTATTTATTACCTTAGCAGCTGCAACAGTAAGAAGCTGATGCATGTGTTCTGTCGTGTATGCCCTTGCGTACATTATGTTATCAAGCACTCCCGCCCCATCAAGGCCAAAACGCTCGGCAATCGCACAAATCTTCTCTGGGCGAAACGTAGCCTCTGTGTCAACGTAGCAGACCTGTAGAGGTAAGACAGGAAACCCGTTGTAAAAAAGTTAGCAAAAGATAAAAGCCATGAACAAGAAAGTGTAACAATACGCACTTTCCCACATCCGCCGTTCATTTCCTTTGGAAGCTGAGCGGTTACACAAAGCGTATGACATATCTGAGTTTTCCCACATCGGTTTTCGCCGAATATTTCAGTTATGGACATCGTTTCAATGCCACCACCGATCAGCTGATCTAGCTGAGATGATCCTGCCAGAAAATGGCACTATAACATGAACAAAACGGTGCTGTTCTCCACCCACGAGTTTCAAACCTGTTGTGATTTTAACAACTTTAGCTCTTCGTATCACCAGCTCTCCCCCACTGATGAAGGAGTTACAAAGCTCCAGCTTTGTTGCCGCCTCAATAATTTTTTCAACTTTTGCCTCTGAAAGGCCTTTCACCAGAGCCAAATCCTTTTTCTGTTAGCGACTTATAAGATATGGCATTTTTGTGGAGGATTCTATTGTTTTCCCACTGTCGTTTGAATAACCGAAAGAACGGTGCAATATCCAGCAAGCCGCAGCTTGGTGATGTCGGCAGCGTTAATACCAACATTTTGAAGCTTTTCCTAGAAGAGACGGTACACAAATACGCCTTACTGAGGGGTTTACCAACTCACTATCGCAATAAAGAATTCATGCTCCCCTTCATTGACGTCTGAAGCCAAGACGCCGGGAGCCGTCCCAACATGCTTGCGTGCAGACTTACTTTCACCTATGGTTGCCATTATTATGCAAAGTAATTTTACGCATAAATTTCCTTTTGTCTGGTCCAACTGTGCAATACCATACAGGCCACTTTCTGAGGCGAACAAATGAATACCCACCAACGTACGGACACCGAAGCTGGCCACCCAAGTGAATCACCATGCCAGCATGGCGGAAATGCATGCACAAGCACGGAAATCTCGAATTAAGCGAAGACAGCAATGAATGTTTGTATTATTCAATTAGTCAGGCTGCAAACGTCAAGAATTGCCTCGAACGCGTCTTGAGCTGTATAATTTTGTGAAATACTGAACTTGAGTGTAGCCCGCGCGGTGAGGCACATGAACTGATGGGCGCATGGAACAAGCATCCGTTATCATAACTTCTTTAAGAAACCTCGTTAAGGTCGGAAAACTCTCTTGTTGCGCTACACGCTTCCCGGAGGCATATAGGATTAGACAATACACAGGAATGTGAATCAGCGGAGAGGAGAACGGCCGTTTCCATACGCAAGATGTAGGTTCAAGCTTCTTCAGAGCCGCGGGAGTTCTCCCATGAAAGCGCATGCATAAACGATTCGCCGAGTTGATTTGTGGTTGAACGTGTTTCAACAGGCCTATTGCCCACATGGATGAAAGATGTACCCCACACTTCATGGCACATTTAGCCTTGTTGCACCCAGTACAATGTTGCTGTATGCTGTTTTTCTAGTCCTTCATTTTGAGCATTAGTTTTAGCTAAGTGTTCTGGTGAATGAGTCGGCTGCGCATGCACTGAGAGAGATCCTGGGGCTGTTTTGGTGGTAACACATTTGGTCTGCATATTATCTGATGAAGAGAACGAAAGGCCAATCTCCATTGCCCTACAGTTTTTTCTGTTCGTGGCATTTCCATACCTATGGAGCGGCCACCCGTGAGATTGATACATCGTCTGACTTTCCGTTCTCCTGCTTCTCACAATTTTGCTTTAAACGGTAGTCTTAAAAAGCAAATCCGCCTTTGTGGAAAGCAGCCAAGTTGCTGACCCATTTTCAATGATATCAGAAACTTCCTGGTGCACAGAGAGCCTTCACGGGCTCCATGCAGAACTTCGCTGGCTGCCACACTTTTTCGTACTCCAGTTCAACGCGAGTTGTTGTGCGTTTGCATCTACCCTGCATCTTTTTTGAACTTCGATCTGCTATTTCGACGCTACCCCCTGTCTGTTCACTATTCTCATGTTAGTTAAAAGGGCGCTTTGCAAGACAAAAGGGAAAGGCCTCCCTCTGGCACCATGGCGGCTCCGGACCTCTCTCAGATCGACGATGAAGAAGTTCTCACCCTCGTCCTCCTAGATTCAACGCATCCTCAAGTGGGAGAATATTTCTCACTTGCATTATCACTGCAGGATCTGGCATGCACAATCCACAGCGCTCAACAAAGGGGTGCAGGGCGAAGCATGCAGGGCTTCGACACATAGGCGTCATGACAACTCCTTTAGGCTTTTTCTCTTGAGCTGTGCTTTTGGTAATAGACATTTGGATTTTGTGTGCTGGGCAATTGCTAAGTATACGCAGTGCAGTCGTTTTCCTCCTTTGGGATGATGATGCGTTATTCAATGTGAGCTGGGTTGATGCAGATTATTTCCGCTGCAACAGAAATCAAGAATTCCCTGTTGGATTCAGCAAATAACGTACGGCTTAACCCCTGACACCCAAATTCTTATGAGCTGCAGCTCTACGGCGATTTCTTGTTTCAGGCTTCGCCATTCTCTGCACTGTTGCTTTGGGCAGCAGTAGGGCAGGTGCACTTCTTCGGGTGCCTTCAAGCCACGCATTGCATATCGTAGACTCCGACCGCTTGGGTGTACATGCGTAGGTGCTTAAGTCTGCTGACGACCTGAAGGAGCCTCTGCTCGCCCTTGCAGCAGATTCAAGGGGCGGAAGCGCTGAGGCGGCAACAGGGGAAGCAGACAACAAACAGCGAGCAGCAAGCGAGACAACAGACTTGCAGAGTGGCGAAGCCGCAAGCTCTCCGGCGAAGCTGAATCGTGGATTAGTTGAGGGCCTTCTCAAACGCGCCAAGGCAGTGGTGGATGCCTCGTTGAAGCTGACGCTAGAACTTGTATGTTGTGTGAGGAACCAGTAATAATTTCATGGTTCTCTTGCGAATGCGGTTCCTTGAAAATGGCGCCTATCGGGGTTCTGCAAACCACAGTTTGTATCCCTGAGAAAATATGACTTTCTGAGTGTCTGTCCTCAGGACAGCTTCTCCTTCCATGCAATGAATCCAGTATGGGGAACGGAAAAAAGCGTTCGGCAATCCCGCAAATTTCTCGTTCAGCTGCTAGAGGTAAAATGCTCGAAATCTTGCGTATTTGTAGTCGGAGTGCATTATCCTCACGCTGATCTTTGTGTTCGCGTGTATGCCTCTCCGCTCTTACATCATTTCGCCTACATGATTTTCCTCTGGTGTTTATTATTCCACAAAAAGGGTGGGTGTGAGCGGGCCAGTGTGTCCAATTATGCTTCAGCTGCACGTGGAAGGGAGGTAGGGGCCCTTGCCACCCTTTGGGCTCCGAAGGCACCTGCAGTATTGAATCATTAGAACCTCTTATTGTGACTTTTGTCGCATCGATTTGGCTGGTGTCTCGTGATGCAGCTGTTTGCGACCGGGTGGTTTTTTGTGCCGTTAAGACGCATGTGAAACGGCTCTTGTGTCCTTCCGCTAAAGCCTGCCAGAGCGTGTGTGCTTGCGTGACGCTGTGTTTCGTTTCACTTAGAGAGATGTTTGCAGAGTGATGCAAAAGTATGTGCCTCTCTCTCTCTATGCATCCATCTTGTACACAGTGGTGCAAAAGTTTGTGCTTCTCTCTCTTTATGCATCCATCTTGTACACAGTGGTGCGTATTCCTCAAGAAGATCCTTCTGCTCGTTCACAGAGGCGTGGACATGTAGTATTCATCCTAGTTTGTTTATTGCGTGGCTCCTCCTTTTTGACTCCAGAAAGTAACGAGTCGCGTGGAAGCTCTCATTCTGCTCCTTTCTTCTATCCTCCCAAAGCTGCCTGCTCCCTCCGTGCCGTCAGTAGCGACCCCAGAGGAGCCGCCTTCCGCAACAGATCCACGAAGACTGGAAGGCGGAAGGGGCAGAGGGAGAGGCCTTCACCCTCCTGGAGTAGGCAGGTGAGCGTTGGCTCTGAGAACCTTTAAACTTTGCGCACCAAGGGGCGTCGGTGCGAGCACGCTAGAGGGATGTTGGGGGGGAAGGAGGGGGGGAGGGGCAAGGCTCTTCAGGAGCAGCTACAGCTGCCCCGTGACGGCTGCTGTGTGGTGGTGATACGCATTCTAATAGACGTCAATCGCTGTCTGCATATTGGCATATATGTGTTTTTCGAGTGGGATGCAGCCCACGTTGCGTCTCACGTCTCTGCAAGCGCTTGTGTCGTTGGCTAGCCTCTTCGCTCTCCACTATGTGCCAGCCTCTCTGCCAGCGTTCACTTGCATAGAAGCATTCCCATGCCCTTTGAAATCTTTGCATGTGCAGAAGGGGCAGTGCGAAACGACGCCTGCAGGCTGGGGTAGCGGGATGTCCATGCTCTCTCGCAGCATGCGCGCGCGGGAAGGCGTGTACCAACGTGCCCGCCTTCGCTTTGCATTTTTGCCAGTTCTTGTTGTCGGTTTTTTGCTGGCTACCCTTCTCAGCATCGCCAATGAAACACTATGTGGCTCGCGTGTGGTTTGCATATGACGCCTCGTAGGGGGAGGGGAATGCCTCTGGCTCGGGGTTCCGGCGTGGGAGTTTCTCCCTTAGGCTCCTCAGGCTACGATTCAGATAGCGGTACGACGCGTGTCGGCTCAGCAGCTGGTGAGACGGAAGAAGACGGCGGCCTTAGCGGCTCCAGAAAGCACGAGAGAGACAACAGCCCCGAAGACGGTCCCAGAAGATGGAAAAAGAAGCAGCCATCCAACGTCGATTGGATGCTCAAGTGCAGAACCAAGCTCCTGGAGCTAAAGGAGCGAACAGCGAAAAAGGCTGTTTCTGATGTCTTTATGACGGAAAGAGTAGGCCCGCCTAGCTCTCTGCCCCTTACATGAATCTACGACCAGCTCATTTCTCCCTCAGCAGCCTCGTGTCGTCCCCGTATCGATGTGTTCAGCAGTAAGATCATAGGGTCTAGTGTCTGCCCTGGCGCGGGTGTGCTCCCTCTGCTCTCTCTCTGCCCGCAGAATTCATCTTTTGGTGTTTTAGTTCATGATTTGATACATAGAGCTAAGGGCAAAGAAGCTGCATCACGCGAAGCCATCCATGGCCATGAGTGTGGTTTGTGTGCGGCTTCCAGACAGTGCAGGAGACTATCTCATTCATTGATCACAACGCTTCTAAGCTGGAGGTCGTTGCCGCAAAGGCCCCCTCGGACTTTGCAGCTGAAGAGTAAGGTACACAGAGGCGAAGAAAAAGGCTTAAGGGGAGAAGGACAAGAGGGAGCGACTCAGCTGAACTCGGTCATCGTCATCGTTGGTGTTTTTGCCCATTGCGCACAGTCAGTCCACGATAATGTTGAGACTCATTTTTTGCGTGCTTCCAGTGTCTGGCCTGCGCTTAATCCTCAGCCGTCGGATCTTTATGCAGAGCATTGAGTCTTACATCGCCGGACTCGAGAGGGTGAGGTTGCACACGCGTCGTATGGATGGTGCATCTTTTGTGCCATACTTGGGAAAGCCTGGGAGCTATGTATACTGCCTGATGGACACGTCGTACGCTCAATACAAGCAGTTAGCGTTTTATAGGGGCTTCAAGATGTATTGTAGCCTGTATTGCTGTGGGCTGTTCCGGCCGACAGCCGAGCGAAACGATTCGGATGGGGGCCCCTCCTTCATTGTGCTGCCTTGGAGTATTTGTTTTTCCACGAACTGCTTCATACGTCCTTTAGGATGCTGCTATATTTTGCGTCTGGTACTTTGCCTTGGCATGCATGGGTGTACTTGCCGCAGGCTCTCATGCTCCTGGCGAAAGAAACATTGAACAAACGCCAGCTCATGGGTTTGTTTGACAGTGCAGTAAAAGTGGAAAGACTGACGACCCCGGCCGAGCTCTTGACGGAGATGTAAGGCTTCAGCAGCCGCATGAACACCTGCAACACAGCCGTCTTCTCCCTAAGGCAGCTTTTTTTGCATGACTTGCTCTTGCATTGCAGAGGTCGCCTGCCTGCTGGCACCTACGCTGCTGGACCACCCAGAATGCAGCAAGGGGTGCTGTGCTGTCTTGACTTCGCTTCCCTGCGCCTTTCTACTCTAAAACTAAGACATGGCGGCATGTCGCGAGTCGCTTTGTTCTGGATGCATGTATCACGGCAACGCAAAGCATATCGCTTCTTGTGCGCCGCGGGTATGCCTTTGTTCGCAGGCGGAGCATCGTCTCGTTGTTGAACACATTTGCATACATGCCGAAGATGGAAGACGACGACTGAGCCATTTTTCTGCCTCGGCATTCGTTTGCATTCGTGGTACCGAAGGGAGCACGAAAGCATTCTTTTGCGCAAAAAAAGTTCCAACGCTTCCCTTGAGGGATTTGAAAAGGGCACATTGCTAGTGCGGGGCCATTAACAACCAGTGAGGAGCTAAAAGCGACGTGACACGAGCTCCCGGCCCACTGCGACCACTGCCGCTTACGTCGCCCTGCCTATAATGCTAAGTGCACAGCAGTGCTGCTTCTGCTACGCACACTAAGGCAACAGCCAGAAATGAAAAGCGACAGACACACACGCGCAGCTTGAAACGACTGGCGCGCTTGTGCCAAGAAATGACGCTGAAAAGCAAATGGCCAGTTAGTGGAGGCCATAAACGGCCGAAATGCCAAGTTGGTTTACGTGCCATTCTCCTCGAACACAAAAAGAAAAGGTCCTTTCCACAGAAAGATCGGAATAAAAACAACCTGCAAGGCCACCTAAGTCCTTGAAAACAACCTGCTGCTGCGTGTGTGCTCCCCGTCGCATTCACCCTAGCTGCCGTTCTCGTTCTCCCCCCTGCCTTTCCGTCTTTTGTTCCTGACACTTCAACTAGGTTCCGTATCGCTTTCTGTTGAATCTTGGCAATGCCGTCGTCTCCTTGGATTGCGCTACACAATTGATGGCCTCGAGAAGCACCAGGGCGTGATCTGCGGGCGCCTCCCCCGTTTGGCCTTTACCTTCTTCCGTTTGCTTGTGCCTCCATCTCTCAAATGCAAACCCAATAAAGCCCTTGCTCTCGCTCTGCCGTATGGCCCTTGTCACAGCTGCTGCTTTCGCAGCTCTTGCCACTGGGAACTCCCCTAAAGGCATAGGCCCTACGGCCGCCCCGGTGGTTCCATCCGTGCCGCTTCTTCCATCGCTCACTGGCGAGTCCCCTGGTGTAGTGACAGTCGAACGAGTGCTGCTGCAACTTCCGCTGGGTGAGAGGCACGACGCCTCGAAAGAGAGCAGCACGCTGCCGTCCACCTCTTCCCGAGCGCTCGGCGAGAGCAGCGATGCAGGCAGCACTCGGGGAACGCAAAAGGATGCAGCGAAAAGAGGGGGCGGGCCAATCATCACGCCGCGACGAGAATGCAACTTCTTTAAACGAGGCGGGAATCGGCGCTGAACGTACAGTCAACAGCAGGCGCGAAGGCCAAAGAAACGAGTGATTTCACTTGCATGCGCATGCATGAAAAATGCAAAAATCCATGCCACTTCAGTACGCGCGCATGCAACACGTACGTGGGGGTCAAGCGCGCTCGCAAACGCACAACAGCACTTCGGAGAGCTCTTTGTTCTCAACATAAGGCAGCATGACACTAACCAAACCTTCGAGAAGAAAACTGCCCGTTAGCCGCAAAGGCCCTATTATGTAGTTGCTCGCAGCCCTTGTAACGTTCGACGAAATCGCGAAACACTACTAAACCCCTTCCTTTGCATGCGGTGCAACGGCAAGCACACGTGCGACAGAGCAATGAACGCGATGAAGGCGTGAGTGGCAGTCCCCGCTGGGTAGTGCATATACATATATATATATACATATACATGCACGGATGTTTATATATGTCTACGTTTCTGATGGCACTGATATCCGCGTATCACAGTGTAGCTGAGAGCGACTGCACACGCACCGTTTGCGAGGGCGCTTGTTGCAGTTGCTGCTCGTCTCGCTCTTCCCCGGAGTCGCTGCTGACATCTAGCAACCGTAGATCCTTTCTATGCTTCTTTTGCGCTTTGCCGCTCGGATTGCCTTCACTTGAATCGTGCCTGGTGAAAGGAACTTTGAAGAGGCCGGAGGGGAGCAGGCACAAGACGCAGGCGCTTTCGCCATCTTCACACCCCTCCACCCATCTGCACTCTATTATACAGCCGTCGCCACGCGAGAGCTCCTTTGCAGAGATCTGAATCCAAAGGAAGCCGAAGCACGCCACACAGCAAGACAATCGCTTCCTAGAACACAGCTTGAAAATTGCATCGCGCGCCTCTGCAGCCTTTAGGGAGTCGACGGTGTCTGCTGTGCAGCACACTAACACCCTGGTAGTCTGGTGCTAGCTAAAGACGCTCAACATCCAGCCTCCTGCAAACGACTTTCTTGACTGGGAACCTTCTACCAGAACACGTTGCACAGCCTCATGGCTGTGCAACGCGGTACAGGCTACAGGGCTGCGCTGCCGCCAGCTGGATCTGAGGAGTCTCTCCCATGCAAGACAACACAGCGCGAGCTCTCGAAAGCAAGCACAATTCTGAATGAGCAGAAGAATGAATGCTTCTGCCAAGTGGAAACGCACCGAGCGCACGTTCCTGCGGGTGTGCTGTCGTATCCGCTTTCGCGCTGGTGATGGCGAGTTGGCCGCTGAAGGCGACGTCGGTGATGGTTGGCTTGCAGTGCATCCCTCTGCTGCGGCATCCGAGGATGCGTTGTTATCCTTGCGCCCGTTGGCGGGGTGACCACAGCTCTCGCCGTTGGTGATTCCGCTGCTGCTCTCGGGTGTCTGGACATCCACAATGTAGTAGCCGTTCCTTGTTCCGAGAACAAACAGTTTCGCCGAATCGGGGGAGAAGCAGAAAGCGGCAACCGACTCGCCTTTCCTAAAAATGTTCGGAAAGATGTGCGTCGGCTGCAGGGCAGCCACGTCAAACACCAAAATGGAGCTGTTGCTGTTCAAACAGCCCAGCTTAGAGCCGTCAGGGCTGGTCGACATGGATACCACAGCTGAGTAATACAGTCACAGCACACAGCGAAACTCCCTGCACAGAGAACACGAAGAGTGGCGAAAGCACAAGAGCCGCGCTACTACCACGCTCGCGCGAAGCCGCATGCCCACACGCTGCGAGCCCCTCCTCTCGCCATCACGCGTGTCTTCGAGCATTCGACCACCCCGATCTGCACACGGCAGCAAGGGTGTGGGTGCATTTACACGCTAAACGCATGCGCGACGACCTAAAACGGACTTGGGCGGAGGACGTCTCCTCAACCCAAGTCTCGAGGAAACAGCGAAAGGATTTCAAAAACGAAAGCTCACGAAAGGGGAGATCTCGGACTGCCGCCAGCTCCTGCCCCGTCGAGATTTTGATAAACGCAACGCAGAAACTCCCACCCTCGGCGGTCAAGTGATCGGGGATTGCTGCGGCTTCACGAGCACTTGGCATGTCGCTGTACTCCCACTTCTTCGAGCCACTGGAAGCGCCATCGAAGCCTTCGCTTTCCCCCTTTGTGTTTCTGACCTTCCCTTCCACTGCTTCCGACGCGAACGGATCACACGCGATGGAAGGCGAAGCGGAGGGAGCAACGGCCTGCCGAAGCCGACGGCAATTCACAGTCCTCCGCGGCTTCCTTGAAAAGTAACAACAGGCCAGGACGGAGCGCGACACGAAGTGCAAAGAAGTGACCATTTCAGATATGCGACAAGCACCAAGGCACTCCAGATCCTGGATGTCGAGCTGATGAGAAAACAGCATAACCGGTAAGCGTGCCAGACAATGTCAAGAAAAACACGCGTAGATGGTGGCTAGTAGCTGCCTCTCCGTGATCCCGCTACAGCCTCTTGTACAAGCCCACGCCAAAAATGCAAACTCGAAAAACCGAGAAAAAGGGAAGCTCCACTTCGAAAAGCTGCCTGTTACTCGCACCCCTTGAGACTCGTTATTTCTCAGCAAACACACTGAGACTAAAACGGAGCGCATACGCCCCCAACCCCCAGAGCAGCGGTTCTCTACACCCTGCCAAAAACAACTCACTTCTTTCAAATGAAAAGCAAACAGCCGAAGGCCTTGATTGCTGCCGACTGCAACCAACTGTCCATCTTTTGTTGCATCGCAGCACCTTATCTTGGCTCCCCCTTGCAAAGTAATTCTTGCGAGTTGCACCAAAGGAGCCGCTGCGTCGCTTTTTGCGGCGGTCACTGGCGGCGCCTGCAGCGCGTCTTCTTCGATGTGCCTAAGAATGCGCGGAGAGCAGCAAGAAGCAGACGAGCAAACAAACATCAAGCGCAAACAATCACTCGCGGTACTACACGCTGGAGAGCTCGAGGCCTCAAAAAGGCACCCACGAGAGACGCAGCGCGCGGCGCGAAATTAAAAAAAATCCCGTCTAGAATTAAGAAAGCAACCCAGTTACGCATGCACATGCACAGATACGAGGGACTGAGCAAGTTATTCAAAGTAAGGCGATGTGTTACAGCCGAATGCTTTGTCAAGGCACGTTGGCAGCCTGCGCAGCTAAAAAGCATCGAGCAGACAGCCCGGCCTGCGCAGACCCCATGAAAGCAGACGTGGGACGTCTGCGCGCATGCAAATTCTCACCAGATGCCGATGTCATCCTCGGATGGACATACGATGAGTCTCTTTTTCCACAAAACTTTTGGCTTTTGCAAACCTTGCAGCGCAGGGGAGGCGCAAAACGGGAGACACGGAGCCTTAAGGCCCTGCAGAGATCGCGCGCAGCAAGCAGACAGAAGCGGACGCCTCAGAAAATGACTGCAACAGGGGTCGAGCTTCCTCTCGGCAGCTCTCCACATCCCGCAGTTCGCATGCACGCAACAAGGCTGCGGCAAGCCCCTGCAGCCGTGCCTGCATCGGCAGCGTCTGCGCTTTCTTACCGCCAATTCTGTCAGCTGCTGCAAATACTTGAGGCTGCCGTCTGCAGCTCCCGTAACAACCCAAGACGCGTCCTGACCCCCTGGAATTCTGCGCACGCATGCGATGGCTTGCGAGTCGCACAGATGGGGGAACCGGCAGGCGCGCACAACCCAACGGTCTTCCTAAAGAGACACACACACACACTTACACATGCACGCACGTATTTGTACACACATATAATTATATACAAAATAATAATATATAAAATAAATAGATTCATATGTACATATATATATATACCCTGCCTGGCACAATGCGGAAACATGCGGACAGCTGCACTATAGCATTTCCCTCTCTCGTGCACGCTGGCATGATACAAATATGTACAACCTCGGCTGCTGCTGGGAAACGCCTTTGCGACTCCCGTGAATGAACAGTCCACCAAAAACAGGCACAAGAAGAGGGATGGGACAGAAGAGCCTCTCTGCAGAGACGCTGATTTCCTGACAGCTTCTTCTCCGTGCGGTATTTAAAGGGGGTTCGAGACACAGAAGTCCATCTGACCTCGGTGCGGCTGATGGCAGAAAGCTTCCCATCAACGCCGACAGAGAGAATAACTTCCTGTTGCATCTTGACGAGCGGCGCGCCGTCCCTGTTCTTCGTGTCTATGAAACTCTCGACGCAAACCATCACTTCCATGTCTAGCACGTCGGCAACGTGAACTTGCAACGAGCGAAGGGCCACGCATGCAGGCAGAGACCACAGCGTGACGCAACCCCTGCTGTCGCCGCTCACCAATAGGGAGCGACTGGGAAGCGCACGCAGATTCCACACGAGGGTTGAACCGACACCGCCTGAGAAGCCGCCACACATGCACAAAAATACCCACCCACTAATTGTCGCACAGATGCACAAACATTAGCACACAGAGAGAGAGAGCACATACATGCACAGACACACACAGAACAAGCACATACATACACAGAGATCACCACACAGGGAGAGCACATACACAGACCAAACACATACACACACAGAACAAACACAGAGAGCACATACACAGACCAAACACATACACACACAGAACAAACACAGAGAGCACATACACAGACCAAACACATACACACACAGAACAAACACATACACGCACAGAACACAGAGAGCACATACACAGACCAAACACATACACACACAGAACAAACACATACACGCACAGAACACACAGAGCACATACACACCTCCAAACGCAGCAGAACCCACCGCGAGCAAGAGAGAATAGCGCAGACTCACACAAGGCGACATCAGCGAAAGCAGCAAGGGCACGACGCCGTGCAAGGCGTAGACATATACGCGACTCGAATCACGAAACAGAAAGACAGGGGCATACAAGGAGAGTGCCTAAGGTCTGTATGCCCCAGTCACCCACACATCGCACGCATGCAGCTACACGCGTATAGACGCACTCCAAGAAGGTTTTCAAGAAAAGATGACATAAAGTATGAACACACATCTCAGAGGCTACAAAACACACCTTCCACGGAAGCCCCCGGTGTACCCGCCTGTCCAGACTGCAAGACCATCTTCCCGTCTGCAACGAACGGCTGTTGCGCTCCTCCCCGTGAAAAACGCAAAATGCAGGAGGCTGCATTTCCAGCAAAAATCAAGTCCGAGCTATACCAGCACACAGACAGGAGCCGGCCTGCAGCACATGAGGAGACAATTCTACAGCAAGGCTCCCATCGACACGCTTCCATGACAGGAAGCTCCCACGAGCAACAAAAGTCATCATACTAGCACGCAACTGAGCCACAACGGAGCGCAGCAGACCGCAGAAAAACAGCCGCAAACACATTCGCCCCTTCAGACAAGACCGTTGCCACGGCAAAGCAGAACTGAAGTGTCATCACATCGCATGCATGTCCTCCATGGGGAGCGCGCGCGCATCATCGTCCAAGCCTACTCCTTGTCTTGGGCAGGGTATAAGCCACACGAATCTCTTCTTCGCCGTCGTCGCTTTGCAGGATATTCACGTATGGATCTGAACTCAGCTCGCGAAAGGCCCTGTCTGCAGGCCCCTCCAAGCGAAACAGCCGAATTCTGCCATCATCGCACGCTGCAGCAAACGAGGGAAGGCTCAACTCGGGAGGACAGAGACACAGGGAGAAGACTGCGCCACCGTGCGAAGGGCACTCAACCTGACGGGAAGCAACACACAGGCGGAAAGCAGTCATAATGAGAGAGTAAGCAAGCAAGCAAGCAAACAGAGAAACAGACAGAAAAGTAGACAGAGAGGCAGGCGGTATTTCAGAAAGGCGAGCTCGCATTCCGTGTGTGTCTGCTATGTCCGACAGCCGAGGGGCCTCGCATGTTCAAGTTGGCATGCAGACACGGCGCAACACTTGCCCCTGCTGCCTCGGTGTGCAATCACTACGCATATACGGGCATGCTACACGATACTCAGTCGGCCTCTACACGGCCCCTTCAAGCTCCTTTTGTGCTGTCGCTAGCTCCTGACAGTTTGCGCTATAAAATGCTTGCATTTTCGCCGCAACCTATCCCCCCATGCTCTACGCTCCTTCAACACGTTCTCTCGATCTGGCGCGGCCTCCCCTAGCCCTCCTACCCCTTTCAAAGCTCATGGAGGTGGACAACCCCACCGTAAACGCACGCCTGTGAAGACGAGCCACACATACCTGTACGCGGCAAGTGCGGAGGTTCCACGAAGAAACGATCCCGTGCAGGCCGGCTGTCACAATTCGCCACTCGAACAGCGATACCTCACTGCTACTGCCGCTTTCTTGGTGCAAAGCACCCCCTCTAGCTTCTGCAGCAGCGGCTGCCGCAGCTGCAGCAGCGCCTACCGTCAGAGGCAGCCAGAGGATGTTTCGCACAGAAGTGCAAGAGGCTGCCGAGAGCCGCTGAAAACAGCGACCCCAAAAAACAACCACACCTAGAATCCAAGGCAGATTTCGATAAAGCACTCAGGATATGCATATACACGCATCGACATGCATCGACATGCGCCTTCTAGCAGCGTACGGCCATGTGCTACAAAAGTTCACAAGGGTAGCCCCTCCTGATCGACACCCGGCCTCGAAAAATTAATCCCCATCCTACATCTGGAGAGCACCGGTCCAAGGAAGCCTTTCTATTCATGAAAAACTCGAAACTGAGTGAGGCAGATGCACGGGTGCGAAGACATACAGCCAACAAACAATACACGAGCAGCGAAACGAACTGGAGGGTTTCTGCTCACGAGTTTCAGATGCCTGCTGACCGCGCTGAAAACCTCAACACATCCGCTGGAGCGGCCGGCTGCAAGCCATCGGCCATCTGGGCTGAATCTCACCGCTTCCACGCTCGAAGGCGGCTTGGTGCCGACACACCTGCAAGGCAAGCCACACGAATGAGGTGCAGCCTGCAGCTGTTGGCAACATTTTTAGGTCGCTAAGTCGAAAGGAATGAAATGCCGATTAATTGAAGCCTACCTGCATGTTAGAATGGCTGTTTCCATCGTTGTGGCTCATTAGAGCTGATGCCGTTTCAGGCCCTGTAAGAAGCCTTCTATCTATGTGCGCCCTTCGTGACTCTGTCAACCTCCTTTCTGAAATGAAAACTTTTCAAGCTCAAAAGAGACTTTTCCAGCGTCTAGCAAGGCGCGAAACATTGGAATCCGCCTAGCAGTCAAAGAGGGCCTCTTGCCCTCGCGTGCATGCGTGAGGAATGAGGGTTTAAAGCAGAACCAAAAACGGGCTTTTCTCCGCTTTCCCTGAGCCCATGTACCTAAAAAGAGAATCGTACAACAAAAAGAGCCGTGGTTTAAGAAGAGAAGGCCTCCAACGTTCTTCCTGGGTCAACTCTGTTTGATTTCCCCATGAGCTGCTGAGGGGTGAGGCGGTAAGCGGCTGCAGCCCCCAAAGCCAATCCTTTTTTTGTCAACTCGACGCAACATTGCGCCAACACTGGTATGCACAAGCCATAAATATGAATCAAAGGAACTTATATGGAGGATCGGTTACTTGAGAGAACGAGAGCCTAAAGCAGTTGAGCGCATTCTGGTGTTGTAGACGCCGCGAAACAGGGCTGTACTTCCGGTGGGACGCAGACTCGAGAAATATATATGAAACAGGATCAAGTGCTATTTCTAGCCCTTCGTTCATAGCTATTAGTGAGACTTCTGATTTACTACGTGTTGATATTCGTGAGGCACTTGTTGCGAACAACGCCATGAAGCAGCGTAGCCTATATTATCTATTTCAGAGCAACTGAATAACAGTTTTGATGGGCGCCTAACAAACCACGGTCCACCTCAGCACCAAGGCGAGGTCAGTGCCTCGTGAAGGCACGTACCCAGGCGTCGAGGCTGCGGACTTGGCCTTCGGTCCGTCCCACGCCCTTGTGCTTGTTCAAACAATTGGGAAAAGTAGAATGGATAATTGGCTAAATTCCGCGGTGATTAATTTCCGGCCCATCATGGGAGAGCGCCATCCCACAGCCGGATAAGATAACATGAAGCAACTAGAGTCCAGAGTGAGTCCATCCATAGTGTAGCTGTAACCCCTTCTCCAAGGTCTCCGTAGGGAGACACTTAACTCCAGTGTCAAAACAGACTTTAAAAAGCTGTTGAGTCTTTCAAAAGTTTACTCACCTTTCTAAGCATTCACAGCTAGTTGGACATACTATTTGCCCCACATGCACACCACATAGCATGGTATCGGGCCAACAAATATCGGCAATCTAAAGATTCACGAACAAAGAAGCCAACCAATCAACTCTTTACTCATTATTTGTTATCTACGGCTAGGCTTATGGAGAGCATTTGATGGTTACTTACGTGGCCTGCTGCATTATTCCGCTAGTGCATTTAGCATGCACGCTCTCATGTTTCGTACCTGTCGAGACCAACTGCGGGCAGTACAGCCGAAGAGTTCCCACCCTGTCGTCGCTCCACAAGCACGCGAAAGCGACAAAATCAGTGCAAATTAGATTAAATTAAACGTGTGGGCGAAGCGCTACAGAAATAGGAGGAAATATACACAGACACTAGCCAACAGCTAACCCAAACCAACACAGCCACGCCGGTGCGACGGCTCGGTGTCGTCGGAGCGCTTAGATGCGAGTGCCCCCTTCAAAAAGCAGCAAATTAAAGGGTGTGAAGTAAAGGATATACGTACTACGTTCAGCCGTGTCCTCGCCCCTTATAGCGCACTGTCTGCCTGGGAAAACAGCCGGTGCATGCGGAAAGACGATTTCAACGCCCCAACGGAGCCGTAAGCAGAAATATGGAGGAAAGGTGCCTGAGAGTGCTTCTACTTCAATCTGAGTGTAGAGACAAGCATAACAATGAAATCTTGCAAATCTTCAGGCAATGCTCACAACTTTACAGATTTTGACTCGAATTTGCCTGCCCGGGAAGTGACAGTAGACGGGAAAACTTCAGCTATGCTGTCCGCAGTTGGAACAGCTATGAAGCATGAGATCACCTGTGCATAATTTACTGGCGCAATGCATAGCAGGGTGTGCCATAAGATTGAAAAGGAGCGCGAGGAATACTGTCTGGGGCAACTCGCGCTGCAAACCAAACACATTCGCATCTTCTCCCGCAGACAGCGAGTTTCCCAGGTGCTCTTCTGTTATCCAATAGTGTTGACCTTTTTCACACTATTAAACTATAAAGTGCCTTCTAGTGTGCCGCTGGCACTCACTATTACCTAAATCCTGCACTTCGAGGGCTCCCTGTAGATCCTGTACCTCGGGACGGGTCTATTGCCTTCACGGCAAAGTCCGCTTAAAGTTCGACGACTTTCGAAACTTCGTTAGGATGCAAATATGAAATCTTTTGTGGCACCCCCAACCTTTAGGGCCACCGAATAAAGATAGAGAAACCGCTAATTTACGAGAGAATCGCAAAAATTCATAGCCTTCTGGCAAGAAACTTCTTTGTTTGGTCACCTTGTCGGGCGCCTCGTAAATTCTACTTATAGATCCACCAGGACCAGAGCGATTTGTTTAAAACAGAAAACTGACTACGGCCAACCGAAGTCCTGTGCTCATCGCCCTTGAGTTTTGCGAATGAGTTCACTTGCTCTTGCTAGAGGCTGCCTGAAGCCCTCCGCCTCTAAGGGTGGCTGCTGACCCCGGAGCACGAGTTCCCAAAACGGATTGGAGGGGGGCTGCGTGGTGTAGACCGGGAATGCGCGAGAGAAACTGGTGGACAAGTGTATTATTTTGTTATAAACTCACTCAGCACAACGAAGAAACTCCAGTCAAGCAATTTGATTTGGGGAGCGCAGAGCCGTAAATACAGCAGAATAAGGCAGCTGCTTGGCTCTCTCTGTCTATTTGCATCCGGGAGACGCGCAGTGGCCACAGTTCGCTCAATAGATTGGCGAGACCCCGAGGCACGCCAGAATACACTAAAGAATTTCGGATCCTTATACGTAATACTACTCCTGACGGATTTACAAAGCCAACTGAGCGACGTTCTGAGCCGTGTAATGGCCGGAGCAAGGGACAAAATGGGCATATTTACTGGATCCGTCGACCACCACATACGAGCTATCGTGCCTCTTGACCTCTATCTCTCGAACACAGTCCATGGTCAGATCACTCCAAATATTTTCAACAGCCGGAATGCTTTGTAAAGGTTGGGTGTAGGAAAGTTCTGTGAACCTAGTCAGGGACTATTTGGGCATGACAACGCATACTCTTCTACCCCTACACTCTTCGTGCAGCGCATAGCAGTACAATCTCATGAGCTTGTCAGCAAAGATTTCAACTTCGACAAAGCTGGAGCTATAAAAGCGAAATTCAGAGAAAAAAGGCTTGAATGAATATACAATAGACCTTGGATGTAAGTCCGAGACGCAGCCTGCGTCCGAGTGGGGCTATGGGGACGGGGCTATTAGGGTGGAAACAAGAAACCCGGAGGATTACGCTGGAATGTAAGTCTCTTGGATTCCGAGGTCTCAGAGCTCGAATGCGCACTGTTTTGAAGACATATACACTTTTTGTCACAAGGGATGATATTTGTCATTTGTTGATCTGTACACAGCGGCAGCTTGGAGTGGCATCTAGCGCTCTGGGAAATGTGCGTTACGCCGTGCATCCGGATGGACAACTAGAGCTGCTCTACCCCAGTGTGAATCCCGCCATGGACCAAGAACGGGGACCTGTGCTTTGTGCAAAACAGTACTGCCGAGTAAAGCCGGAATGCACAAGCGACCGCATCCACACTTTGGTTTAGACCACAGCAGGCTATCTTCGACAGAGTCACGCCTGACTTACCCTTATGCCATTCTGATTTTGGCAATAGTAGCGGATGCATGGTGTCAAACGACAAAGACCCACGCAATTTCCATTTTGGCTGTGAGCCATTACAGCCATCACAGACAGGGGCGATTGCGCTGTGCATTGATATATCGGTGAGGTGTCTTGAAAGTGCATCGGGGACCACGTTAGTGACACCTTTCAGCTACTTCGCTGTAGAAATGTCTTGTAGGGGGCGCGCAACATGCCAGACATATCCACAGTTATCAACGGCAAAAAAACTCTTTGCGTGCGAAGGTAAAGACTGATGCTTGGTCTGCACAGTAAATTGACGCCAGCATAAATAGTGCTGGCATTTTTCACGACCAAGTACACCACTTAGGGTTCCTCTTGCCGCACTGGATACTGCTGCTCAGTTTCCGTGAGGCGATGAGAATAAGAAGCATTAACTTGGTGCTTTGAAGAGCTCGTAGCCTATTGCGGGAGCCACCACTATGTCACTGGCATCAGCTGTTAGCAAGGCACGAAGGTCATAATCGGGCACAGCAACCAACGGAGGAGTTGAAGGGCGTCTGGTTAGCATCCCTGCTATAGCTTTAGCCCCATCTGCGTAACTTTCAGTTTGCGCATTTAATGTAGTTTACTCAAAGAGGCAATCAGTTGAGCAAATGTAGCAATGCATATTCGGCTGTAAGATGCAAGCCATGGAACTGCTCAACGTCAGTAAGCACAGGAGTGCCTAAAAGTAAAGGCCGCTTCTTAATTGCTACATTATCTGCCGGATCTGGCTCATTGCCGGCAGCCAAAACATGGAGCTCTAAAATACTTCTATTCTCACAAAAAGCGGACACATGTGTGCCTTCACATACCACTGCTTGGCCAGCAATGCCTGATGCACAAGCCGCAGCTGGGGCAGTAAGAACTCCGAACGGCATGCACCTATACTCCGGTCTGCGTGTGCATGCATAGAGCGCCGTTTTGTGCCTGTCATCAGGCTGAATGGGGATTGGGAAGAAGGCGTCTGAGAACTCAGATGGCGGATACACTGTCGATCCGCATATGTCAATATGAGACACCGAGAGCTTCTCCCTCACAGTAATCGTGTTCAGGGGTTAGAAGATAGCGCACACGAGTCACCTTTAATCTTCATTCGACGTGAATACCGGTTTGTGTCGAGTCGCAATTCAATTCCTGCAGTTCGACGTTTCTACAGTTTAGGCCCTGCTGCTCAATTTCCTATTTATGTAGTGGGGCTTTCGAGAAGGCATTAAATAGCATCCTGCTGTAGCTCAACATGGTGCGCTGGACGGCCAGCATGTGACCAGCCTGCTGCCAGCTCATCATTTAGCACGTCCGCGAACTTCCCCTTGATACTTGCCTATTTCTGCTGTTCTTAGGCTCAGAATGCTCAGTCGAATATGCTGATAAGGAACCAGCTGCAGAGTTAATAGGACGGCATCACTGCTCAGAACCACCAACTTTTACTGCTCTGTTGAGCCACCTGCATGCAGAATCTGCCTCACCTTGTTGAGACACTGACTCTAACCCCATCACCATAGAACAGTTGGGTGTTGCTGAGACCAGGAGGTGCCTCTGAATATCGCTTCATGCCTCACTACCTCGAGTGCCCGTATCTATGGCCGCATGCACACCATCCTTTGAGTCACCTATGCCAACCTAAGATTCTGCCCTAGTGCACTGGTCCTAGGACAGAAGTCAAAGAGCATAGGGATAGGATTTAACGCTCATTGAATGCAGCATTTAAGTGCCTCAGCCCTGCCAGTCCTTGCGTAATGCAGACCTGAGGCTTACGAGCTGTTCTAACGACTGAACAGGCAGAATGCAACCGTGCACCGTCTTCTCCGAAACAGATCCACTTTACATCCACTATCAAGTAACGCTACCAGTTCTTAACCATTATTGTGAAGTGCATGAATTAATCCTGCTGGGTCCTTAGCTGCGGCTCTGATTTCTATGGCCTTCACTGAGCCACAGCCTGCGTCGGCGCTTCTCGTTTCCCTGATGGCCTCCTTTGTTCGCCAAGTAGCCTGATCTCGCTGAACCCAGCTTCTTGCCCAATTTCTATGGCTTGTTACATGCGCTTGCATTTCCGGATTGTGATATTCACTTTCCCTCAGTAGAAGCAGATGCTTCGTTGGAAGACTGCTTAAGGCAGCGTATGCGCGCCGGTCCTTTCTGATAGCCGTTCTGGTCCAATTTGGAGTGTAGCCTGGGGGAGATTCACCATGCCTCAGCACCCACAGGCCCCAAATCTCTGCTGGGATATTCAGTCTCAGCCAAGGACGCATGAATGGCGCTCATTTGCTTCTACAATCTCGAGTAACTCATCATATGTGGAAGCCCCACCAGTCAGTTTCGCTCAATCGGTGAGTCACTGGCCACGCTGCAACAGTCTGACGTGAACCGTCGATAGACCTGAGGCAAAGCACTGGCGAAGCATCTCTTCGTGTAAGATGGCGGTTTTACCAGCCAAAGTTCAACTTTCTCGATACACCGATCTGTTGATAGCTTCCCCTGAATCAGCATTCTCGATTCTTTCCAAGACTGCTGTTGAGCTGAAATCGGAATAATCAGATGAGCAAGGCCTTGCATGGTGGCTTGACCTGTAGGAACCTTGCAGCTAGGCAACTCTCTCTACACGAACAGAGCTACCATGGACGTATCTGTTCCTCCAGTTAATTTTTCTTATGTAGCACTAGTTTAGCTGGATGCACGGTGTACAAACTGAGGTACAGCTCCAACCGGCTAATGAAATATACTCGTTTTTTGCCCATCATTGCGGCTATCATACTTTCTGCTTGACATGCATAATCGATGCATACACAGACAGTTTGTCAGCTGCCAAGTCTTTCCTGTCTCCCCAGAATGGAGATACTCCGTGAACGTTGGCTTGCACGCCGGTTGTAGCCTCCGCAGCAGGCGTTGTGGCACCGTCCACTTTCACTGCCAGATAATGTTCAGTAGTTCGTTGCCGGAGAAAATGAGGTCCCCGAGTTGGCGCATAGCAGAAAAAACAGGACAGCTTTCGTGGGGAAACCTGGCCCCCTTCTGCATCCACATCCCAGTGGATGGGCGGGGTGTAGCTACATGTAACCGTGATATGACCCGTTATGTAACAATCCATGGAGCTTCTGCCTAGGAAGATATTTAACCCCAGAGTCGATTAATCAAGTGACAAATAGTGAGTTCGTACTGCAAAGATTTTCATACCTCGTATACTGGTAGCTTTCCGCGCTCAAGCACGTAAGACGTGGAAGCTCTTTTGGATGGGCAAACAAAAGTGTCTATTTAGTTTTGCTTGGAGCAGAAGGTAAAGGTATCTGCTACTTGAAGTTTCAAGTGTTGCACTGAGTAAAGCTTGTTATCACCAGAATTTCTCCATTTGGGAATTAATCCGGCAAAAACCGACTCTGCCTTTATGTATTTTGCGGCTGTCTAAAAATAACTGAGTCACGTTGCCCCGCGTGCAAGGGGATGTCGGTACACAGGTACCCACCTAGAGTTCCCCAACACTGCAGTATTCGGTGTCAAGGAGGCACCCAGTCAAAATTTCAGTGTAATCTACATTATTGCAGCAAGGCTGTAAAGCCATATTACTGTCTGCTTCAATTGAAGCTATGTAGCCTGATCATGAGATTTTCTGCGCAGTTAGGCGAAGCCTTTCCCTTATTCATTAGTCTCCTGTGTCTCGCTTTGGACCCTAAACTGATGAACTGTCTTCTAAATCGATCAGTATAGCTTTGCAGTATTTGGAAATACTATATCTACGTATTCGTCCACAAGTAGTGTGCGCTTGCATGCGTTCTTTTACTGTACCATGAGTCTCCCACTGCTGTTGTGTGAAGCAGCCTCATGAATTGCTCGTGTTATAAACGCAGACTGCAGCATTCCCGCTGAGTCAACACGATGCAGATAGAAAGGAGAACAAAGAATGATCGTGAAATGCGTATCAGATGAGCCCTAAGCTGCAGAAGGGGGAAAAGCAAAGCTGATTCACAGGGCCTTGTGTGCCATCATACCGCTGGCTTGAGGACCCTGTGCTTGCCCAGCGGCCCTGTGCGAACATTGCAGTCCGAATTCTATTGATATTAGCCTACTCTTTCAAAAATTATGATTAAGTAGACAGGCTCTTTTCGGTTCCAGAAGAAGGAAGACACAAAACGGCCGATATTTCGTTGAGGTCAGACAGACGTGTGGGCCAGTGGTTCGCTTGCTGGAGGTATACACAGAATTGAAAGCCTTTTACAACTCTACTCGCTCGAATACTTATTCTCCTTCACATTTTAGCGTTTACCTATCCATTCTACCATAACTATGGTCACGGCATCTCGAGACGCATCGCAACTTCGTCGTGTGCCAAGGAGTTACATTAGAGTTGCCAAAGAAACACAGACGGCAGAGCGCGTCTTCTTGCGACATGCCGAAAAGTGTAATTTTATGAGCTTTGTCGTGTTTTTCTTGAATCGATTGGCTACATACTTCCTATATGTATCTCTGTGGGCTAGAAACAGATATCAAGTTACCACGCAACGAGGATACGGTCATTGGTGGAAAGAGCACTTACCGGTGCTTTAACTGGTGCATTCTCGTAGTGAACAGCATGAAATGCGTAAACGCTATTAGTTGCTGAGTCGCCGCCTTGGACAATGCACCCGTTTTGTGGAGTGGAGTGTGCATCACATGATACGTACGCGCGGGCTTGCTTTCGTTTTCTTATTCGTGGTGGAAATCATGCATAACAGATATTGGTTTCCCCGCGTTTTCGTGCCCGTGTGTATTTTGACCACTGCTTTATGACTTCGACCCTCGCTTCTGCCTGTTTTTTTTCACAGAATGAGTTCGAAGAAGGCTTTCACTGTCTACACAAAAGGCACCGGCGACATGGATGGCCGGACGTTCACAAAGATCCTGAAAGATTCCAAGGTTCTTGACTCCAAGGTAACAGCTGTGGATGCCGATCTAATATTTGCAAAGGTTAAGTCCAAAGGTGCCAAGAAGATAAACTACGCTGAGTTTGAAGAAGCATTGCGGCTTGTGGCTGCCAAAAAGGGTGTAGAAGTTGGAAAGGTCCAGGCTGAAATTGCAAAAGGTAAGACCTGTATTTCCTTTGTATCTACCGCTTACCATTTTTTCCAATCGGTTTACGTGCGATTGTAGCTGGTGAAGCATGCGGTGCTTATCCTACTGATGTGCCTCTAGAATGCTTCGTGCATGAGGGGAGAAGAAATGAAGTAGTAAGGGGCGTGCTGTGTTTCGATGCTTTTGCAGAAGGAGCTGAAGGTCCTGTCTTACACGGTACGAAAGCGGATAACGTTCGGTTTCACGATGACAAAAGCACATATACAGGAGTTCACAAAATGGGTGGGCCGACGACTGTGGATGACGGTCGGGTGCAGTTTAACGACTTGTCAAAGATATGCGATCGATCGGATTACGATATTCGGGGGGTGAAAAAAGGCATTATGGAAAAAAAGACTGGAGACAGCAAGTGAAGCCAAGTTCGGATGCACTCAAGTTTTCACAGAGCTTGGTATACATGAAGCAGCCACAAAGCGAGCAAAGAACGGGGAGCTTGGTTAATATTACGCATCAGTGGGCTTATATATGTTGCAGTGTCTTGCCTGATGCACATTGTACAGCAGGGACTGTTGCATTCGGGCTTTTGACCTGATCTAGTTGACAAGTGACGTTCGTACTGGCCACAAATCCACTTTTTAAAAATCATTCAGAAGTGACCCGAGCATATGCGCTAGCGCTTACTGCGATGTGAGGCACGTGGAAAGGGTGGAAGGAACTGACCAAGGAAAAATACATAGCTGAGGCTGGGAAGGGTCACCTGTAAAGATATTTTGCGAGCTCTGGTGCATGTGTATTTTTCATGAGAGCAAGGCTCCTCTATCTCGCTCGATGGCCCAATGTTTCAAGAAGCTGCAAACTTGTAGTATTTTCTCATGTTGTTTTGTACCACTGCCGTGAGACATCAAGGCAGGCATGTTTCCTCATTGCATAAATAATTGAGGTGCGAAAAATATGAGCCTTTATGCAGAGGGCCGCATGCATGCATCTCAGCACGTCGGCTTCTTCGAGCTGTAAAATACCTTTGTGTCTTAAGATTACTTTACCATTGCTGCACAGGTCCTCCCGATATCAGCAACACTAGTAAGCTATACACACTAGACCTACTTTAACGCACTCTTTTGAGGAGGACTACATTTTCCTAGATGGGTGTAGTATACGTCAGTGCTTACTAGTTGATTCGGTAGCGTGATTGGGGTGTCGGCTGACGTAAATTACTTATATTCTTGTCTAGAGGATTTAAGATGAAGGAATAAGATTTTGTTCGAGCTCTCTTTATAAGGCTTTTGTAAAGGTAGAATCTCGAAGGTAAGCTTCGCACCAATAGCGTACTTATCCCTCAAAGTGCAGCCGCTTTAGTGTAGGTTAGCCGGGATGAATACCGGCGACAATGCCATCCACAAGCTTCTTTCAGGGAACCCGAAGCATATTTTGCATGTTCCAATTCCTCCAGTAGAGGAGGAGAGTATGAGCGCGAACAGAACAAGAGTGACAACAGACCTAAGAGCAAGGATACGTATCAAGCAGAGTGAGCAGGGAAGGGGAAATCAGGGTGAATAGAAGAATGTGTTCGGGAATTAAGTAAGAAATTCAAAAAAATCGTATTAAAAACAGATGACTCCCTCGCTCTAGGGAATACAACCCGGCTTTTGTCGAGTCGGTCAACAATCCAACTACGACGCATGCGACTGAGTTCATGTTCTCTGCGCCCCCAGTGTACCATTTTATTGATTTTAGATAAAATTGTCAAGAAAATGAGTTAAGGAGGAGTTGTGAAATTTAATACTGCTCCTGAGTCGCGGTGTGTGGTTGCGCACAGTGTCATACGAGACACACACGCTCAGGGCTACTCCTTGATCTACAAGCCCCACTTTTATCTTTAAACATATGATGGAAGCTTAAGGATTTAGCATATATTATAGCTCTAAACTTTTTAGAGAGTTTCACAGCCAATACACCTGAACCAACGAACCGCACTGTGGTGTAGTCCAATGGTTCATGAACGGCTTTTCCCATATCGCCGTGACTTCCAGCGTTAGCGATGCATTTCATTTCGCCTTTTTTCATCATCCTTGGATTGAAGACTGTGCTCACCCTGAACGCCTCGGACCATGGTGCACCTTCGGTGTCATTCCTTGAGAATAGCCGGCTGCTCCAAACGTTGGGGCGGCATGCAGGCAGAGCCCTAGAATCCCATCACCTACACCAGAGGCCACAACAGCGCGTCATACCGCAGGCAATGAACCCGAGACGGAATCAATCGCGGTCGGATGGGAGGCCTAATAGAGTCTATGCTGCAGCCAGAACGTACCCATTGCCGCAACAGCACCCAGTGCATCCCTTGGATCAGCAGCGTATGCTGCATGGAATACTGCAAACCCGGCATTACGATATCAGGGGTCGAGCTGGAGCCCTAGGACCCCAGGGGAGACCAGATACAGCAACGGGGGAAACCCCTCAAGCGAGTCCATCAGCCTCTCCTGAAGATCTCCCTGCTATGGATCCAGCAAATAGGGAGCTGGCTGAAGCCGCGTCTGCTGCAGCAGCTCTGGTGAGGGAAGCACAGAGGCTTGAGGGGGGGGGGACCGTCCCCCCGGAGATCGCGGCAAGCCTCACGGCATTGCAGCACTTATCAGTCCCGGAGTTGGGCAAGGGGCCGTTTGCAGCAGGGCATTTGCTTTTCTTGTCGGATGTGTACAGCCCAGGAGACAAGCAGGTTGAGCTCAGGAAGGTTCCTGTTGTCTTCCAGCGATTTGTTACATTGGGCCGTAGCGTCGCTGTGTTCGAAATGGAAGCAGGAGGCCCCCCTTTCAGCGCGTTACTCCCTGGATTGCATCATTTGAGACTCGGATTTGGAGCGATTGAGGCTCCCAGACAAGATTCAGACAAGCAGCAGCCGCAGCTTTCTGGCCTAGGGCCTTCCCCAGACGCCGTGAGTGCGGCCGCTGTTGTGGGGGAAAGTCAAGTACGCAGAGCCTTTCAGGTGGCTGAAAGGATTCTGCAGTCTGATTTTGCATCCGTGAAGGATGCGTCTCGGCGCTCAGCTTTGCTCTTGCCGCTGTATGCGGTCTACATTCCCCGCCATGGTCAGAGCTACGCGTGGGTAGGACCAGTTGTTTTCTCACCCTCGGCTGCAATTACTTCGGCTTACGTTTGCACCCTACAAGACATCCTCAGTCCATCGGCGGCACGCGAAAGAAAAACGCACGTCCTTTTCCCTCCCCCGCCACCTGAAGCTCAAACCGAAACACCAGGGGCCCCCGCCCCTCCGGCTCAAGACAAAAAATCGAATTCGGAAAGAAGCACTATTAACCTGCCTGCTGATGGTTCACGACCAAACACGGGAGCCACTTCGGCTACGACGGCCCTTGCCCGTTCTCCTGTTGCGCCGAAGGCACCTGAGGCCTTGAGTGCTGCTGCTAGAGAGTATATCTGTGAGCGTCTGTTACGGGGTGTTAGCAGCCTGCATTCTGCGGGTTTAGCGCTTGGCCGAAACCTTACCTTAGAGGGTGTAGTCGTTGCGGCTGATGGCAAAGTTTATCTCTCGGATTTAGAGAACGTTGCGACTGCAACTGACAGTGAGCCGTGTGCAGCCGCATTGCCGCTGTCCCCGCCTTACGCTCCACCGGCTACCCCCGTGCAGCTTCTGCACGCTGCCGTTCCATTGTCTGCCGCTGTAGAGCCTGAGGTACCAGGACAGTTATCCTCAGCTCCTAATCGACTGCCGCCTCCCTCTGGAGCTGCGTCTACTGCCGCTGGCCTTCCCTTGGCTGCTCCACCGAATGTACCGACCCCACCCGCAGTGTGCCCCATAGGAGTAAAGGGTATCGATAGCAGACAAAAGAGCGAGTCTCTGCAGCTCGGCATTCTCCTCTTACAGATTCTGTCGGGGGGAACCTTGCCACGAAACTTGCCGAAATTCCTCCCACCCGCCCAGGTCCTGGATGCTCTCTCCTCGCACCTCCAAACGCAGCAGCAGCACGTTCATGAGCAGCAAATACAGCAGCAAATACAGCAGCAGCACGTGCAGGAGCAGCAAATACAGCAGCAGCAACAACAAATACAGCAGCAGAAGCAGCAGCAGCAACAACAAATACAGCAGCAGAAGCAGCAGCAGCAACAGCATATACTGCAGCAAATACAGCAGCAGCAGCAGCAGCCAGTGCAAGAGATGGTGCCGATTTACCCTCATCAGACACCGGAAAGGTATTGGCAGGAAGACACATGCAACTCCTTCGAGGGGACACTATCTCCACTAGGCGCGGCCATTGCCGAGCTGGCGCGGCAAGAGCTGAATCCGAAATGGACGAAATGCATCAGTGGCCTGTTAGGTTGTGAGGGGGGGGGGCCCCTAACGGCAGTGGAGGCAGCAAATCTGGTTTTTTCAAGCGCGGATGGGACGTTCCCAAGGGGTGCAGGCGCGGAGGCTCAGCCGCAAGACACGAAGACGCCGGCAAAACAAACATGAATGATGCAACGGTAGATAGAAGTAGTCCGTGCAGTGGCATTCAGTGCAGCAACGGTTGCAGCGGCAGTTCCAGCACGAAATGTCTCATGGGCAGCAACAGCATCGGACTAGCAAGACAAAACAATTGTTTTTTTAAATGTGTCTCATAGTTGCAGCTTTAGTGCTCTTTCTAGGCAGATACTCGTATCACTCTCCCCCCAACCAACTGTGCATTGTGTTGTCTCGTCCTGATGATTGATTCTTTTTGAACGCCTGTTCAAGATGCAGGTGCCATCGCGAGACTCCCTTAAAATAAACCTTGGTTTACGGGAGAGCTAATATCCTTTCCTATACATAGCGCAAAGGGCGTTGGGTTGGAGGCCCTCGTACAGGGCCAGCAGGGGGTGGGGGGTGGTGGTGGAAACACGAAGGGCCGCATGAGCAACCATAGAGATGCAAAATCCCTCATTTGTACCACATGAGGGAGAGTCTCAAAACCGATGCAAAAGAAGTGCCGCCAAGCCTTGACAGGGGTACTACTACAACGCATGGGCAAGGAGAGACAAAAGGGAGGGGGGGAGTGGGAAGTGTATTTCATGGGGTGTACGGGTAGGAGAGCGACGACATCGGGCATCTAGGGCATGGATGACAGAAACGGAAGCTCTGTCATACCCTACAATAGATCGCAAAAGGCCTCGTACATGGCCCCCTCCCGACAGGCATACATCTAGGACCATCACTGTCGCCACAAGTTCGCCTCGCGCTGCATACACTACAACAGCCCATGTGCCCCCCGTCACTGTAGATACAGGGAAGTCGCGAATACGATGTCTCGGCGGATCCTTTGAGAGGCCCCCTGCAGTTTTGCAACGAGCGTGAGGTCTCCAGTGAGCGTCATGGCTTGACCCAGCTGCAAGAGCACACAAGCAAGCCATACGCATGCCTGCGTGGCGAGCCGACAGTTCGCCATATCGCTCGCGTGTATCTACAGGAACACTTATACATACATAGCACTGAGCAGCGCATACGTTCATATACATATACTTATTTATACTGTGCTGGAAAAAGCAGGGGTACATCCAAGCAGGGATGGCTGAAGGGTAGGCAGGGAATAGAGCTATATATTTCGCTGCCAGTCTGTTTGTCTGTCTGTCTGTCTTCTTGTGTGTCTGCTTGTTTGTGTGTTTCTCTGCAGGTCTGTCTGTCTGTTTGTCTGTCTGTCTGTTTTTCTGTTTGTCTGTCTGTCTGTTTTTCTGTTTGTCTGTCTGTCTGCTTTTCTGTTTGTCTGTCTGTCTGTTTTTCTGTTTGTCTGTCTGTCTGTTTTTCTGTTTGTCTGTCTGTCTGTTTTTCTGTTTGTCTGTCTGTCTGCTTCTCTGCCAGTCTGTCTGCCTGCTTCTCTGCCAGTCTGTCTGTCTGCCAGTCTGTCTGTCAGTTTCTCTGCAAGTCTGTTTGTTTGTCTGTCTGGTAATCCTGCATCCCTTAGCGCGCACCTTCCTAATAAGTTCGTCAAGTCGCAAAAAGCTTCGAACGACAGACCCCTCCTGAGGCGAAGAGCACCGAGAAGTGGCAGTTGGTCACATGGATTTCTCACGCAGTGCACAAGCATGTCTTAGCAAGAGGCCCCCTATAATGCCCTGAGGCAGCCTGACTCACGTGAAGGCTGGTAAGGCGTACGACGCTGGCGAAAGACGCACCCCGTGCCCACTCATACGCAACCTGCGGCAGCGCACCAGCAAACATACACTCATAGATGTATATATGTATAGATATTTATACATACACATACATACATACACACACATACATACACACACATACATACACATACATACATACACACACATACATACACGCATACATTCATACCTATCCATACATACATATATATACATAGATACATGCGTACATTCATACATACATACACCCCCAGAATGTCGGCCTGCCTGCCTGCCTGCCTGTGCCCCCACCCTACCCTACACGGCTGCCTTCTCGAAGCCGCCCTTATGAGCGCTTCTTAAAGAGCTTGAAAAAAAGTCTCACGAGTGCCATGTCAAAGTTGCAAAGCTTCCACCAGTCTTCATCAGCAACTCGAAGGCCCTCCTGTTTCTGCGCGACCAGCAGCTGCGTGTGGAGAGCCTCCGCCTGTACAGACACCCGAGAAGGGAAGAAGCCTGTGAGGCGAAAGCGTGCCGCTGCAATCCTGCGGGTGCACAGCGTGAAGCGGCGAACTCGCGCGCACTCCTGCTCTGCGGAAAGGCCTCATTGATTAATTATGCCTTACAAGGCTGCGAGCTTCCTGCACTCCTGGTGTCGGGGCAGGTACTTCGGCCTGCTCTCTGTCACAGCCGACGAAGGCGCTCAAAACTGCAGCCACCTCTTCAACTGAGAGACCCTGCTCGAAAATTGCGAGAAAGAGGCGCAAGGCGAAAGAAGAACCGTTAAGAGAAGCAAGGGGGGTGCATGCACACATGCTTTCACACGTGCATGCAAGCACGCATGAAAAGCAACGGCACACGCATGCATGCATGCATGCATGCGTACATGAAAAGCAAGGGGCACACACAAGCATGCATGCACGCATGCACACATCGTTGCAGCCCCCAGGTGCCGTTTCTCTTGGAAAGCACACTTATCCAAGCAAAAGAACAGAGGGGGTGGAGCGAGCGTGGCAGTAGGGGTGACTACTAAACACGGAAAGAAAGCACTCACATCGAGGCCGTTTTGAAAGATGAACTCGGCAAGCGTCAATTCATCGCCAGACACGACCTGACACGCCACTCGACCCTGCAGCAGCAAACCGAACAACACTTCCTAGCACACAACCTTCTTCTTGCTTCCCCACCTCTTCCTTCTCCCCCCTCTCTCAGCACGCCTATTCACGCCCCAGACTCAGCTGCGCAGCTCTGCTTCAACAGAGAGCTACTTACTCGCACCGCGTTCACGGTACAGGAATGCGGAGAGTTCAAAGACATTCAAAAAAATATAAGAGGCATCCCCTGCCCATCCACGCCAAACACCTTTGGCCACCTCGCCGTTCCCCGAAAAACACACGCACAACTTCCGCAGTCGCGCAAGAAGTAGACGCTAGACAAGTCTGCTGTAAACTCTGTTCCCCTGCACTGCCTCCTACGCACCTTGAGAGTCGGAATTCCCTCGGCATCTAAAAAGCCAAAGCGTCTCAAAAATCGCTGTCTCGCGAGCAGATCTGGGTAGAGATCCAAAGACCTAGCATCCAACGATTCCGATAAGGCCACTGCTTCTTCCTCGAGCTGCAAGAACCGTCCCGTCAACAAATACCGCAAAACCACACATAGACGGCAAGCAGCAGTCTTCCCCCTCCCCCTCCCCCCATGAAGTGAGCCGATGCTGCGAAAAAACGAGCTACTCAGCAGGATACCACGTGGCGGTCCATCCTTATCCCCCACACACATACACTTAACGCCGGAAAGGGGAGCACGCGAGCTACTCTGGTTGCCAGTAGCAGTTTGCAAGCAGTTTGCCAGTAGCAAAGAGCGCAATGTTGCGCTGCAGCATTCGTAGAGGCATGCATGCACAGGCACGTAAGCGGCTGCTCTCAGCCTGTGCAAAGAGGCTCTCTCTCGTTTCTGGGCGAAGAGGCAGTCAGGAGGTCCCTCCCTCCTGCCGTCCAACGCATACCTTGATTTGCTTGATCGCGAGAGGGAGATGCTGCCCCTTTAGCTGGCAGTCTGCACACGGGTTCTCCTTCAGCTGCCTCTGCAGCTCTCCGTACTTCATCAGCGGCTGCAGGAAATCCAGATCGACTCTCGGCAACAAATCTTCCCACTTGAGACCATGAACGCCCCCCTCTGCCTCCTCTACAAGGCGGCTCAGCGACTGAAGGCAAAGACGCACAAAAGGTCACTGACTGAAACAAGTAAGGATCCATCTGCAAGAAAAAGCTGCCACACAAAGCAAGAAAGCGTTCCGCATGCACCAGCACCACCGCTTCACAAGCCCCAAAGGGCATGCTAGTCGCGGCCGTCTTGCGCAGCACCAACAACAGCAAAAAGAAACAAATCCTCGCTCACTCACTTCTTCCTCCCCTTCCCTTCCCTTCCTCCTCTCCTCTCCCCTTCCCTTGCCTTCCTCCTCTCCCCTTGCCTTCCTCCTCTCCTCTCCCCTTCCCTTCCTCCTCTCCCCTTCCCTTGCCTTGCTCCTCTGCCCTCCCCTTCCCTTCCTCTTCCCCAACAGCCACAACAGCAACAAGAAGGGAGCAAAGAGACTCACACTGGCGACGGTATTTAAATGAACAACATTGGTTTTGCTGAAGTCTGCAGGCGGATGGACCTTTTTATCTGCCACCTGTTCGACATTGTTGAGGCTGACACTCTTCAGCACTGCCCACTCGCTGCTGCCAGTACACCCAGGCAATCCACTCGCAATGTCTTCTAAGTCGAGGGGGGCCCCCCGGGGGCCCCCACCCCCCGCTCCCCACGCAGCCTTTGAGGAAACCCCCCTGCAGATACTGCCGCTGGACAGCACTGTGCCGCTCGTGAGAGCAGAGGCGTCTCCTAGAGAGAGAAGCAGCAGACACACGAAAAACAGCAAGCTCGATCTTCGAATGCGCAGCGAACCTCCCCCTCCCCCCCTACCCGACAGCTGCAACGTGGGGAAAGCGGAGAGGCACAAGCCAAGAAAGCCTCCTCCCCCATGGTTTAGGCACTTCTCGCAACCTTAACAGAAACTTTTCAGGCTGAAACAGCCGAAGACGCGTCGACAGCAGCGAAACTGGCTAGGAGCTAGCTGCAATGTGATGGCGAACATCTCTAGAGGGCGTGCTGTCTCCTTTAAGGCCCCTTGTTATGGTGAGGCACTCCCAGCCATGCGGCTGAATATCAACCTAAATCCACCTACTTCTGCCTTCACCACCTCTTAGAGCAGAAACGGAGAAGCCTTGAGGAAACAGGACCAGCATGCTGAACGTCGGAGGTTCTGGAAAGATGACACACCACAAAGCAAATGCCGAAAATCCCCCTACACCCTCAGCATGCGAAAGCGTCCCCCACCCCACCCGCATCCTTTTGAGGCCCCTTCGACGCTGCTACAGCGGAAAGGAGACTTTGCCATTGAAGAAAACATCCGAAACATGCGCGAGCAAGACAGCATGCACAGCCATGCAGAGATGCGCAGGAGAGAGCGAGGGGGCCCCTCCGCGAGCAGAGGGGGGAAGCGATCTCAATAAGGGATACACAGCCACCACACATCGCAGCCTTGCGTTCACGCAGGGGTAAAGCCGGCACAGAGCAGCACGCCAAAGCAACGCAGAAGCCTCAGAAAAAGCATCTAGGATCAACCATGCAGAAGGCAAGAGCAAATCCTGAGCGGCAGCAGCAGGATCTGCCAGCTCTGAGCTGAGCCAGCTGAAATTGCATTTTCACGGACAAAAATCCGGCAGAAAAAACTCGCACTGACAAGACGTTCCAACACGTTTTCCGCTGCTGCTGCAGGCGTGAGAGGGGGGGAGAAAAAGAGAAGGAGCAAAAAAGGGGGGAAAATCCGAAAACCCCCGTGAGCGAGCGAGCCGACAAGAAGATACGCGTGCAAATACAGACGAAAATAGAAAAAAAGGCCCATAGAGAAAAAGTACAGACAAGTATACACACATACACTCACACAGCGAGACAGACACATAGACAGACAGACATACACACATACACAAATATAGCCAAACACACACAAACATAGCTTTCCCCAAGCACCCGTATACTTCGCATACCTCCTTGAATGATAGGCACGAAGTCTACGCTGAGGATGACGGCTGGAAGTGAGAAGGGCAGCAGTTGCGTGAGCGAGTGAACGAAAACAATACGGCCCATGCAGAATACGGAGGAGGCGATCTGGCGCTGTTGCCACACCTTCCTACGCGGAAACACATACCCAGAGGAAACGCAAAGTCTGCTATGAGGAGGGAGGCAGAAAGGCAGCGGGGGAGAGAGGGAGTGGCTTTGCTACATGGCGGATGGTGAAGCGATGATGAAGAGGAAGACAAAGAAAAGGACAGTCGCATGTCATGTCATGTCACATGTGCCGTTAATACGAAACGCCTCCTGCTGCTACATATATATATGTGTATATGTATATGTACGTATATATATATATGCATATATGTATATGTACGTATATATATACATGTATATGTATACATCTATATGTACGTATATATATATATATACATGTATATCTATATATACATATATATATGCATATATCTATATGTACGTATATATATATATATATGCATATATCCATATGTACACATATTTATTTATATATAGGTGCTAGTAACCCGCAAGAGAAGGAGTTCTAGGCAGCAAGATACGATGAACGCATGCATTGGCGAGGCAGCACGAGCCACAGGAGCATCCGAATGCCTTGCAACGGACAGATGAACGCGCTCTCCAACTTGATGCCACTGTCGCTGAATCTCTGCATAGTTGCGGATCGTTGGCTTCCCAAAGATGCAGTCAATTGGCGGCAAAGCAGCCAAGGCCTGAGAATCATACACTCAGCGGATAAGAAATTGCATGTTTTGCACGTGCATTTTGTATACCGGCAAGCACACTGCACATGCATATCTAGAAGTATACAACACTTTTGTCAACTTCCGGATGCAGCGCTTGCGGTCTTGCAGTTTCTCTCGTTCTATCTCTATCTCCCTCTCTTTTGCCCTCGTTCTCTGTATCTCTCTCTCTTTATCTATCGCTCTCTGTTTATCTATTTCTCTAGATCTATATATCTATCTCTATCTATCTATATTTATCTATCTATCTATCTATCTATTTATCTATCTATCTATCTATTTATCTATCTATCTATCTATTTATCTATCTATCTCTATCTCTTTCTACTTTCTCTCGATTGATCTCTTTCTATCTACCTCCCTATTTCTCTCCCTATCTCTCTCTCTATTTATCTCTTTCTATCTATCTGGTGTGCAGGAAGCCATTGAGAACGCATCATCAAAGGCACACGTATTCTACACCCTATATGTACTTAAGTGCATGGGAAGCTGCTCTTGCCTTCGTGCATCGTCGGAGGTTTCTCTTTATGACGGGCCGCTGTGTGGTTCGTGCAGCTTCCCTGAAACTGCTTCTCAGCAGCATTTCCACAGACAAAGAGTCCGCCTTTGCGTGAAGCAGCAGCAGCGTTTGATACGTAAGTCGGAAGCGCGAAGCCATCGGAGTCGCTCGCTCTATCATCATGGTTGTCAAGTCCTGCGAAAAAAAGTCCAACAGCAGATGCGGTGTATGTACACCCTCGATGGGGGGGCAGCAAGCGAGTTCTGCGTTCACGTAGAAAAGACGACGCCTGCGCATGTGCAGCTACTAAAGCCCTAAAGAGTTACGCAGCACCCTACACAGCATCTGCGGCAAAGCATCTGCATAAGCAGCAGCAACACAGCATCTGCAGCAGGAGCAAAGCATCTGCAACAAAGCATCAGCATCTGCAACAAAGCATCAGCATCTGCAGCAAAGCATCAGCATCTGCAACAAAGCATCTGCATCTGCAACAAAGCATCTGCATCTGCAACAAAGCATCTGCATCTGGAACAAAGCATCTGCATCTGCAACAGCAGCAAAGCATCTGCAACAGCAGCAAAGCTTCTGCAACAAAGCATCTGCATGTGCAACAAAGCATCAGCATCTGCAACAAAGCATCAGCATCTGCAGCATCTGCATCTGCAATGTGAGAACCTGCCTTTGGAGAAGGAATTTCATCGGGCGCAAAGACATAGACGTTTCCACAAGTGTCAATACCTCTGCGTCCTGCTCTGCCCGCCATCTGTACGAGGAATAAGGCGAGTCATGCACAGAGTAGCAGAAAATGTTCAATGCAAAAAAGAGGTGGGAAGGCAGGCAAGAAGCCGCAGCACATGCAGAAGGACGCAGCTTCCAGCGGCAAAAAAAATGCGGAGGGAGACGTTTCTTTTTTTAAAAAAACAAAAAATCTCTCTTGCTCTTTATTTCTCTCTCTCTCTCGCTCTCTCGCTCTTTCTTTCTCTCTCTCTCGCTCTCTCTATATATATATACATATATATACATATATATTGCCTCGCGAGAGCCGTCGGCATGACCCCCTCCCCTTTCCTCCCCTCAAGAAATACCCGAACTGCTGCACGCTGCCACAGCTCTTAGCGAGCATTGCCCTCGTTCGTCGTATACCTGAGTGTATTCTGAGGCGTGAAGAGGCCGCATCTTCTCCCCATCGTGCTTGCGTATGTCGGTGAACACGACAGTCCTCGCAGGCATATTTAGACCAACAGCGAGAGTCTCAGTGGCGAAAAGGACGCGCACCAAGCCTCTCTGAAAGAGTATTTCTACCTGTCAGCACACCGCAATACCACAGTGCCCAATATGTGTGTGTGTGTGTGTGTGTGTGTGTGTGTGTGTGTCTCTTTCTCTCTTTCTTTCTCTTTTCCTCGCTCTCTTTCTCTCAATATACTTCAGCGCTGTACAACTGTATCGCTGCACGCGACAAAAGGCGATGCCTGCGTTCGATTTCTGCGCAAAAAGCGCAGCGAATCTCAACCCCTAGCATGCTAACCATCTCTTTGATAATAGGCAAGAGGCCACCGTGATGCACGCCAATGCCACGCTCTGCAAGACGCAAAACGAAGTCGATCTGCCGAAGCTCCCGATCCGCGGGGTTAAGCCGCTTCAAGCATTCCTACAAGGAGCAGGTGAAGCCACACAGATGCAGAAACTCACAGAAGAGGAGGCAGCAGTAGCACAAAGAAGAAGCAGTAGCACACACAGGAGGAGGAGGCAGCAGTAGTAGCAGCCAACATGCAATAGCGCATACAGAGGAGGAGGCAGCAGTAACAGCAGCACATATGCAATAGAACACACAGAGCAGGAGGCAGGAGCAGCACGCAACAGACAGCAGCAGCAGCAGCAGCATTCGCATAGGAGGCAGCAGTAACAGCAGCACATATGCAATAGCACATAGAGGCACAAGCTGCAGTCGAAAAAGCTGCAGCTTCCTCCTAAACGTCATATTTCAATAAAAGGAAAGAGGCGTCGATTGCCCGATGTGCTGCTGCCTTGCTGACAGCGCTGCTTTCCTCCGTATACGGTTTGAATGAGAGGCAGACGAACCTTCGTGAACAGATGAATTCTGCTACGATGAATTTGCGATAGCGTCACATCAATTTGTGTAAGGCTCCTCGCAAAGGCCTCACATTTGCGCCGACTGAAGCAGAAGAGAACTGCCGGCAGTTCATCCTCCTGCAACACAGAGACACATACATACACATGTATACATACATATACATACATATATATACACGTACATACATACATACATACACACATACATAAATACACAAATACATACATATATACATACATACATACAATATATATATATATATATCACACCAAGCGCGATGAGGATGATGCCTACCTTCGCTAAATACCGAATTAGCGTCTGCAGCCGCTGAGATGCCGTCTTGAATTTTGCATCAGCACTTTGATAAGCTGCCTTGTTAGCCCCCGAGGAAGAGCTTTTAGAAGCACCGGAAGCATTTCTTCCTCCTCTGTGTGCTCCCCCGCTTGGTGCACTCGTCTTCTTCTCGCTGATGTGTGCGTATGCTTGCGAGTATGCCTGCAGAGACACATGATAAAAGTTGAGGAAAACACCGTGAGAAGCGATGCAGCTTGCACCTTGCTGCCTTGAAGACTCAAAGCCACGCCAGCCAGCACACAGCCTTTTCCCCTTGCCTCTTCATTACGGACAGAAGCAGCATGTTTTATACACCAATTTTTCGTGCACATGCTGTGCCGAAACTCGCAGACACACACACTAAACAAACAACGGCAAGCGCATCCAAGCGCAGCCGGCAGCAAGTTTATGCGCAGAAAACTTCAAAAATACAAAATAACAACAGCCACACGACGAAGCTTTGCCGCGCGCGATCCCCTTTACTTCTAGCAGCACACACAAATAGACACATAGGCAGACAGAGACACACACAGACAGACAGACAGAGACACACACATAGACAGACAGAGATAAATAGACACACAGACAGACACACAAACATAAACACACATCGACAGACACTTACACACACACACATGCATACACACACACACATACACACATGCCGACCAGCCCCTTCAGGACCATCAATTCTGAAAATCGCACCGTGGCGTTGAATTCTCCGTTTCCGTCGATAAGAAGGAACGGCTTGTCTCTGGAATAGAGGTAGTGGCGAAGGGGAGTCGGCCTTTTGTGCGTGGTGAGCGCGAAAACCTCCCGTTGTTTGACAGATCCAAGCCAGTCGCAGAACTCGCGATAGTTTGGCAGCGTCGCAGACAGCAGCACGATATTCACCTGCAGGAAAACAAGAGCCAAAATGCGGCTGCGTTTCTCTCTCGAGACAACCCCATGAGCCTCCGGCAAAGGCTGGAAAGACATGCAGCAGGGCAAAAACGGCAGCGTCAAGGAAACAGCTGAAGGGAAAGAAGCTCACACTTGGGGGCACCGGTGTTCACACATATATATATATATTTATTTATTCATTTATTTATACATGTAAGACAGAGAGGGGGGAGGCTACATGCAGGGATATACACAATCCGAGTATGTGCATCCTAAGAGGCGGAAGCGGGTAGGTAGGGGTGGAGAATAGGAGAGAACAAAAGAAGCGGATAAGAAAAATCGTTGCTCAACAGCATCTCTTATATTGAACAACGCCTCATGGGGGCGTGAGGTTTGCTGCTAGGCCGTATTGGTAGAGATGCTCTGGAGAAGTGTGAGAGGTACACATACACATATTATGTACATCCATATACATAGAGAAAGAAAAGAGAAAACAAGAAGAAAAGTGTGCTTCTCCAGAGCAAGCGCTCTATTGGGGCCGTATAAAAAAAGACGTCAGCGCCTGTGAAGTTTTAGCACCTCGATAAAGCCGCACACGCGATTGCCACAGAGTCTTTTGTGTATGTGCATAGTACATAATATATATATATCTATATATAGATATAGATATACAGATACACATGTATATATGAATTTATATGTGAGGGCCTCACGTGCTGAGGCAGAAGAATGAGAGTTTCTTCCCATACAACGCCGCGTTCAGCGTCGTTGGCGTAGTGTGCTTCATCAAAAATTGCAGTGTCAAGCTGGCTAATGATCTCATCGCCTCTGAGAAACACATACATATATATATATATATGCATATACATATGTATATACATACGTACATACATATACACACACGTACATACATACATACATACATACCTACACGTAGACACACGTACATACATACATACACACACACATAGACACATATATACGTACACATACATATACCCATACATACATACATACACACACATAGACACATACATACACTCACACATCGCGAGGCCTTTGAAAGCGCAACTTCCAAACGATTACTGGAGGCTGCAAGCTGAGCATGCGCCGCCACGGAAACACTCTAGAGCTGAGGGTGCTTGCCTGAAGAGAAGACTTCTGAGAATTTCCGTTGTCACAATGAGGCAGGCGGCCCCTGGGTTGATACAAATGTCTCCCGTTATAAGCCCCACCTGCAAAAGGCCTCATTTCACGCCAGCAGCACCGCAAAATTTGAAAGCTTAAAGACGCAGCAACCTCAGAAGCAGCTCTCGCAGAGCGAATGGAAAGATCGAGTGATTGAGGAGGTGACTGATGCAGGAATCGGTGGCGTCATTGCGAGGCCCTAAAGATCGTCTTTTGGGAAAGCGTGCCTTGAGCGCACGCGAAACAAACGACCATTCTACAAAAGAGACAGAAATGCACGAGTGAGCAAGCGATCGAGCAAGCGATCGAGCAAGCGATCGAGCAAGCGATCGAGCAAGCGATCGAGCAAGCGATCGAGCTTCCCTCACAGCGTGCCTCTGCGCAGCTTGCCAGACAGGCGATGCACATTTTCTGAAACAGCTCGAAGATGCGGCTTTCTGGAGGTGTGGCTTCCTCGTAGGGGCAGTGGAGCGGCAACACCTACGGATATGAACTTTTGCTTGAATTCTCGATACTTCTGATTGGACAAGGCCTTGAGAGGCGACAAAAAAACGCAACGCCTTCTGCGTTGGAGGGCCAGAGCAATCGCATACTCGGCAACAACAGTCTTGCCTGAAAAAATACTCAAAAAAAGTACAAGGAAGGGGAGAAAATTAGCAGGAAGGAAGGGGGGAGAAGAAGGGTGGGGGTGATGGTGGCGGTGTCCTAAAAAGGTGCGTTTAAAAAGAGGAGGAGAATGAAGAAAGGGAGGATCAGGATGAGGAAAAGAAAGAAAGGGAGGGAGGATTAGAATTAAGAAAGAAAGGGAGGATCAGGATGAGGAAAAGAAAGAAAGGCAGGGAGGATTTGAATTAAGAAAGAAAGGGAGGGAGGATTAGAATTAAGAAAGAAAGGGAGGATCAGAATAAAGAAGGAAAGAAGGAGAGAATGAGAAGAAAGGAAGGCAGGGAGGATTAGCATAAAGAAAGAGACGGAGGAGAATTAAGAAAGAAAGGGAGAATGAGAATGAATAAAGAAAGGGAGGGAGAGGGAGAAATAAGAAAGAAAGGGAAAGGGAGAAATAAGAAAGAAAGAGAAGAATGATAATGAAGAAAGAAAGAGAAGAATGAGAATGAAGAAAGAAAGGGAGAATGAGAATGAAGAAAGAAAGGGAGAATGAGAATAAATAAAGAAAGGGAGCGAGAGGGAGAATGAAGAAAGGCAGGAAGGAGAATGAAGAGACGGAGGAGAATAAAGAAAGTAAGAGAGGGAGAGGGAAATTACAGAAAGAAAGGGAGGGAGAATGAGAATGAAGAAAGAAAGGGAGCGAGAGGGAGAATAAAGAAAGAAAGGCAGGAGAATGAAGAGACGGAGGAGAATAAAGAAAGAAAGGGAGGAAGACAAATAAAATAAGAAAGGGAGGGAGGATTAGAATAAAGAAAGAAAGGGAGAATGAGAATAAATAAAGAAAGGGAAGAATGAGAATAAAGAAAGAAAGAGAAGAATGAGAATACAGAAAGGAGAAGAAGGAGAATACAGAAAGGAGAAGAAGGAGAATACAGAAATAAAGAGAAGAAGGAGAAGAAAGAAATGAAGAGAAGAGCGAGAAGAAAGAAAGAAAGAGAAGAATGAGAAGAAAGAAAGAGAAGAATGAGAAGAAAGAAAGAAAGAGAAGAAGGAGAAGAAAGAAAGAGAAGAATGAGAACACAATGTAAAAATGTGTGAATGTACCTGCACTGGTGTGGGCCGCAACGAAAACGCATTGATTTTTTTCTAAGCGTAAGATAGCTCTCTTTTGGAATTCATCTAGCGAAAAAGCAAACTCGATGGCTAGTGGTTCCTCTTCGGGGGAGAGATCAGCGTCGCTTTTGTCAACAAGGACTGAGGGAGCAGCAGCTGCAGCTGCAAGGCTTGCAGCAGGCAAAGTAGCATCACCAATAGGCCTAGTCAACGCAGCAGCTGTTGCTGCATCTGGAGGGGGTGCAATAGGTGCCCTTATGAGATTTTCCAGTGTATTGCTGCTGCCAGGGATGTCTCCAGCTAGCTGCTGCTGCTGCTGCTGCTGTCGAGCTGCTGCTGCGGCAGCAACGGCAGCAGCCCTCTCTTTCCGAATTTCGCGAAGCATGCGTCTGAAGTGCGACACGTCAGTAGCATCGTCTATACACCACTTTTTTCGGATTGCCCTAAGCTTTGACCGCTGGGGATTTTCCTCTTCTTCTGTTGTTGCTGGTGCTGCTGCTGTTGCTGTTGACGAGGGGCCCCTCTCAGCAGCAGCTGCAGCAGCTGCAGCAGCTGCACCCGCCTTAGGCTCTACCCCTGGAATCGCGTGATCGTCACGCATGAGCTGCAACTGTTTCCTTGGTGGCTCGTGCTCTACGACAGGTGGAGGAGCTGCGTTCGGATTTAGGTTGAGAGGAATTTCCTCGAGCAGCTCGAAAGTGATGCGAAATTGGGGAGGCCTCGGGTGGCCATCGCCATCATCACACAGCAAATCCAAAGGCAACAGAAGCGGTTGTTGTTGGTGCTGCTGCTGCTCCTGATGTTGTTGCTGTAGTTGTTGTTGCTGCTGCTCTTGTTGTTGATGTTGTGGGAAAAAATTCAAGCTTTCACCTCCATCTGCCGCACCGCCCCATGGCGCTGTCGCTGTCTGTCGGGAGTCGAGCGGCCGCTGCCCCTGAGGCGAAGACGGGGGCTGCTGTTGGTGCCCTTGCGCATGCGCTACTGTGCCGCTTGAGGCTTCACTCCCCAGCAGCTTCAGCTCCTCGAGTGTCTCCAGAGACACCGGAGGGACGGCAAGGGGGGCCGGAATGAACGAGGCTAGCGGGGGAAGCAGCGCATCGACAGGGGGGGGGGCCCCGTTGCAGCTCGAGGCTTCGCAGCCTGCAGGGTAAGCCGTAGAACCCTGCTGAGCAAGACACCCTTCTCCCTCATCTGAAGACTGCTCGCTGCTGTCATCCTCCGTCCAGAAGTCAGAGTCGCCTCCGAAAAGGCGTGCCATGGCTACCAACCCAGAAGGAGAGGCAGCAGCGCCTGTGCGCCGGTGCAACACTTCCCCTCGGGGGTCAGATAGACAGCAGGAGCTACGCGAAAAGCGGTATTCTTAAATTCTAATTAGTTTGCCGCGCAAAGCGCGAGAGTCTTCACAAAATGGAAAAGCCGCGGCGCCAAACGAATGACGCCTCGGGGGGGCTGCGTGCAGGAGGGGGCCCCCAAGTTGCACGGGGGGCCCCTTGAATCCTGGATTCCCGGAAAGCGGCGCGGTAAGCGGCTAAACTTCATGAACAATTTTGCGCAGAATTCAATTGCGAACTCCCTGCGCGCATGCATCGCCTCACAAAAGCAGCGCCATCCAGCAGCAGTCGGCTTTTGCAGGAATACGGGGCAAAGGGCTGCTGCTGCTCCTGAGCTCAACGAACGCTCCGCTGTACGGTACCGCGGCTGCGGGTGCCAGCTTCGCTTCGCAGCCTCCCCGTCGCTCGTCGATGGAAAATGGACTCGGAAGGGCGAAGCGGAGACGAGAAGGATCAGAAGGGGCCCCTGGAAGCAGGTGAGCGGGAGGCTGGAGGCGTCGTGCCCCTCGGCACTATTCGAAAAGTCAAGACGCGAGAGGGCGAAGAAAAAGAAAAAGTGCAACTCAAGCTTCGGGCCTGCATCAGCTGCCGGCTCGTAATGACGGAGCAGCAGGCAAGACCTCCTTCCCCTTTCGAAAGGCGTGCAAAGTTTTCGCCTGCTGCACCAGCTGGCGGCATGGAGTGAACCCTTTTGCATGAACGCGCGTGCCTTGCTGTTTGTCTCGCTGCATCTCTATATATATCGCGCTTCTTTTACTGCTTTCGTTGGAGAGCACGTGTGGAATCCAGGGGTGTCTAGTTGGAATGACGCCTTCATCTTTTTTTTCTCTCTCTCTTTCTCTCTCTCTTTCTCTCTCTCTTTGTCTCTCCTACCCTCTCTTTCACTCGCGTTCCCTCTCTCTGTCTCTCTCTTTGTCTCTCCTGCCCTCTCTGAACCAGTGTGTGTGTGTGTGTGTGTGTGTCTGTGCTTGTGGGCGCGCTGCAGTTCTATGACGAGGGCTGTCCGAACTGCGCCTGGCTGCAGATCGACGGCGACAGGAGCCGCGTTTTGGGCTGCACTTCGCCTAACTTTGCGGGCTTTGTAGCGCTTATCAAGCCTCAGGGGTCTTGGGTGGCTCGGCACAATAAACTGAGTGAGACAGGGAGTCGTAGGGGTGGCGTCTGCAGCGGCAGCGGAAGAGCGCTCTTAGTCCGGAGGGAAGGGGTAGAGGGGAAGTAAGGCGGGGGGAAGGGGAGGGGAACGAGTGCCGTGTGCCTTCAGCTGCCACAGAGAGAGGGTGCTTTTAGCATAGTTCGTTGGACGGCGACGCATGTGCGTACGTTCCTGCTGCAGCCGAAGGGGTGCCTGGGTGCTATGCAGTTAAAGTCTTGGGAGACCTCCCCGACAGCATCAAAGACGATGCGCATCGCTTCGCCGCCTATGGGGAGTGACGGAGCTCAAAGCGCGAAAACGCCGCATGCGGGGCCGCACTGCACTGAATTCCAAGGAAGTGCTGCGTCTTCCTTGAAGTGCAGTGCACAGTGCAGTGCAGCGGGCAGTACAAGTGCAGCTGGATGAGCTAGCAGGCTGCTTTGAGACAGATAGCGAGAGAGAGAGAGACGGGCTTTCCCTTGGTTTGCTTCTACAGCTCCTGTTAAGGAAGTAGGGAGGGGCTTAGGGGGAGAAAAGGCGTCTTTTTCGCCTCTTGCCGAAGGGCTGTTTGCTTTGGCTGGCCAGAGAACGCGCACAGCGTGTAGCTGATCCGAGTGTCTTAGGGAGGCGGTGACAGGGCGTGGATTGAAAGCGCATGCGCCTACGGCGGCACGCGTTTTCCTAGATGTGCAGCTGCATGCATTAGTTGTTGACGAATCACATCTAGCCGCAACAACTCGTGAAGGGCGGCCGCTGCAAGCGGCAAAGGCGTGAAAAGATGGGGTGTCTCCATGAAAAGCAACAGGGCATGCTTGCGGAAATGCCGCTTGCTCAGCTCCATCAGCGTGACCTTCATACGCCACCCATCAAAGAATGCGCGCGCGCGACATCTCGAGTCGCTTAGGAAGTAGTGGAAGAGCTAGCGTGCCGCGATGCGGCTCATGCAGGCATCGTGCTCTGCAGAGGTAAAGGAGGAGGAAAGACACCCGGCCGCCGCTTGGGGCGAAACGTTCAACGCGCATTGTTATTACAGCAGCGCGGCGAAAACGCTAGCTGCGGCTCTTGCAGCGCTGTATTGGACGGTGTGCATACACACGGGGTGTAACGCTCATAAGAAGTCTTCCTAAGAAGCGTCATCGTTTGCCGGAAACGCAATACAGAGCTTTAGAGAATGTTGTTGCGAACCCATTCAGAAGCGACTTACTTCCCCTCCCCTGGCCCCCGCGCCCCTTCAGCTAAGAGCTCCAACAGTTTTTCTACACGCGTTATGCTGATCTAAGAATGAGTATACCAGTGATTTCTAAGTCTGCTTGTTCGTAGTTCTGATTATTGCAGGCAGAGACCTACTAGCTCGATACGGGAAGACGTAGTGTTGCGTGCATGGGCGCTCGATGCCATGTGCAACTACCTGTGAACGCTTCAAGTGCCTTTCTACGGGGAGCAACTACGCGCCCTTGGCTGTATTTCTTTCCGCATGTCCGGATTTCTCAAGGCTGCGGATAGGGAAAGGCGATAGTTCTTTCAGAGAGAGAGAGAGAAAGAAAAAAGACAATAGTTTTATACTGGCTGCACCTTTGTTGAGCATGGAGTCGTGCGCCGTCTTCCTACGGAGAAGACCTTTGAGATGGCAGCACATGTGGCATGACAAGGCAGTAAGCAAGACCTATTAAGCTTGCATTCGCGTTGCAACCCCGTAAACAAGCACTCCGAACAGACAGCCTCCGCCAGCGCCAGGTGCGCGCACAGCAGCAATCTGACGTCCCCATTCAAGCACACAACAGCATTGCTCTTACAGCATTATTCCGTTGCCCCTCTGTCTCTACTCTCTGCAGCTTGTTAGATAGGCGAGCCGTCCAACTACCCACCCACCAGTCAGTGCCTACCATACAACTTCCTACAGCAATATTCCCGGTGCAGCACGAAGTGCAAAGGAGTAAGTTCGCATATCAACTGCGCAAAGGAAGTCATGGACACCTTGCCGTCGGAGCTGCTCGGTGGCAAACGGCATTCAAGACGCTGCGCGTCCGTGTATGCCCCCCGAGGCGGCATCGAATGAAGAAACACACTGCCACCATGGACAAGGCTTCCTGCATGCAGCTCAGGGCGTGCAATAAAAACACGCAGAGTCACAAACAAGCGCGTCTTCAACAACAACGCGGCCTTACCCGCGCGCACTGCCAGACAGACGGGCAGAGAGGAGGGGTGAAACTGCTCTATGCGGCAGGCGTGAGCCGTCGGCCGTTGCTGCTAACGCCTGCCTGGCCTCTAGACAGTCACAAAAGGCATGTTTTTAAGAACATAGACGGTACTCGGCGCAGTGCGTGAGAGCTTCCAAGTCTCGAAGGAACCCTTTGCTGCCACCGCTCCCTCCACCGTCCAAGGGGCAGCCACGGCGGGAGCATGTGTGGTGAATTACACTCCATGCCGATTATTGAAATGCGGCCGCCATTCGCCCTCACAGCCAATGCATTGTCGATATGCTGATGCAGTGCTTATGCACACGTTCTATGATTTTCAAGCACCCTCGAGCGACTGCGCTGCTGTACACCTGGGCGGGAAGGACTGCAGACTGCAAGGGGGCTGCCATGTACATATATCTACGCACGGTTCCCCTGCCAAGCAGTCGAGCAGAAAGCTAGAACGCTCTCCTTTTTTGACCAATTTCAGTCTCCTTTTCCCCCTGTACACCGCGAATCCTCGGAGGGGGCCGTGGATTCGCGCCTTCACAACAACCTGAGGGAGGCTCTTCTGCCTCATCACTGCCCTTCGTGGTCACTCCCCTGATGTTGCTGCAAAGACTGACTATACACCTCGCGGCAGCATCACCAAGAGCAGCCGACACTACCTGCACAGTTACAGACGTGCAATGAGCTGAAACGCTGCAAAAACGCCACCGCTTCTGCAAAAGCTTCAGGGGAACCTCCTCGACATTGCAACAGCGTAGCAACAACCGAAGCAAGAAGCCTTGACCACTGGCACTGGCTGTGGGAAGGCGGCTGCTATAACCGCAGTAGCAGCAACAACACCATAACAGCAGCAACACCATAACAGCAGCAACACCTTAACAGCTGAACTCCTTTTACGCCACTGCCGATGAGCTGGGAACCATGCCCACAAAGGACGCAGCCAGCTACAAACAGCGATCGCAACAGCAGCAGAAACAGCAGCAGCAGCATCCCGGTGCTCAAAATACTCACAGCAGCAGCACAAGCACCAGCAGCAGCAGTGAACAGCTCCAGGGGAAGCAACAGACATACGGAGGAAATTTTGCAGCGGCTAAAACTTCAAAGTCTACGACCATTAGGAATTCTAGCAATGGACGCAGCAGCAGCACACTAAAGCGTGACTCGTCCAGCGGCAACACAAGCACAAGCACAAACGCAAGCACAAACACAAACACAAGCAGCAGCAACAGCAACAATAACACTGGAGGCTGTGGTTCAAAAATTCATCGCTGTAGCGACGGCAGCAGAAAACCCATAGGCCTTTGTGCTGAGCAGCACTGCCAGAGGGAACGACGGCTGCTGCCGCATGCAGAGATTCGCAGTCAAAGCTCCGCATGCGACAGCAGCAAAGGCGAAAGCAGAAGAAGCTTGGGTACACTGTCTGAAGGGAAGAGGCTTGTTACATGCACTGAGACTTCTGCTGCTGCCACGGCACGAAGATCCACTCGCAAGCCTTCTCCGCCGCTGTCAGCAGCTCAGCAGCAAGTGCAGCAGCAACAAGTGCAGCAGCAACAAGTGCAGCAGCAACAAGTGCAGCAGCAACAAGTGCAGCAGCAACAAGTGCAGCAGCAGCTGCCGCTTCCCTCCGACAAACGCATTACTGCACTGCTGTCACAGTTGCAGCAGCAAGTGCAGCAACAAGTGCAGCAGCAGCAGCTGCCACTTCCCTCCGACAAACGCACCACTGCACTGCTGATACTGTTGCAGCAACAGCAGCAGCTGCAGCAGCAAGTGCAGCAGCTGCAGCAGCAAGTGCAACAGGTGCAGCAGCAGCTGCCGCTTCCCTCCGACAAACGCACCACTGCACTGCTGTTACTGTTGCAGCAGCAGCAGCAGCAGCTGCAGCAGCAGCAGCAGCAGCAGCAGCAGCAGCAGGCCCCCGTGCAGGCAGCAGCGATGCCTCAGGTGCAGGCAGAGATGCTGCAGCAGGAGTTGCTGCAGCAGCTCCTGCTGCATCCGAAGCACCATTTGCAGCAAATAAAGTGGCAAGCATTGCAGCAACTTCAAGGGAGCGTTCAGCAGCAGCAGCATGCATTGCAGAGGCTGCGGCAGCGCCGCTTCGTGCAGCAAGAGCAGCAGCAGCAATCCTGCTCCGTTGCTCCCCAGCAGGCACCAGCAGCAGCATCTGCTGCTTCACCATCGGCTTTTGCAGCGAGAGCAGCAAGTGCAGCAGCAGCACCTGCTGCTGCTGCTGCAGGTTGGTCAGGAGACGCTCAGCAGCGAAGACAGCCGCTGCGGCTAAGTGCAGGAACGCACATCAAAGCGCCTATTACGATCGTTGTGAGTGACGATGACTTGACTAGCAGCAGCAGCAGCAGCAGCAGCAGTAGCAGCAGCAGCAGCAGCAGCAGCAGCAGCAGCAGCAGTAGCAGTGAGGAGAGCGAAGCAGCGCGTGTTTTGATTGCGAGTCGCAAGAGAACGGCACAGCCGTCTCCCGTCGCTGCTGCTGGTGCTGCTGCTGCTGCGAAGTGCCGCCGCATTGCTGGTGCTCCTGCATCGACTCCCTCCCCACTACGAGCAGCAAATGCAGCAGCAGCAGCACAGCCCTCTTCTCCCTGGAGGTCCGCCACTGCTGCAGCAGCAGCTGCAGCAGCAGCAGCAGCAGCTGCTCCCCGTCTCGTGACTTCTCCTCAGGCATCGCCAGTGCCTGCGTGTTTTAGAGCTTCCCCACTTGCTGCTGCTCGTGCAGCAGCAGCAGCAGCAGCAGCAGCAGCTGCTGCTGCTGCTGCAAGTTCTGCTGAGCAGCAAGTGCAGCAGCAGCGCGCTGGTCGTAAGCAAGCCAGTGGCAACAGCCTGGTGATAGACGTCGAAGGCGATACAGGGGAAGGCGCAGCAGCAGCAACAGCAGCAACAGCTGGAGCAGCAGTAAGACTACCCAGGAATTCCACAAGAAGACTGCCTTTGCCACGGCAGCCAGGGACGAATATTAGCGCACAAACATGCATTATTCATGGAAATACCAACACTGCAAACAGCAGCGCCCGCAGCAGAGGCAAGACTGGCTGCCGCGATTGCATGGCTGTTGTTGCAGCTTTCAGGTATGTCTGTCTGAGTGCTAGTGTTTGGTTGTGCTAGTGTTTGGCTGTGCTAGTGTTTGGCTGTACTAGTGTTTGGCTGTACTAGTGTTTGGCTGTGCTAGTGTTTGGCTGTACTAGTGTTTGGTTGTGCTAGTGTTTGGGTGTACTAGTGTTTGGCTGTACTAGTGTTTGGCTGTGCTAGTGTTTGGGTGTACTAGTGTTTGGGTGTACTAGTGTTTGGCTGTACTAGTGTTTGGCTGTACTAGTGTTTAGCTGTACTAGTGTTTGGCTGTGCTAGTGTTTGGCTGTACTAGTGTTTGGCTGTACTAGTGTTTGGCTGTACTAGTGTTTGGTTGTGCTAGTGTTTGGGTGTACTAGTGCCGTTTGTACTAGTGTTTGGCTGTACTAGTGTTGCTTGTACAAGCGTCGTTTGTACTAGTATTTGGTTGTACCAGTGCTGCTTGTACGAGTATTTGGTTGTACCAGTGTTGCTTGTACTAGTGTTTGGCTGTACTAGCGTCGTTTGTACTAGCATTTGGCTGTACCAGTGCTGCTTGTACTAGTGTTTGGTTGTACTACTTTACTTATTCGTCCTTCAGAATCAGCTCTTTCGTGCGGCAGCAGGCAGCAGCCTGTAGGGGCTTTTGTGTGTTGACTACGCTGCAGTGCGTTTTGCCACTGTTCGTCTCCCGAAAAGCAGCAGCAATCGCAGCAGCAGCAGCCAGAATGCGTTTCTGCGAGCAGCAGGATTACGAGCAAGCACCGTCGAGGCTGTTTGCTCCAGTTGCAGTGGAGTGCAGATGCAGCAGCAGCGGCAGCGGAGGGGGGTAGGGAGGAGCTGCCTGCGCTGCTGCGTGGGTGGAAGGCTAGAATTCGCTGCGGGAAAGATCATGTGTTTTTGAGAACCTATCGAGAGCTCAAGGAAGGATTGTGGTATGCCGAGAAATGCTTGTGGCGGGTTGGCACTGCGTTGGAGGAGGGGCTGATGCTGCTAGGAGGAGAGGCGTTTTCATGGCTGCTGCGATTCAAGTTCTTATTTGCAAGGGAGCACTTTGTATCGTGTTTCAAGTCTTTGTACCACGCCTTGATTATTTCTCGCTTCGCTTCTTTGTTGGCTCCGCTTTGAGAGTGGCTGCTTAGTTCTGCTTTTGCAAGGGAGCACTTTGTATCGTGTTTCAAGTCTTTGTACCACGCCTCGATTTTTTCCCGTTTTGCTTCTTTGTTGGCTCCGCTTTTAGAGTGGCTGCTTAGTTCTGCCTTTGCAAGGGAGCACTTTGTATCGTGTTTCAAGTCTTTGTACCACGCCTTGATTATTTCTCGCTTCGCTTCTTTGTTGGCTCCGCTTTGAGAGTGGCTGCTTAGTTCTGCCTTTGCAAGGGAGCACTTCGTATCCCGTTGCAAGTCTTTGTACCACGCCTCGATTATTTCTCGCTTCGCTTCTTTGTTGGCTCCGCTTTGAGAGTGGCTGCTTTTGTTTCCCGTGCGGCCGGCATGCAGCTTGTTGACTGCTGAATAAAATGGATGAGGAGATGATTTTGTACATATATGGTTTTTTTTGTTTTTGCAGGTGCTCCCTGTGCCTTGCTTCGAGCTTCTTTACTCCTGGTGCTCGTCTGCGTGCTCTCAGCAGAGATCGAGAGGTAATGATGTGCAAGCCTCCAAACCCTTGAAATATCGGAGAAAGCAGTGCTTTTATACAGGCTGTTCGAGAGGCCGGCTATTGTCGCCAAGACTTCTTTCTCTTCTTCTTATTCTTAGGATCAACTGTATGTATGGGGGCGTGAGTGTTGTTGCAGCTTGAGCAAGCCATTCGCGAGAAGCAACAACAACTGCTGCAGGAGGCGCGTCAGCAAATGGCGAAAACGGCTGCGGCTGCGGCAGCGGCCGCTGCTGCTCGTGCAGCTGGTAAGATTCAAAAGGGAAAAGCATCAGGAGCACACTGTCGAAAACTAGGGGAAAGGGGGATGGCGCTGTGCTTTGCTGCTGTTTGCGTGCTGTTGCACTTCCCTGGTCACGACGTAGCGCTACTGTAGGAACGGAGTGCAGCTTCCTAGGGTGTGAAAAGCTCAAGAAAAGAGGAGTTTATGCTTGCTTGCTTCCTGTGCAAATTCAGAGACACTGCCACCCAGCTACAAGCCGCACAGGGTGCAGCAGCCGCGAACTCCTGCAGCCCCCCAAGCAGCGCATGCGGCTGCAGCAACAGAAGGTCCATTGTATTTCTGGCAGTCTTGAAGTCTACGAGTTTAAAAAGAGTTAGGGGGTTAAAAACATTTGTGGCAGGCGGCCGTAGGGAAAAGGGAGGGAAATAAGAAGAGGAAAGCGCACTCTCATGAGGGCTTCAATATTCGAGTGCCTGTGTGCTTGTATATATATATATATATTTATATTTATATGTTTATATGTATATTTGTATATGTGTGCATTGATATACATGTTTATGTATGTGTGTGTGTATATTCTGACCGCAGCTTACTGCAAGCGCTTGGCCTTGCAGGATGTGCGGGAGTTTCAGCAGCAACAACTAAAGCAGCAGCATTCTGGCAACAACAGCAACAGCAGCACATCCGGGAAAAAGTGTCTGACCGAAGAACAAGCACTTGCAGTGCGGCGTGTACTGGCTGCAAAAGGAAAGGGCTGCTGTACAGTCTTGCAGGTTTGTCTGTCTGTCTGTCTGTCTGTCTGTCTGTTCACGCCTTCAACGAAGAAGCCTTGACGCTGCTTGGATTTCTTGATCGCTGCATCTTGCTTGCTTAGGGATGACTGCTTAGAACTCCCTGCTCAAGAGTTACTGGCTGCCGTGGAGGGAAGCCAGCAACTGCTTGCGCCAGGAGCCGGTTGCATGCTTACGCAGTACAACCCTTCGTCTTTCGTGCATGCGAAAGTGCTCTTTTGGGATTTTGTGTGTTTTTGGTGATGTCATACATTGCAGGCCGGATCGCTAGGGGGGGCAGAGGCTTTGAGGATCGTGCAGCGTCGCTACCGCGTGCTGGCACTGCAGGTGCATCCTGACAAGAATCCTCATCCGCTTGTGAGTTTCGCTATTGCCTCGGGATGCTGTGGCTGCTTGCTACTGCTGCATCTTCTGTTCATGTTGCTGTGGCTGCTGGCTACTGCTGCATCTTCTGTTCATGTTGCCGGTGTTCTGTGTGTGCGCACTCGAAAATGCGTTGTGAGGGTCGCTTGACCCCGCGGCTGCTGGTGATGTTGCTGCGCATGCGATGTGCTCCTGAGTGTTTTCTACGCTGTCGTTGCAGGCAGCAGAAGCTATGCACCTATTGACGGCTGCCCTCCAAGAGGCAACCATCCTGTTTCGTCGTGCCTCCCGCGGAGCTGCACCTCCCGCTGGCGCTAGGTCTTAGGTCCAAGAGGTATCGGAAGACGAGGGTTAGACATCTTCGTCTATGTATAAAAGTGTATTGGTTAGAAAGGTTAGGGGTTGTCTTTTTAAACGACCCGTGCTTTTTAGTCTGTTAGAGACGGCAGCCCAGAGCCGAAGGAAGGGAGCACAATAAAAACGGCCATCGACGCGCAGGCGGGATTGATGTGCGCTGCCCTGCTGCTGCTGTAGGACTCTCTAGGTGTAACGTTCCATATAAATAGATTATGTATGTATATTAGATGCAATATACACACTCTGTATCACCTTATTGAGTGTTTCTCAAAAGAAATCTCCCTGTCCTCTGCCGGCTCCCCCTCAGGCAGCCTTCAGCAACCTAGTTGCGCATAGCTTCTAGGAAGCGTGCAAGTGCGCAACCGTGTCTTCACATATCGAGGTAGCAGTGCGTTAGAGGAAGAAGAGACGCACAAGCATCCAAGCCAACGAGTCAATGCGTTGGTCCTTGGTAATACAGCGAGCGCACTAGAAAGCTGAAGTTGACCAGTAGCTGGCCTAGTTCGTGAACAGTTTGTTCGCTGTTGGCAACGGCAGCCCTAGGGAACGCCGCATCAGCTTTCGCGCGTCACGACTCTGGTACCTCGAGTGAGAGCTGAAGGGGACGGGAAGGGGGGAAGAAGAAGGGAGGAAGGAAACTGGGAAGCTTGTCGTTTTTTCGCGGACGAGCTGCTTTCTAGCTTTTGTTATCGGCGGGAGTTGTGGCGCGTTGCACACGCTTCCCTCGCATTCTCTCAAGGAGCTGCATCTATGCGCCTTGGATAGGCCCATCCAAGGCGCATAGATGCAGCTCCTTGAGAGAATGCGAGGGAAGCGCAGACACCTGGAGGTCGTTGCGCAGCAGGATATCTCCGGAAGGCCATTTGACCCCTCGAAGCACTGCAAGATCGCTATGCCCAGGGTGCATATCTCTCTCTTCAGCCGAACTCTAGAGCCTCTGATCCTGCTAGACAAGGCAGCTCAGGCAAAAGTGCGCATCGACGTATTGGTGCAGCCACACAGACAAGGCCGCGTTATTCCGTCACCCTTTCCACGCACCAACATATTTTACGCCTTCCTCCCCCGCGCACGGGCACACACAGCCGAGCAGGAGCAACACCTGTGAAACTCTAGCTAATTGCATGCCCGCCGCCGGTGCAGGCGGAAGCCTCAAGGGGTCTGACGCTATAAAAGGAAAAGAACAGGAGTAACGGTTAGAGTGGAAGCCAAAGGGTCTAGCGTAGCAGTGACGAGTGCCGTAAGCCCCCCTTGCGCCGCTCTGCCCCCCTCCCCCCTCACTTAAGGCGATAACAGGGGCCTTTTGATGACGTTTTCTTTTTTTCCCATGAATGAAATGCCGTGTTTTTATGATTAAGCCTCTTGATCACGGCCAGGAGAGCCACAGAGAGGCGCGACTCTGCAATGGAAGCGCTTTGTGTGTTTCCCAAGGACCTTGTGGTTGGGGGTTTAAAGAATCTTCAGAAAAGGCAATACACCCGCCGCTGCGGCTCTCTTTTGTAGTTTTTGGTAGGGTGACTGCACTTCTTTGAGTTGTGCTCGTCTGGCATTGCTTCTTCCGTTCACAAGATCCTGTTGCACCCCGCCTCTCGAGCCAGACTTCGTGTGCCTTCCCTTCTCCGTTGCAAAAGCCTCTCTCGCTGTGCCCTCGACGCGTGCCAATGAGCAGCGACAGTGACTCGGATTACGAAATTGCCCCTTTCCACCATTTGGGCACCCCCGCACACGGCTCCGGCAGCAGCGCATCCGCGGCTCACGTGGCAGGGGGATCTCATAGGACAGCTCGACAAAGCTACCTCACACTCAGGGCCTTGAGAGCTCGTAGGAGGGCTCAGAGACGTCAGTTCGTGGTGATTGCGGTGCTGGTGCTTGCGGCTGTGTCTGCACTGTACGGTCGTGCCCCCTCAGGAGGCAGCGGCGTCGGGGGGAGTGCGGTTCAGGATGCTACAGCTGACGTGTTGCATGCGTTGAGAGGCGGACAGCTGAAAGAAGCGCTTTTGGCCTTCTTCGAGGCGTTGAGAGCCTTTGGGAACTCCTCCACGGCTAAGAAGCTGATCCTGCCCATCTTTCTCGCCGTCATGCTTCGTGTAGCTCGCAAGAAAGTGACCGAAAGCATCAACGGCAGACGCGATGAGAACCGTGCAGAACCTGCAGCAGCAGCAGCCTCTGCTGCTGCTGCAGGTTCTGCGTTTGTCTCTGCTGCTCCACTGATAGGAGGGGGCGCTGCAACTGCATTGCCGGAGAAAGCTCATGAAGAAAATCCGGAAGGAGGATCAACCAGCGGAGAAAGGCCATCGGCACCGGCCTATGAATGGTTCAGACGCATGCAGCACACTTTCTCGGGGACTGTGGTGCTCTTCATCTTCCTCTTTCTCCCATTCAATTTGGCACTTACGTGTCTTTTGATAGGTACTGTCATGACCCCGCCCTTAGAATGCGCATCTGTGGAAGGTTTGGGGCGGCAGCAACGCTGTTCAGAAAAAAATAGTGATATCACTTTTTTTCTCCCTGCGACATGGCTGCTGCTTCTAGTGCTGCCTGTCTGCCGATCTAAGAATTGTGCCGACTTACGACAGCCCATTCTCCCCAGGCAGAGCGGGGTGTGCGTCGTGGGCTGGCTGACGGGGATGCTTCTGTGTGTGTATGTTCCTCAGCGACGGGCTGCATGCACGCTATCTGCTTCCTTAAGGCACGTTCACCCGCATGCAACGACCTATACGTACAGCTGGTATCATCGCTGCTGCGGCCTGAGGAGAAGCATCCAGCCTGCAAACCTGCTGCTCTCCCCTTCCTCTGGAGCTGCCTGCTGCTGCTGCTCTTCGCGCCACGCAGCATGGCAGCCGTGTGCGCTCTCCTTTCTGCAGTGGGAGATCCTGCAGCTGGACTCTGCCGCGCGCAGTGCAGACGCTGGGCACATTCGTCTGCTGCCAGCGCGGCAAGTGGAGGCAGAGACGCTGGCGAAGCAGGCGGGAAGGAGGGCCTGGCCAGGGAGACGCCCCAGCAGCAGTCTTTCAGTAGTGCAGTCATTGGCTGCAGCTGCACAAGCAGCAGCAGCAGTGAGAACAGCAGCAGCAGGCAGCGGACGAGGAAGGCGTGTGCATTCGGATTCATCGGCTGCACGCTTGTCTGCGCCCTGGCTTTCGTGCTGCTAATGGTCTTCCTCGCCTGGCTGGCTCAACCGTCTGCGAGCCAAAGTGTGCCTACAGCTGGAACGGGGGAGGCAACAACGGAGAGATTTGCAAACCCCTTCCTGGCTACCGTTTTAGAAAGCAGTGGGCTCTCCAACCCGTGGCCTTCCTTCGTTGGATCGGCCGAGTTTCACGCAGCTGACGGTCCAGCAGCGGCGGATATGTCTTTTCCAGGCAGCCGTTTGCTTAGAGGAGAGCTGCATTCGTGGTATCTTCTGGTGCTTCTCGCTTTAGGCATAGGGTGTGTTGCGGCATTTGCGGAGATGCTCCCCATCAATGGACTAGACGACAATCTGACGTTCCCCATCATCACCCTAGTTTGCCTCTCCGGCGTCTTGGGGGTGTATGTACACCTCAGCGGGCTGGCAGGCAAACAGGTGACGGGTCAAGCCTTGAGCTCCATGGACAGTTTGAGTTCGCTGGTGCTTCTTTTGTTGCGATAATTCGCAACTAGCACCAGGAAAAACACCATCAATAGCATCCGATGCACTTATAAAGGCGCACGCGCCAAACGCCAGAACTTCTGCCCTTGCATTGCTGTCGCAACTTCAGCACAGCACCAGAAAGCTAAGCCCGTACGCCCTTAGAATGCAACCCGCCTTCCGGCAGTGTTGGCTAGCCATCCAGGCAGCTGGCATCCGAGCCATTTCTCGCTATTAGATACAGGGAAGCAGAAAAAAGCTGTGTGGGAACATCGTTGAAAAGATTCGATGAAATCATGATGTGAGGTCACTCACACACAGCAAAAGACGCCAGCAGACCCCTCTGCGGCCGTAAGATTTTAATAATAATAAAGAGCCCAAGTTTTTTCTATAGACAGACATGAGAGCCTTCGGGCTCATCGTAAGAAAAACCCTCTTAGAAAGTTGTTGCCTACGCATTTGGGCGTGCGATGGTCGCTGGCGCGTCCGCTGAAGTGTTGTGGGATTGCCCCACGAGCAAACTCTTTGGCTGTTGTTTGTGCTCTAGGGTTTGCTGCTGCGGTCTTAATTCTCCCGCCATCTGAACCTACATTCAGTGCAGGTAAAGAAGGACGTCATAGGCTCATCTGATGAGCGAATTTGAATCTGATAGAAGAAAGCCTCGGTGTGAGAACAGCTCGGGCAGACAGCTGAGCGGTTGCAAGTCCAGGACGCACAGCAACAACAAGGAAGAGGGCGAACGATGGGAGGCACAGACAAAACAGCGGGAAGCCAGGCAACGACTGCATGCAAAAATAGCGTGAAACTGCACGAATACGTGTTCGCTGAAACACAGCTGCCAACGCACGGAGCGTTTCGTGTCATGGTTGAAGCAGGTAGAGAGGGCGGCGAGGCAAAGATTGCAAAAGCATCTTGGAGCCTACCGGGAATTTTAGCGCCTGTGTCTTGCAAACTATCCGAGAGTGGCTCATCAACTTTCTTGGGTGTAAGAAGGATCTTGCGCGCCACTTTCTGCTTTATGGCGAATACGTAGGGGCAAGTCTGGCAGTAAAATTCCATTTGTTCATCCCGCCGCAGCAACAACATATTGTGACAGGTTGGACAGAACAGAGCCATGTTGCGAGGGGGTGGCTGCCGGCCACGGGGGAGCGGAAGGATTTGAATGGCAAGTAGGCACAAAAGTAAGGTTTTTGGTGACTATACGAGAAGAGAGCAGCAGATGGCGCTGTGAGAAATTCCCGTCAGTGCTGCTGCTCATCTAATACATAATCGACAGTCACGATGCTTTCCTTGGCCTTGAGCTGGAGGTCGGGCGGTGGAATCCACGAGCGGCTAGAACGAAGAAAGAGGAGCACGTAGAAACAAAAGCAGAAATGCTCTGGTAGTCCCGCTGGCGCGTAGGCGCGATTAACGCTATTAGATTGGTGGCAGGGAGTGCCGTTCTTAGCCGCCGAACGCTTAGAAGCGAAGCCAAATGTGCATCCTGTATGTGGCCACAGAGAGCCTTGGCGTGAAGAAGGCGGAACGGAAGATGAACTTTATTCAGAAATGATTAGGCGGGAAGACACGGCCCGATGACCGGACAGCAAAAGCACGATGCGAGGAGGCAGCTCATCATGGCAACCTCTTCAAGGAGCGGCATGGCATTACTCACTTGAACGAAGAACATTGGGGTGTAACCGGCAGCGAGGCGTGGCGAAGCTTGTCGCACCATAAAGGGAGGCCAAAAAACTAGAGATCATGAATTAAAACAAGGGCGGAACCGTCGACAGGACTTGCGCATTGCTGGCTGCTGCGCGTGGCTGCGGAAAGTCTGATCGTCGCCTTCGCGAGAGCCTCTGGAGACGAAACAGCGTGTACTTGAGAATCACGTTCTGCATTTCCAAATTTCGCGAGTTCGCTTCAAGATTCTGCACCTCTACGTGTGGATTAAAGGGCGTTCACCTCTCCCGCGCTCGGGTGTACGAACACCTCTATCTCTCTGGCCCCACATGAGGCCTCAGTTCTGCATCAAGGCTATTTGAACTCCCTTCGGCTGCATGTTTTTTGCCTGCCCCCAAGAATTTAGGCAGCCATACTCCGCCACTGTTTTCTCGTAGCTCAGTTCCGTTTCGCGCCTCTCGTTGTAACGCGTCGGGCATTGTCTAGCAGACACCCCAGCAACTTCTGCGGTCCGCGTCGTTGCCATCACAGAATCTGCACTTGAAAGGCGACGATCATAAAAATGAGCGATCAGATCATGGCGAAGAAGTCGCCAGAAACCTCTACCTTCTGCCCTTCGGAGGAAGAACAAAGTTTGATCACGGAAGTCCTTTCAAAGTAAACCCTCCCCTGTTCTTCCCTTCATAGCTCCAGCATTTCCCACTTCCCCCTGGCACCGAACAAAGACAGCCGCTGGCCATCGCCTCTAAACGTAACCCAAGGCGTCCACACGCGGGGGCAGCATCGTGGCATGCAGCAACGCACGCCTCTCGACGTAAAAACCTTTGAAATACACCAGAGGCTCATGGCGATTCTTCCCCCCTACACCCCCAAAACACGCACACACGCACACATGCACATGCACATGCACATACACATAGCCAGCACATTCGCTGCACGGTATTCTGCTTACACCGCACGCAGCCCTCCCTATGGTGATTGTCGTGAGAAGTCGTGTGGTATCTGCATGCATTCCCCCTGACTTGCGGAGTGTTGCACAGGCATCCAAGGATGATGCTCATCAGACAGACGACGCAGCTCCGTGCAATCATGACCATCATAAGAAGTGAGAAAGAAAACTCACAAATCAGAGGCTGGGTACATTAGAATACACATGCCGCAATACAGGCATGTAGGGGCCTCCTCGATGGGGTTTCAAGCTTGCAGTGCGCTGCACCGCAGATAGCTCCACTCTGCTGTATCCGCTGCTGCATGCAGTACACCCACCCCTCCTTTGCCTTGCGGGCGTTTCTAGGGAGCCGTAGGAATCTTCTTGTTTTTCCAAACGGTCCCCTCAGGCAGGAGTTTGTATGTGTATGTGTGTGTATGTGTATGTGTGTGTGTGAATGTATGCTTTGCTCTGCCTCCGCCTACACCTCGCCTCTCTATTTGGCGCTTCTTGCGTTTGATGTTGCTGCCCGCAGACAAGGAAACACGAAAGGAGGAATTCAGTAGGGCCTCTTGTTATCATTGTGTTCGTGTATTTTCCGTTCTTCACACACTCCTCTCTCGCCCTCCGCCTTTAGGCTCCACAGCTTTAGGACGCCGAGCTTTTTTCTAACCGTCAAAAGCGTTTGCCTTTAGGAAGCGCATCTGACTCTCGCAAGCAAATATTTCCCGTGTGTTAGTTTTGTTGAAAAAAAGGTTCTTATCATGGCACGGCATGCTTCCGCCCCCCTCTTCTTCTTCTGCTCCTGCTTTGCGCATTCTTGCATTTGCTGTGCATGTTCTTGTGATGTCTTGCTACCAGTTTTCTACGCGGACCGCGCTATTCGTCTGCTCATAGAAGAGGCTCTGAACGGTCAGTGCTACCTACGCACCGTTGGGAAAGAAAGCGTAGACACCCTACTTTTGACGTCTTTTTTGTGCATCCTGTTTTGTATATCGGGTATCGTTTGGAAGCGGTTTGTGCGGGGTGTCTCTCTAGCGCCTTTGACCCCTTTTTTGCTTCTTCTCGAGCGTTTTCTGGTGCTGCGCAGTGCTGCCCTTTGCTCCGCGAGTTGTCACAACACCCCTTGGTGCTCAATACGAAGGCCTCGCCTTTGGAAGCGGTTTGTGTGGGGTGTCGATCGTGAGGGCTGGCGAGTCTATGGAGTCGGCCCTTCGAGCCGTCTGCAGGGGATGCACGATTGGGAAAATCCTTATTCAGAGAGATGAAGAAACGGCTGAACCCGTTGTCAGTGTGCATGCGCACTTCTTTCTAGCGTCTCAGGCCGCCCTTTCCTGAGTGTATGACACCTGGGGATAGTCGCTTTTGGCGTAACTGCCACGCCTCCGAGATGTCTCTTGAGGCTTTGATTTCTCGCGTCGTATATTATCAAGCATCTGTGTGCATCCGTTTTAAAAGGTTTTTCCTGGGAAATCGCTCGCCTGCGTACGGGCATGTGTTGCTTTTTAGCTGCACGCATGCGTGTGGGGTATGTGCGTCCAACTCGAAGAGGCCTCCCCTTCCCGATATTCTGAGGCATGCCGCTTCCTTGTTGCGTCTGCAGCTGTACTATGTCAAGCTCCCCAAGGATGTCGCCTCCCGTAGCGTGCTGCTGATGGATCCCATGTGCGCAACGGGGGGAAGCGTTGCACGCGCGGTCTCAGTCCTTAAGAGCCACGGCGTGACTGAGGAGAACATTGTTTTCGCGACTTTGATGGCAGCGCCTCCGGGCATCGATCGCGTTCTTAAGGAATTCCCAGGCATCCGAATCATCTGCGGATCGTAAGATACGGCCCTCCTCCGGATTGCCGTTTCCCTCCTTTCGACTGTGTGTGTTCCCAGACGGATGTCTACGGGGTTGGGATTTGTGTGGATTGAGGAGCGGCGATTTTGCGGCAGACAGAGGCAGCAAAAGGCCGGGAGCTAGGGCCTAGAGGGAGTTGATTCTATCAAGGGGGGATTGGCGTTTCAGTGCAGTCACGGCTTTTGGTTTATTCATAAAAGGATCTATGTTTGTAACGTGTGGCTTCGGGCTGATGGTGCTGTGGGGTATGTGCTGCGGGTTCCAAAGGCGCTGAGGCCGTCTAAAAGGAAATACGTTGCCTCTCTCAAGGGGTTTTTTTTGCGTGTCTTTGTGCCAAGGGGCCGTGGTGCCTATGTAGAGATCTTTGGTATTGAGTTTTTTTACGAGGGAAAGATGAATTCAAGGACCTCTCTTGGGGTCACTTGCGGCCTCCTTCCGAGACAGTGTTTATGCCTGCGACGGGAACCTGGAAGCTGAATAGTGTTTGCTGCCATATGGCCACCTTCCCTATATATATATATATATGTATATGTATATATATATATATATATGGCTTAGTTGATTGATGCGGGGGGTGGCGGTCTGGCGTTTTGTTCTCAGCATCGAGGCGGGTTTGAACGATAAGAACTTCTTGGTGCCGGGAATAGGGGACTTTGGAGATCGGTAAGACAAGTGCCTCCCTACAGGCGTGCGCGCACGCAGCTGCGCTACATGGGGGGGTCTGTTGTGCTTGCTGTTACACTTTGACGCCGGCTCGCTGCACACCTAACTGCGGATAGGCAGCCACGGGGGGGAGGAGGGGGACAGAGACGCAGCAGCAACCCTTGGCAACACGCGAGCAGTAACTAGGAAGTGGCGAACTTGTCTCTGGATTAAGGCGTGGCAGGAGTGACACTGGGAAATAGGAGGGGCGACTGCAGGAGGGCTAGCACCGTTCAGGCAGAGGATGCAGGGGAGGTGGAAAGATGGAGGTGGGCAGTGTGGCAGGCTCTCTGCAAATGCGTCTGATGTGCGTTTTCTGCATGTAGATACTTTGGAACAGAGTAGGAATGTGGCGGAGGAAAACTGCATTGCATAGGGCCTCCGCCTGTGCGAGATATTCAGTTCGCTTTTAACGAAAAGAATCAGGTCGCCTCACGATTTGCCGCCGTGTTCCTTAGCAGAACGAGACAGAGGCTCGTAGCGGAGTCTTGAGAGGGCGCTGTGGCGAAACTTTGCAACCTGCGGCTCTCGCACTCGGAAATGTGCGAGGCTTGCAACAATAGGTGCAGGAGGGGCGGACGGGGAAGGGGTAGGGATAGGCACATTAATGATTCGTTCCTTCGGAGTGACAAATGGCCTCTGCCAGCAGGCACAAAACAAAGCACCACTGCAGGGAGGGGGCCGAAACTTCATGATAAGGGGCGTGCTGCTGCGCCTCTGAATGCTCAAGCGGTGCCTGCCTTCGATCTGTCGCTTTCCTTGTATGCCATGTATCCCCTTATGAACCTTTTCATCCCTCGTAGCTGGTTGTGCACGCTTGCTCGCCTGTGTGCCAGCCTTTTGCTTTCCCCTAGTTCTCGTAGTGAAGCCTCCTCTGGATGGCAATCGTTTTGGGCAGTAGTATCGAGGTGCCTTTTGCTGGCCTCCCTCGTCATAAGGTTGGAATTTTCCGCCTAGGTCTGCTCTGTAGTCTGGTGCATTCCGCATCTAAGAGAACGCCGCTCGGTGTCGCTTCATCTACGATATCTGTGGGAAGACGCCTAGTTCCAAATTCGATGCAAATTTTCTAGAAATTCATTGCCAGTTTACCAAAAGAGCTGCCTTCTTCCCCTGCCTGCGCTCCTACGAGTTTCCGGCATGCAGGGAGAGGGGCAGCTGGGCTGCGCGTAGCTGCACCCTTTTAACACTCCGAGCAGTCACACGATTTATACGTAGGACCTAGTGTGCGCGCACACACACACATACATACATGGCTGTACGTATCGAGCTAGCGGTATTTTCCAATAAACAAGATGTATGTAGAGACAAAACGCCTGGTCCACCTATTAATAATGCCAAACTAAATCTGTCTGGTATGGAGGAAAATGCAAAGGGGTGCGCAGCCGGGTTTGGTGTTCGCAGGGTCAACTTGCCACATTCGTAGAGGAAAACGCCAATCAGACGAGGCAAGGCTTTCTCAGCTTGTGCAGGCTTTCAATAAAAGAGCCTCTACGGATAATGTGTTATTTTGAGGAGCCACATCGCTCGGAATGCTCTGCGCTGGTTACACGAGACAGGTGAAAATGGCTGCACCTTTCCATTGCTTCACTTCCCCAATTTTCAATGGCGCTTGGTGATACTGCATCACTACGACCCCAACAAATTCTGAAAACCAAGTCTGACGCTCAGGTACAGAGTTCCTATTTTTTGGCACTTTCTACCGCGCCTGCGATTAGTGGCGAACGCAAGGAAATAGGCCGCGTCCAGCGGACTGCCTTGCTTGCGGCAGGCTGCAGTAAGGCCTGCGGTGGGCTCAGCTGTGCATGGGTGTTATTTTCTACCCTATGTATTTGGGTAACATTTTCCAGTAAAGTAATTGAACGACTGGTTTCCTCTAGGTTCACCTTTTGCACGGCAAAGTACTGCTAGCTTCATGCACACAGACTCAATATTGTATGCGTGCGCGCTAGGAAGTATCTGCAGCCACATGTGGTGAATTGACGTGCTCAGAGGTGCAGCAACAAACACCCCAGCAGCCCTTCTCCGCTCTTGTTGGAGTCTCGAGGGCCGAGGGCAGAAAAGGGAGGAATGATTTATTTTAAAGAAACCTTGGTAGCGTTTGTTTAAGCTTCTATTGAGAATTTTTCTGTACGGATGCCTTTCATGGAGTGTTACAAGCACCGAACGATACGCGCTTACATGTTCGAGCACGTGCCCATATCTTGCAGCATCTCCCTGCCTCAGACCTGGGGAAAAAGGAAACCTCTGCGATGCTTGCTTGAAGGGTGGGCGGCCCTTTGTTGTTAGAAGCTCAGAACTACGCCAAGTGTAGGGAACACAACCTTTGGGCAGTGCGTCTGCACCCAGGATGAAACGATAATGACTCCCCGAACGTATTGACTGGCCAAGTTATGTGCAGATCTTGTCTCCTCACCGCAAATAAAATGCAGCACATTACGGCTTGCATAGCAATCAACCGAAATCTGCAAGGCAGATGTATTTTGCGAGCTCAAGCACTCCTATTTGTAAAGCTCATCGCGGTCCGGAAGCATAACTGCATCAAAAGATGCGGTCAAAACGAAAAACATGCGTGCAGAAACAGATGTACACGAGAACGTCGAAAAACGTATCTGAGTAGAATCATGCAAAAGTACAGTCATTTTAAAACTTATTCAACGGGAAAGGAGACAAAATTCTGTAACATCGGCCCATCACTTCCCGAACGGACGAGCGAGGATCGGGCCACCTGCATCGAACTGGAGAGGTGAGCACAGAAAAAACTGCGACTAAGAACCTTCACACATAGGAAATGAAATTAATATTGGTTTATTTAGGTAGGTTTCTTGAGCTAGGAAAGGTTTTCGGGGGGGCTTTCCTCATGGACGGGCGCGTGAGTGCACTTCGTCCTGATATCCGCCGAACCAGTGACACCATAGAACCGACGCTAGCCCGTGTCTCCGGGCCGTTAGAAGGAGCGGGGGTAGGGGCCCTTGAATGATGTGCTCCTCTTGGCAGCTTTCCCTCCACTCTTTTGCTGTACCCGGAACTATTTGGCTTGACTGACGCTTTTTGATGAAGGGTTTCGGCCGCAATCGCCTTTAGTGGCAAAGCCGCGCAAGGCCAATTCTCATTGCCGCCATTGTGCAGAAATCACGCCTTCCCAACGAGATCCTGTATGTGCTAGAAGAGATTGCTCCTCATGCCCTAAGATCACAGACCTACGTTGCCTCCAATAGGCAGGCTATTTCTACCGCTAGGGCCATTCTCCAGATTGCAGCCTTCTCTCCGGTCTTGGTACGCACCCGTTCTCGCAATTCCTGCCTTGAAGAAGCTCCCACATCCCTGCGTTCTCAGGAGATGGCGCTTTACGTTTTGGCCGTTTGTAGCGTTGGCCTTTTTCTAGTCGCTGAGCCTACGAATCAGGTGTCCTTCTCGAAGGCCAGAAGCGGAGCCTTTCTGTCTCCCGATGCAAGCAACGAATACGCCACCATCTTCTTAGGACAAGTCGAAGACGCCGATATGCAGCAAGAAGTCGAAGAAGACACAGATGCACTAGTAGAAGAAGCTACAGCAGAGGAACGATCCGTGCTTGCTTTCCTGCGCGACCAACACAATGCCCACAGGAATGACAGCAGAGATGATGACGACTTGGGTGACAATGACTGGGACGATGAGGAACATGAAGAACTCATATACGTTTGCTTTGTTTCGAACGAAGGTGCTGAATGGGCCTGTGCAAACAGGGCCCCCCAGCAGCAGTATCCCGGTGGCATGTATTGTCCTCACGACATGTGTTGCAGTGACACAGTATCCTACATGGGGAAAGTTGGAAAAATTTGTACCTCCGATGAATCGTTTTGTCAATCTTACAACGCTGAGTACTCCTACGGCCGCTGCACTTGCGAACATAAAGCAGCTGAATGCCCGCAAAACTCGTCTTGCAAAAACACTAAGAAGGGCTCTGGCTGCGAGTGTGACCACGGATACATCAAGGAAAATGGTAAATGTGTCAAGCGTGGATCCACAGCCACATCTACCACCACAGCAGCAGCACCCCATGCATCTGGCAAGGCAGGCCCCTGCACAGCCACTGACTGCCGCCCTGGGTTTTGTAAGGTCGAGGATGATGCGATAAGCTGCACCTGCGTGTCAGGGTATATTCCTAAAGAGGTTAATGGGAGGCCTGCCTGCGCGTATCCCTACGCAAACTAACGCAGGAGGGGCGGCCATCGAGTCTAGCAGATCCAGTGTTAAAATGAAGTATTCACCCTTGAGGCAAGGGTGCGAAATGGGAGCGAGTATATGAGTAAGAAAGAGGGCGAGAGTGAGAGAGGGGAAGGCGAACTCGGAGATTCGACACACGAGAAAAGTGAGAGCTCAGGGGCCCACGCAGTCATTGCTCCCCCGAGACCGGTCATTAGATTAATGCGTAGTAATGGCAATCGTCTCGAAGGTACTATGATTCATGGGAAGTACGCCCGTGAGATCCATAGTAAGGAAATCATGAGAAGAAATGCATGTGTGGCGGATATGCAAGGATCGCCACCAAAGAGTAATTCCAGTAAAAACAGTTTCATGAAAAATCAGCCAGACAAATCGTCTCCACTTCTGCCTGTTCTGCAGCACAATAGTGGGCAAAAGATGTCGAATAAGGCTTTGCCATGATGGGCTACAGAAAGCCATCTGATATCGTAGCAGCCCCCGTAAGAACAATAACCCCTTAGGGGTGTCAGGGGTTCCGCTTTGTACTTGCCCTGCTTGTCATATTTTCGACCTTTAAGCAGCATTTCAGTTTGCCAGTTGCTTTTTCGATCGAAAACAAACAGGTTCCCTCATGCGAACACGCATCTGCCACCAATTAAAGAGACCCCGTAGGAGCATTCAGTCGACCCCACAAGGTCTTGGCTGAGGAGTTTTCTATAGTGCCCGTACTCACACACTTCGCCACCTTTGTTTTTCCCCTAGATGTACCTTGTTAAAGACAGTCTGCCTAGTTCATCATTATGCTCTAAGAGTTGGGACTCCCAAAGCTAGGAAGCCGAAGGCATTGGCCTAGACATACAAGCACATCCGAATCTAGACGTTTTGCACTTGGATGTAGGAACACATGCATTCCATTGCTGTTCCTTCGTATCTCTCCTGCCTTCCCTCCATTGTTGTGACCCCCCCTAGCATCTTTCGGCATTAATGCAGCTGTTCCATTGCCTCGTTGCCTTCCTGTGTCGCCAGCTCTTTATCCATGTGCTACGTTTCGCCCTGTGTGTGCCTCGCTGTCTACGCCTACCACCACCCCGCTCTCATCTCGATGTTGGCCTGCTTACAAAAATTACTGCATGAAATATGCAACGGCATCTCCCTGCCTCTAAGGAGACAACGTGAAACGGCAGTAGCCTGCTTGATAAGCGAGCGCGGGAAAGGGAGCGCCTTGTGCTTCGATACAAAATCGCAGTGGGCACTGGACACATGCCGAAAAAAAGGCAACCATGGAAAGTCGCATCACTCGCTTGCGTACTCCAACCCATGTGCACACACCATGAAAGTCGGAAGATCAAGTGTGCGTATGGGTCTATGTGTATGCATGTGTGTTTGGCGGGCTCTCGCACTCGATCCTTGCGCAGCAAGTTCCTTCTAAGTGTGTCCGTTCAATTTTCTTTCTCTGTAAGTGAGCTACTAGCCTGTATACTACCCTTTTGTGTTGCTCCTATATCCATGCCTCTGAGCCGGCGGTAGCTGCTTTCTTTTGCTGCTTCCCCACGAAGATGTGTCGCAAAGGGACAACCGGGGATCAGACGCTACATAAGGCCAAGGCTATAGTTTTAGCACCTCCTACTGCATGCACCACTTTTACTCAATTGAAAATTCGTGAAAACTTGGCTGATGGGGTTGGTTGTTAATGTGTGCAAATTCTTTAAAATAAGGCCAATCAGCTCCACACAGCAACAATGAACTCTGTGTATCTTCTTACGAAGCTGCAGTGTGCGGCTTGGAGCGAATAAATACATAATCCGAACGCCAGGAGTGCGCGGTCCCATGCACGCCCCGCGCGGCCGGTCTATGCCAGTGGCCGCAGGCTGCCGGGTTATGACTGGAAGGAAAGAAAGCATTCCTTGCGAGCGACGACAGCCTGGAACCTTTTACACGTTTGCTGCTAGCCTATACAACATGGGCTTTCCCGCGGACACCCCGGTAGCAGCGCGCACCAGCTTGCTGAAGAGTGCCGGGCCTGGAACGCGCCCAGCGCTTTTGCAGTGGAAGGCCGCAAGAAAGGCAGACAGTAGCAAACGTTTTACGTGAAGGCAGCTCAGGAATGTACAGCTACAAAAACGGAGAAATCGCTGAAGAAGCAAGACATATTTCACAGGAGGAGCGGGTCAAGGCTTGTGCAGCAGGGAAAACGGAGGATAGACAGGCAGAGGCTTACGCGACCAGGGGCAGTGTGAAGGACGGCAGAAACAGGCACAAGCAAACACAAAAGAGGCTTTATGCAGCCGAAGGCACAGATCACAACAAACAGCGAATCATTGTCTCCCGGGCAAAGTGAATCACCAGGAGGGGAAGGAGCAGACGCCAGTGCGGCAATGATTTCGCCTACAAACACTACGACGCGCAAATCTTACGGCTACCGCAAGGTTAGTGTGTATGTACGTTTACCTGAGCCCTTAGCGCCTCTGCCGCCCTCTTTGTCTCGCGGTCTTTTACCCTGCTTCCCCTCATCAAGGGCACTCTATGCCCTTCTTTTCCTGGTGCATCATGGCGCTTCTCTAGGAAATTGAGAAAACATATCTATATTGTAAGACTCTGTCTAAGGTCTTTATAATGAGGCACTTCACCCTAATTTACTGGAAAATAAAGGGTAAGCTATGGAGTGTTCTTTGATAGAGAGATTCCTTCTTTCCTTCCCCACGCGTCTCGGATCTCCGACATGATTGAAGAGGGAGAGCTAAGGTGCGTGTTGCTGCATTATCTTAGCATTCCCACCATTCGCTTGCACAAGTCGCGTATCGCGTAGCGCACATGCACACAACATTCGTCTTATCGTATTGAGCTAACGCTGCTTTGCAATATACAAGACATGCAAAAATAGAACCAGATGATTCATTCCTTATTAACTCTACTAAAATATATGATTATACGTGAAAATTGCTCAAGGGCAGCTTTGTTTTCCACATTGTCTCCTACGGTGGTACTCCACCGATTGTTACGTTTGGCGAAACCGCATCCTGGGGGACAATTGAAGCTTCCAAACATGCGTTAAATAATTGAACGACGTCTGAGCGTTGATAAAGCTGGAGCAAAGGATGACATGGGCATATTCGCTGAGTCTATCGACAGGCAAGTAGATGGTATCCCGCCCTGTGACCCTCGCCAGTGAGGCATCAAAATCTTAATCCAGATGAGTCTAAATTCTAACAGGAACTGAAAGGTTTTGCAAAGGACCGGGCATATGTGAACTGAGCGGCTTGAGCTACTGACGATCTGGACATGACAGTGCACGGTCTCTGTTGCGAGAGGCATATCAAGCCACCAGACGGATCATGGAAGCTTTCGCAGTAGAGGGCCAATACTAGAATGGCCCACAAAACCATGATCGTATGAAACGCACAAAGAGGGGCTGCAGAGCAAATTACAATTTACAAGCGACCAAGGCCGTGCTGCTTTACCCTTTTGCCATGTAAATTTTTGGCAATGGTAGCAAAATCATGGTGTCAAATGCTCAAGACTCATGCAGCTTCGCCAGAAACCGTGGATTATCACAGACAGGAGTGGCTGCATTGCACAATGGTCAATCGGTGGGGGGTCTCGGGTGCGTGTTGGCCAACGCAAGTGAGTGCCCTTCGTATGCTTAATTGTATAGTCATTGTGCACGAGACGCCGAAACCAGCGAACAGCTCTAGCATTGCCAAAGTTTTGAATACTGTTTGTGAGGTGCATCAAACACTCATGTTCGGTCGGGACAGTAGTATAACAGCCGTATATGTTTGGTGAAGCGATGAGAGTGAAAAGTAACAATTGGTGCCGTGAAAAGCATGCAGATCGCTGGCAGAGCTCTAAAACCATCGCAGCATCACTAGCATTGGTTGATGGTAATTCATGAGCTTTACGATTGAGCAGTACCAATGCCGGAGGAGTTGAAGGCCGGGGCTATGTGTCCCTGGCGCTGCATCAGCCTCCGCTGTTAAGGTCACATACTGCATTTCTTGAAGTATATCAGGAAAAAAAGTAGCAATCCAAGCAAATTCATGGATGAGACTACGATATTACGATGCGAGGTCATGGTACTTTGCAGCAGATTTTGCAAGTGCGTATATGTAAAGATCACGCCCTGATAGCTTTAGTTTTTGCCGGATCTAAATCAATTCCTGCAGCCGAAACAAGGGTTCCAGTTAGCACGTTCAGAACGCGTGCATACCACCCTGTACCACTACTTCGCTCGCAAATAGCTGAATTGGATGCGGTAGGCGCTGCTGCTGCTTTTCAACATTCCAGCTAAAGTTTGATGTCATCCATGTAGACAGCCATCCACCCCTGCCTGATACCGTCATCATCCCAATCCCAGTCAGCCTGCTGTCTTAGTTTAAATAGAGTATTAGCAAGGTCAAACGGCATGTCGGTATACTCGAGCTCGCGACTGCGAGTGTGAAACGCCGTTTTGTGCCTGACACCAAAGTGAACTGGGATTTGTGAGAAAGTGTGTGCAAAGCAGCGTTTTGCCTAATTGTTAATTTATGAAAGCGGTCCATTGCTTTTCGAGCTAGACGTATTGGGAACGTTTGCCCCACATTTATGCTGTCCAGGTGCTAGGACCTAGCATATGTGCCACTATCCGTCCTCTGGCACCACCATTGGGTTATGTGCAAAGGAGCCGGTCGATTCCTGCATTTCGCCTTTTTAAAGATATTACATGCGTGCCAATCATTCCCCTCCTCGCACTACGGAGGCTTTGAAACCGCGGAACATAGCATTTGTGGGCCCGATGAATAGCTTGCTACGGTGCGCGGTTTACCAACAGGTGGCCATCCTGCTGGCAGTTTGCCCTCTTCTGTGACGTACGCGAACACTTTCTTGATATCTGTATATTCTTGCCATTCTTCCACTGTGAATTCAACCGGATTTCCTAAGCAAGAACCAGATGCACAGCCATTAAGACGGGTTGTGTCCTCAGAGCCATCTTCTCATCCGGCGCTGCGTAGCTCCTGACATGGGAGACTCCGCTCCATCCTTTTGCAAAACAAACTCTTCTTCGCTTACTATAGATGAAGTGGGTGTTGTTGAAGAGACCAATAGGTATTTTTTCCCAGCGCTTCCCGGTACACTATCCTCCACAGCGCGCTGCTCTGGATGTATTCGCGTCTTCCAATGGCTCTTCCATGCAGAGAAGTCCATAATGGTGCTTAAGTCCAATGAAAAGGTCATGCCATGCTGATATAATTCAACTCAAAATTTAAGTGGTACTTAAGTTCCGTAGCCTTGCCAATCCCTGCGTTCTGCCGCCAATCACCAATCGTATGTCTTTGGACTGCGCTTGTGAATGCACAAGCAATTCGAGCTTTTTTGTTCTTCTCCAATGGCAAGCCCACTTCATGTCCAGTATCAAGTAGCGCTATAATTTCTTGATCATTAGTGTAAGCTCGTGTGAGCGCAACGTGTCAGCGCAGAATCGACACCGTGATGTGTCTTCAACTGCGGATCTTTCCTTCGAAACCCTCTTTACTACGCGGCAGCATGCGTATGGAGCCTCTGTTTGTCCTGATGAGCCTTCTTTGCTCGCCACGTAGCCTGCTTTCTTTCCTTTCAACCGCGTTGTACAAGTTTTGCTTTTTAGGTTCGTGCAGTTCTGGATTATACAGCCCGAGTCCCCAGAATAGAAGCAGGCATGCCACTTCAGAGGCTATCTAGGGCGGCTAACAAACGCGGGCGCTTTTTTATTTTCTTCCATTGCTAGCCTGTAACTGTATTCTAGGGCCAATTGACACAGCCACCAAATCCATTTAATCTTATTCCCCATCCTCTTTCTATCACAAAAACACACTCTTGCGCTCATCTGCTTTTATAGTCTTTAGTAGTACCTTATTTGTAAAGCCTCGCTAGTGGGCTGGCTGATGGTAGTGTCGCTTCCCGTTTTGCAAAACCTGATGAGGCACTTCCGGTAGACCTGAGACACCACTGATAAAGCACTTGTTCGCCTACATTTCGGCTTTTGTGAGCCAAATTCTCATATTTCTCGACATACGGATTTGTTGATAGATTCCCCTACTTTAGCTTGCTGGATTCTTGAAATGTTCGTTGTTGAGCTGATCTGGGCATAGACTGATGAGTCACAGGGCCTTTGCCACAACCTGAAATGCAAGGATTCTTGTAGGAAGCCGACTTTCTTTGCACGGGCATGGCCACTATTGAAGAGCCTCCCCCTCCATAGCATGTCACAAAAGCGGCTGTTATCGCTGATCTAGCGAAGACAAAGCGAAGTACATCTCGAAACAGCCGATGGACTCGTTAAGCCCTTGCCGTTCCTTTCGACCGTCATGCTTTTCTGGTGGACATGCCGCGTAGACGCAACTATCAAGATTCTATTGGTCGTCCAGTCATGCTCATTCTACCACCTGTGAAGGTACCGCATTTACATCGGCTTTGAAATCGGCCTGTGCCGCCCTAACAGGTGTTGTACCACTGTGAGCTTCCATCATTAGAGAGTCTGTTGCCTCCAGTATGCTGCCAGCGAAATTAAGTCGTTGAGTAACCCAACAATATTCGAAATTCAACAGTCGTTGTGGGCAAATGTAAAATCCCACAGCATATAGGGCTATCGGACGAGCGGAGGGTAGCCGCATTGAACCAAGTGGCACTACCAGCAGCAGCACACTATCGAAGGTCGTAGGTGGAAGGGACTGAGCACTAGACTCCGCAAAAATCTAGTAGAAATGGTTTGAGGGTTTGCAAAAGATATTTCCCCTCTGGTTCCTTGCCTTCTCCGCAGTTCCCGGCATGAAAGGAGAGAGAGCCAGGGTGTGCCTAGCTGCACCCTACAACCACTCTGAGACTCTACAGCTACCATAGATAGCGCCCGAACCACAAAGCATTTCGTTCCCTTGTACTGAGCTAGCAGTACTCTGCGGCATGTGCGGTGTACGAGCCTACAAACTCTTGAGTAGATTCTCTACGAACTCTTGAGTAGACTTCCTACAAACTCCTAAGGCAGTAAAACGAGGGCACCAGGACCCTTTGAGTGTAGCGCACCCGCCCGAGTTACGCTGTGATGGGTCGTAGAGGGCAGCAAAAAGGTGGGGGGCTGTTCTAAAATATTCAGTTATCCCCCATGTCTACGTATTGAGTTTGGAATCACGAGTGTCTTCATGGGAGCCTAATGCGTAGAGCGTTAAGAGGCCGCAGTGTACTTCAGCCAGCTACAAGCGAAGCACGCTGAAAGTAGCATTTCAGGCAGGGTTTGGATTTAGAGGTCCCCCGCAGCGTGACACCATGCGAGCTGCTGTGAGCGCACTGCACATGGAGATTTTGAAATGCTCATCACAGCACATGGAGATTTTGAAATGCTCATAAAAATAGATGCGCAGTAGAGCACCTACTCTGCTAGGAACGGTAGAGCGACGCACCCGCTGCCCGCGGGAAAGAGCGAGCATCCCAGAATGCCTCAAAGCGGCAAAAGAATTAAACCTTTATAAATGCACTTTGGCATATTTGAAAGCTTACGGCGAATCGCATTGCTCCACAAAGGGGGCCCGACATGCACCAACGCGTGCCGAGTCAGAGACTAGGGGCAATCTTGTACTCTATTGAGCGAGCGAATTTTGCGATTTGCGGCTTAATTGGGCTGGAATTTTAATTTTGAAGTATACAATATGATGTCGCCATGCGGAGACGAGGCAGAACATCCTTCGTAAGCCCCTCTCTCCCCTACCCACCCTAAATTGCGAGCCAGCGTCTTGCGCTGCTACAGTGCATGCGCGCCTCTTGTGCCGCTGACGCAAAACCCCAAATCGTAAACCCTTACAACAGTTTTCTTTTGCTTTTGTGTCGCTTGCTGCCTCTCGTAGAGTTGCACCCCCTCTGCTGCAGCGGCAATACGCCATCCGCTGCAGCGGTGCAGCAGACTCTTCACATGCCTAAATGCCGCATGCTGGCTGCTGCTGCTGTTACCGCGTCCTCTTCCTAAGGCATGCTCTGTTTTCTTTTGATTATTCATTTCGAGTAGAGAGGGACCGCGACGTTGAGAACGTCTCGGCGATTAGCTGCAGACGCAGCTGTGGTACCCCTGCACCAGCACCCAACAGCTGTTTGTTCGTCAACACGGAGGCATTCGGTTCTTGCAAAGAGGCGTCTCGCCAACGAGGCCTTTTGCTGCTGTTTGCAGCTCTGGACGCTTCGTGCAGTAGCAGCAAAGCGCTCCTGCGCGCACTGCTGCTGCAGCGATAAAAGACTCAGCCTGCGCAGTCTCCTCAGCATATTTACGTTGGATACTCCTCTTCGCTTTACAACCGACTCCATCCTTCCCGATCTTGGTGGCCTCGTGATTTCCTTCATTAGAGGCTGTGATAGTAGCGGCATCAGCGGTGGTACCAACCGCTGCATCTCACGTTGTACATCCATCCACATACAAATACATATATATGCATGCATGCGTACACACTCACACAAGCGTGCGTCCTGCCCTTGGAGAGAGTTTGTTGAGCAGCCTTTTTGGAGAAGAAGGTGTCTGAGATCGAGATATAAGTACACATATATATATATTTAGGAGCCATCGCTGTCACCTCGAAGGCGCAGAAGACGCAGCCCATCCACACAGCTGCAGCGGCTTTGGTGCGGCGTGTGCAGCAGCCGACGAGGTATGCTTTTCGGAGGGGAGGGAAGCAGCAGCAGGAGCTGCTGCTGCTGTAGGGGGATCTGATATAGCCTCATGAGTACCTGCTGCAGCAGCAGCAACAGCAGCAGCAACAGCAGCACGTCAAATGCTTCAACAGATCGAATTGCAGCCCCCTTCGAGGGAGCGAGCAGCTGCTGCAGCTCTTGAATCCGCAGCAGCAGCTGCTGCCGCTGCTGCAGCGGAAGCTACCGAGCTGCACGTACAGCAGCAGGTAGCAGCAGCAGCAGCTGCTGCTGCTGCTGCAGCTGGCGCTGCCATCGAAGGCTCTGCCTCTCCGTCGAGTCACCAGTACGAAGAGAAGCAGCAGAGAAACGTCGCCGAGGCAGCTGCCGCTGCAGGGGGGCATCTTGCGCAGCAGCACCAGCAGCTGATGCAGCAGCAGAGCAGTCGGAGTAGCGTTGCTGCGCTTCCGACTGTAATTAGTGCTGCTGCCCTCACAACTGCCAGTGCAGACGAAGCTCTTGCGGAAACGCCTTCTTCCGTCGCAACACTCGACGAAAAATTCTTCTCCGCAGCAGCAGGAGCTGCTTTGGATCCGCTCGCTCGAATAAACCTGCAGTTGCATGCCACGGCAGCGTCACGACCTCCAGCCTCTGCGCCTTTAGCCAATGCAACTGCACCAGCAAATACAGCAGCAGCTGTTGCTGCTGCCGTTCCTCCTGATGGCGTATCAGGGCGTGCTGCTGCTGGTGATGCAGCAGCAGCAGCAGCAGCAGCAGCAACGACGGTGGCTCCTCGCACAGGCGATGCATGCGCGCTGGGCACAGATTATGCAGCAGCTGCTGCGTCTGCATTCCCGCAGCAGCAACAGCAACAGCAGCAGTTGCAACAGCAGCAGCAGCAGCAGCAGCAGCAGTTGCAGCAGCAACAGCAGCAGTTGCAGCAGCAGCAGCAACTTCTGCTTTCCAACTGTCTGGGGTATGGAGGGGAAAGCTCTTTTGTGGGGACTGTTGTAGGGGTGGATAGCGAGGAACGGCGTTGCCGCGCAATTCCAGGAGCAGCAGCAGCCGCTGCTTCCTCCGCAGCACTCATGCAGGAAGCAAGTGCTTTTGAGGCAACTGCTTCCTCTCTTGGGGGGAGTTCAGCGATCCAAGAGACACAACAGCGAGCAGCAGAACGAGTTTGTTCATTTGCTGCCCTCGCTTCGATTCCATTGCCTGTTCAGCTGTGTGGCACACATCCTTCGCTTCTTTCCGCAGGGGCCCTATCGCTCCTCCCGCAGCAGCAGCAGCAGCAGCAGCAGCAGCAGCAGCAAGAGGCGAAGGCATCTACGCTGGACGCAGCCGCAAGCAGAAATCGCGCAGCAGAAGAATCAGCGCCGCAGGCGCAGCGGCGAGACGATCCTGTGGATCAGGAGAGCTCGGCGAGGGTTGCCTGCCAGCAGCAGCAGCAGCAGTTGCTGCTAGTGCAGCAGCAGCAGCAGCTGCTGCTGCTGCAGCTCGCGGAAGAGCAGCAACAACAGGCAGCGGCAGCCCTCGCCTCCGTCAAAAGAGACACCTCAGGCGCAGCAGCAGAGACAGACGCAGCAGCGCCAGCAGCAGCAGCAGCGAGTGTGCCTGGCAGCGTGCAGCAGCAGCAGCAACGGCAGCAGCAACGAGGCAGCACTGAGGGCAGTATGCTGCCTTTAGCTGCAGCGTCAGGAGCCGACGGGGTGGCGTCAGAGAGGCAGCGAGATCAGCTTCAAGAGCAGCAACAGCAAGAGCAAGAGCAAGAGCAGCAACAGCAAGAGCAACAGCAGCAACAGCAACAGCAAGAGCAGCAGCAACAACAGGAGGATCTCAGCACCAAGCAGCAGCCGGAAGATCTAACATCGCTATTGAAATGTGCGCTCGAGAAGCCGCCTTTGAGCGGTTTCCTGCTTTTGTGACAGGCGTTTTGATTGCGAGGGAGAAAAAAGGGAGAAGAATGAGGGGCAGCTACGTTGGCAGGGAGGCGCATAGTCGATTTGTTGGTGTGTGGGGGTGGATGCTGCGCAGGGCATATTGGTTCTGGCTACCCTTTGATGCTGCAAGCTCCCTCCTTGCAGGCTGGATCTCCTTTTGGAGTAGTTGATGCAGCAGCGCAGCTGAAGCGGCTGCAGCAGACGACTCCCCAGACCTCTCAAGGAGCGCTCGCGGCAGCAGCGGCGGCAGCAGCGGCAGCGGCGAGCGTTGCGTTCGACCCTTTTTCCGCCGTCAGCAGCGATGAACATTTAGCAGTGCTGCAGCACATAAGGGTGCTGTCTCTAAGGACGGCTGCGGCGGCTGCGGCAGCAAAGCAGACTTCGCAGAGCGCAGCAGGAGGCGGAGAGGGGTCCCCTCCTCCGAGTGGTATCGGTAGTGGTGCTGCTGCAGAAGCAGCAGCCGCTTTGGATGAGCCCTCGACGGAGGCAGCACTGCCAGCAGCATCCGCGGCAGGAGGGGCGGATGCAGCAGCAGCAGCGGCAGCGGCAGCGGCGGCAGCGGAGCACAAGCAGCAGCAGCAGCAGCAGCAGCAGCAGCAGGGCTCATCCGAAGGCAGCTTGTCACGGGGTGTGTCGGGAGGAGGTCTAGAGAAAGAGTCTGCAGCAGCGAGCAGCGAGAGAGCCTCCTCGATTTTGCGGGAGGATCAGCAGCAGCAAGTGCAGCGTCTGCTGGAGGGTTTGACAGCGGAGGAGTTGTCGTGTGCTGCTGCGGCGGCGCAGGCGTCCATGGAGGAGCAGGAAGAAGATTCCGTGCAGCAGCAGAAAGATGCACAGGAGCAGCAGGAAGATGCATTAGATGATCGGCTTAAGGCGATTGGCGTGTTTCTCAAGTCGCTCGAGGGCAGTGCAGCGAGCCAAGTGGCACCGCAATGTATGGTGAAGTGTAGCTTTGATTACTTGAGGCTGCGATTGCGTGGTGCTTCCTGCTGCTGCTGCCAGTAGTAGTAGTAGGGAGGGGAGGGGGAGGAAAGCTAGTCGTAGTAGTAGTAGTGGGGGAGGGGAGGGAAAGCTATTAGTAGTAGTAGTAATAGGAAGGGATGGGAAGGGGAAACGTTGGTGATGCTTCTTTGGTGCTGCCGGGTCGGGCAGACTGTTTTGAATTCATTTTTGCAACTTATTCGTGATGAGGAGAACGCAGAGTGGCTTTAAAGGATGCAGTATGTGTGGGGGATATTGCTTTGGCTGTGCATGCATGTGCATATGCATGTGCATGCATGTGTGTGTGCATGCATGTGTGCATGTGTGTGTCTGCCTTTTGTGCGGGTGCAGCTGCCGCTTGGGGGCTTCCCGATTTGTTCGTTCGCAGCGTTGGATCGGATGCACTGCTGCAGTCGGCTTTATGCCAATGGGTGGCTGCAGCGGGAGGAGCAGGAGGCGCTGCTACGGGGGCTGCGGATGGCAGTGTTGCTGCAGCAGCAGCAGCAGCAGCAGGAGCAGCAGCAGCAGAGGGCGCAGCCGTCATGCAGCAGGGAGGCCTTTTTCTAGGCATGTTGCCAGAGTTGCAGGCGGAGCAGTTGCTGCAGGAGCAGCTGCTGCAGGAGCAGTTGCTGCAGCAGCAGCTGCTGCAGGAGCAGCTGCTGCAGCAGCAGCTTGTGGTGCAGCAAGAAGCAGCAGCAGCAACAAGCAAGGATCTCCTCCAGGCGGGGGGAGGGGCATCTGCACTCGAGGATTTCAGTGCCTCAGCTCTCCATGGGGTACATGCAAACGTCAAGCGTTCGAGGTGGGCTGAGCTAGTGCTAATGACGCTGCTACTGATGCTCTAGTTTGTGGCTGCCACGCGCAAGGAGGGTCGTGCTGCTTGCCAAACGGAAGAGGGGGTTCGCAGCTGTCGACGCTCGTACTGCGGCTATGTAGAGGCACGCATTTGTCGGAGAGAGCGAGGGGGGTGCAGAGCTCTCTCCGCGGCATGTTCACTCTAAGGCTTCGGTGTCTTGAATGCTCTTGTGCATGCTGTTGAACAGTCGTGGTCGCCCTCGAAAAGCAACTCATCTCGACGGCGCAGCGGATGCTTCTGGAACGTCTTCTGGTCCTGGAGGGAGCGACGGTGTAGCTGCAGCAGCAGCAGCAGCAGCAGCTGCAGCAGCTGCAGCGGCAGGGGCAGCTGTGGGGTCGAGTGGGGCCCCCTCAGTATCGGCGGGGGGCCCTTTGAAGCGCATGCGACGCAACGGCAGCAACAACCCGGAGAGTGGCTTTCCTGGTGTCTCGTGGAATAGCCGCATGCAAGCGTGGCTGGCATTCTTTGTTGATGCGGAGGGAACCAGACGAAGTCATACATTCAAGTGCAACAAGTTTGGTGGCGTCGAGGTGCGTATATGTATATCTATATATATATATATATATGTATTTGTATGTATATGTATATACGTGGATACATGTATATGTGTATGTGTGTCTTTATGTGTGTGTGTAAATATGTTCGTGTACATGTGTATGCATATGTGTGTGTGTACATATGTTCATGTATATGTGTATGTGTGTCTGTATGTGTGTGTGTACATATGTTCGTGTACATGTGTATGCATATGTGTGTGTATGTGTGTGTGTAAGTATGTTCGTGTATATGTGTATGCATATGTGTGTGTAAATATGTTCATGTATATGTGTATGTGTGTGTGTAAATATGTTCGTGTACATGTGTATGCATATGTGCGTGTGTAAATATGTTCATGTATATGTATATATATATATATACATATATATATATATATACACGTGTGGTGCCGCTGTGTGTGACTCTCCGGTGAGGGCCTTGTACTGGCAATTCGTTTTGAGGAGCTACAAGCTGGCATTTGGAATCCTGATGGTGAAAGCCAAAGACATAGTGGATGTGTGCAGCAAGATGGGGGTGTTTTGTTTCTGTTCTCTGTTCTGTATGCATCTCTCCTCGATCGGCAGCGCTCCTCTGCATCTGCATCTGCATCTGCGTGTGTGTGTGTGTGTGTGTGTGTGTGTGTGTGTGTGTGTGTGTGTGTGTCTATGTGCGGCTTCTGCCTTCAGAGAGCTCGAGTGGAGGCTATCGACTGGCTTATTAGGAAAAGAAGCGAAATTCAAGCTGCCACTGAAAGGGCACGCCTTGCTGCGCAGCAGCAACGGGAGGCAGTGGCAGCTGCGGCTGCTGCTGTGGCTGCTGCTGCACCTCCTGCAGAATCACCTTCAGCGGAGTGAATAGGGGGAAAAGGGGGGGAGGGTGAAAGTGTGACAACGGCAGTTGCACGACATGTCTGTTTTGCAGCCAATCTTACTCGCTCCACTCGGTAGACTTACCTGTAGAAGTTCGCTACAGAGAGAGCCCTCCTGGCGAAATCTGTACCATGCAAGTGACGTGTGCTGCCTCGATGAATGGGGAAAAAGCCTCTCCTCTTGCTTTCCGGCTTGTGCAACGGAGCCCAGCAAGAGCAGCACCTCCCTTGCATTAGCTTTCTAAGAGCGCTGCATTGGCGCTGCCACGAAGTGAAACGGACAGACATCTACGGGAGAGGGCGATGGGGAGGGGGAAGTCTGAGGCAACCATTAGGATTCTGCAGAGTAAGGCTAGAAGCATGCATGACGCACGCCACGCGAGTGTTTACAAGTGGCTAGAGGACGCTGCCCATTAGGCTCTTGGCCCCTTCAAGAAGGGCCCCCTTTTCTCCCCCCTTTCCCCCGTTGCTGCCCCTTTGTTGAGGCACACACACCTCCTTCTTCACCTCGGGTTCTTGGGAATGTGTCTCGGCAGCGAATGAACGTGCAGCGTGCTGCGGCGTTGTGCTGAGATAAGAGAGCCCCCCAGGTGGAAAGGAAGGGGCAGGGGCCCTACATATATAGCGGGGGGGCCCCCTTGGGCTAATTAGGCTTGGATCTGTCTTTTCTCCAGAACTACTTTAAAGTAAAAGAGCGCGGGATGCGAAGGCGCTGTGTCTTGTGGCTGCTTTTGCCGGTGCTGATGTTGCGCTTCGTGCTGTTATTTGGTAGCCAGCATCTGCTCTGACTGGACGGTGCTGTAAATCAATTCCTCTTCTTGGGGAGCAACTGGAGGCGTACAGATAGAGGAGCACTACACTCTCCGGGGGAGGGGGCCTAATGTAGGAGGGTCTGTTGAAGAAAGATTCCGCGTCGCTAGAGTGTCATCCGTCTCCCCTACGCTGCCGCCTACTGTTTGTCTCTCTCTCTGTCTAAGGCCCTTATGGAGTGGCTTGTGCGGCATGCATGATCGAAATCCGCCCTCCAGCCGCAGGAGGAAGGGCCCTTCTCAGGTTTTTGTGAGTAGTCATCCATTATATATATATATATATATATATATATATATATATATATACCGAGCAAGTGTGGAGAGAGACATATGCTGCAAAAAGGCAGGCCTCTTTTCCTATCCCCCAAACAAGCATAGGATGCCAACATCTTCAGCAAGTTTGCGTCTCCCCTAGCTGCAGCCTTTTCGTTCCGCTGTATGACTTCTCCCTTCCTCCCTCACCAATGGCTGCCATGGCATACACTCTGGGTTTATTTCTCGCCCTCTTTGCGTTTCCCTCAAAGAACACACACTCTCTCCCTCCCCCCATCCATCTTACAGAGGAAAAGGTCGCAAACAAACCACGTTGGGGTTCTCTCTCACTAGTTGAGTCCTTTCCTAAACGAGAATCCCTCCACCCCCCCATGCTTAGACGTGCTTTGACATGTCTCCTGTCTCTCACTCTATTTATCAGTGCTGCGTAATCCCAAAGCTCAGAGCCTTTTTGCTCCGAAAGAAGTAGAAACCCCAGTGCAAGTACAATGCCGTACAGAGAGAGAGAAAGAGAGAGAACGAGAGCTGAATAGAGTGAGTGCAGCGGAGAAGCACACAGGAGAAAAGAACAACCAAGGAGGTCAGGCTGCCGCCAAGGACGCGCTGGCAAAGGAGTGAAGGAAAGGAAGAACAGCTGAAGTGGACGCAGTGGTGCATAGCAACCTCGTACATGCGCAAGCTTCGCCTTTTCTCTATTGCTCTCTTTTATTCGCTCTCTCCGTCGGAGCGGCGGTGGTTACCCACCAAGCCCACGAGAAGGCCTTTTGCGAAACACGCGTTCCGTTTCAAAATGCAGCCAGAATCACAAGACTTTCTCCCTGATCGGTCGTCAGAACAACAGAGAAGGAAAGACAGAAAGAGACACACGCCTCCTATCTACTTTCAATTACTGTGTTGGCTGTGGTTCACTACAAGCGTTACGACCACATAAAACGGCGGAGCCGCAACTGACGAGGTCTATATGAGCGAAGCGGATTGCGTGGAAAGAAGTGCCGCTCTAAACGTGAGGCAATTAAAAATCGGCCTTTCACGCCCATGACGCAGTAACCTGTGAAAGAGCAGGTGTATGTCTATGCGCGTAACCTCCAGGCGAATCCTCCAAACTAGCTGCCGTAAAAGCACTGGCAAGAAGGAGAGGCCTTCCCCCCTACAGCCCCCGCTTTCCCCTCCAAAAGCCTCCCTTCCACGCCTGTTGCTACAAGACGCTCTCAAAGTTTGACGCCAGCGTTTTATACCGCCTTAACACGCTGAGACGCGTCTTGGTGCTTCCGTGTAGAGAGCAATTCTATGTGGGACAAAAAGCTCTGCCCTATCTTGACTCCTCCGAAAAGGAAAGCCTCACAATTATGACGGCAGTTCGCCTCCAAAGAAAAACTTCACGCGCTGCATGACAGAATCCTGCGGTCCATAAGGCGCAGACACCCGACACAGCGAGGCAAAAATGTGGCCTCCTTTCCTCATAAGGTCAAGAAGAGCATCTTCATTCCCCCCCCTTCCCCTCCCCCTTCCTCCCCCCAAAAATCGGTCGAACAGAAGCTACTGGGGGGCTTTTTTAAACGCACACAAGCATGCATGCATGAATGCACGTACATATGCATACATGTGCATGTATGTATATACGTTTGCGTGTGCAGCATAGGAACTTGTGTGTGTATGTGTATGTATATATATATATATATATATGTGTATATATATATATGTGTATATGTGTGTGTGTGTGCAATGAGTTTTTCAAGAGACGCATCTCTCGTTTCCTGGAACGAGAGATGTGTGGGAGAAGCCTTGCAGGGAGCGAGTGGTCAATGGAAGCTCAAGATGTCAGGGAATGCAACATGGGCTCTCGCTACCCCCCAAGTGTTTGCACTAATTGCGTTCAAATTATACTTTGCTGGGGTCATAAGGCCTGTCTTTGCTGGGAATTTCCAGGATCGTGGGCACGACGCGGCAATGCAAGTCCACTAAATAACGAATATCATCTGCCACCTGACAAGACCAGCGCAAAACACACAAGCGTGAGGAGAAAGGGGCCTTAAGGGTCAAAGAAGAACAAGCACAGGTACACTGCGGCGAGAGAGCGAGAGACACTGCTACGAGACAAGTCCACATGCAAGACGCGGCACACGAGGACGCGCTAGCTGCCTGAAGATGCGCGCATGAAGAGTCGCACAGCCTGAGACGCAGAGATTCTCGAGAAGGAGAGCAGTAAAAGAAGCAGCAGAGAGGGAAAGGGGGGGGGGGGGCACCACACGGGCCGGAACCATGAGAGAGCCAGCAGGACGGAATTTAGTGGAGATAGATCGTTTGTTAGATAGAAAAGGGAGAAATAGAAAAAGCAAGAGAAATAGATGAAGCTGGAGAGACAGAAACAGAAAGGAAGACAGAGAGAGGCATGGAGAGAAAGAAGGAGAAACAGAGGTACAGACAGAGAGAGAGAGACACCCCCTAGAAAAGCAAAACACGCAGAACCGGAGGGAGACGAGCATGTGTCGAGAACAAGTGGCGAGAGGCGCATAGAATATGTATGGCGCTCATCAGGCATGTTTTTTCTGATCTCACGTGTTGGTTGATTAAGACAATGCCGACATCGTTCCTGTGTGTGAAGTCGTGGAACGCCCTTTCGACGTCCTGCCTCTTCGTCTCTGTGCAGAGGGCAGTTTTGAAGACACGAATGCATTTTCGTGTAGCGCCTCCCGCGGCAGGAGGCGTTGAGACGCGCAAGTATTTTTTGCCTCTCTACGGAGTTGCAAAACCGGCAAAACTAAAAAAAGTGGGGCCTCGTGTGGGAGCTTCTCGGGGGAGAAGATGGACTGCTTGAAGCGGATCAGGGAGGGCAGAAGAGGGCGAACAGTGGGAAGCCTTTGCACTTGGCACCTACTTGTGTCGACTACCAAGAAGTTTGTTCTTCCAGATCCGTCTCGCATGCCGATGCCAGCCATCAGGAAGCCTGCCACAGTATCCTGAGCCGGCAAGCAAGCACAGGCAAAGCGGACTGTGTAGCCGTCAGTCAGTACACCCGGAAGCTGCACGCCGCTCGGCGTACACCACGGTCCCTTGCGCCACGACACGGCGCGCTAGAGGCCGCTCACTTCATCGCCAATGACGCAAATCTTCAACTCGGGAGCGCCATGGGGTCTAATGCTGCCTTTGTAGGCCGCCATCGGCAGACACCCACACAGGAGCTCAGTCTTGCTCCGTTGCTGCAGCTGATCGCTGCTGCTGTACGTACACCGCACCGAAGCGACGACCACCCGCCGCAGCGGCTTCTCTCTCTCTCTCTCGCTCGCTCGCTGCAGCTGCTGCTGCAGGAAGTGGACAGCTTCTCGAGCACTCAGCGCTATATAAAAGGAGAGAAGCGCTGATTTCTGCGGCTCGCGTCGCTGTGGACGCCTCCAGGGAAGCTGCACTTCCTGCTATGGGCTGCTGCTGCGACTGCAGCTGCAGCGGCCGGAGCGCAGCAGCGGGATGATGACACCCAGCGTCTCGCGAAGAACCCTAAGCGAGCAGAAAGCGCTGGTGAGTGCTAGACTCGGATTGATCGCCGTCAATGGCGTACTGTGAGTGCAAAGGCGGCTGCTGCAGGAACCCCTGCAGCTCGCGCTGCTGTGGAAGGAGGCCCCTAGCTGCCCTCTGACGGTTCCGCGCCAACATACACGGAGGTTCGCGTCTTTTCGGAGCCCAGAAATCGGCGCGAACTGCATTAAAAACTCAGTTAAGTGCCGTCAGCAGTCGCGCCGCATGAAGGAATCGCTCAAACGCCTGCACAATGCCAGCAGGAGCAGCATGAGGAGTGAGCAGCAGCAGCAGCTGCTGCAGCAGCAGCTGCTGCCGCTCACTGCGGCGGCTGCGGTGATAAGACTGCGCAGGCTTTTTGCCACCACGGCTTTAACGGAAAAGTCTCGGGATCTAGAGAAACGCACTTTTAGAAAATGTTGTATTTTCTTTTAACAGCGACTTGAGAGCAGAAGAGGGGGTCTTCTTAAGGGGGATCAGCAAACGCTTTTGCTACCGCCGACTAGCGAGCTTCTCTGGCAGCTCGGGAGTTCCCAGACGCTATCTAGAATGCCACATTGTGACACAGACTTGCAGTGTTGCAGTCGGTGCTTCTGCGGCAAATTCTCCCTTCTTCTGTCTTTTTCCCTCATGGCCTCTCTTCCTTTCAATGGCTCCACTTGTCTCTCTCTTCCCGCCACGCACAGAACCCTCGCCTCAAAGCCTTGCAAGGTGCAGCAAGCACGCAAAGAACTCCCGCCGCTCAATACTCGTTGCCTCCTCTCTAGGCTTGCGTGTTGCAGCAGCTCTAGAGGCCTCACCGCAACAACGCCCACGCTAGATGCTTTCGCCAACCTTTGAATTTCCCCTTGTGTGTAGGGGTGTATGCGGCGTGTGCGATCGCGCTCGCCTTTTTCAGTGTGGTGTGAGACTGACGCGCGACATAGCAGAAATTGCAGCAACAGAAGAAACAAAAGCAACAAATTCGCAAAAGCAACAACAACCGCTACGACTTTGCAAAAGCAACAACAACAACCGCAGCAACAGAGATACTGCCCCAGGAGTCTCGACATTCCTCCGCTCTCGCTGCCTTGCAACACAGCTTCTTGCACACGAATACAACCGCGTTTCTACGCAGAAGGAGCAGAAACAACAACTACATCTATTATTGCAACCGTGTTTCAAGGCAGAAGCAGCAACAGCAGCAGCAGCGGCAGCGACTTCCTGTTGCCGCTGCTGTCAAACGGCAATAATTGATGGAGCTGCCACACAACACTGCCGCGAAGGTTTGGGGCCTTCCTGGACCTCCTAGAGTCTCCGATTGCAAACTTCAAGAGTGTGTAGATTCAAAATTTCCGCCAAGCACTCCAGGTGAGCAGCAGGTGTCGAACCCTTCCACTTGCACTCCCTCCCATGAGGTCCAGCAGCCGCTGCCTCCGATGCTGTCTGTACAGCACCCCCAACCGAATGAGTCATTGCAGCCACAGTTTCAGCAGCAGCCACAGTTGCTGCAGCCGTATCAGTTTCAGCAGCAGCCAGAGTTGCAGCAGCAGCCAGAGTTTCAGCAGCAGCCGTACCAGTTTCAGCAGCAGCCGTACCAGTTTCAGCAGCAGCCAGAGTTTCAGCAGCAGCCAGAGTCTCAGCAGCAGCCGTACCAGTCTCAGCAGCAGCCGTACCAGTCTCAGCAGCAGCCGTACCAGTTTCAGCAGCAGCCAGAGTTGCAGCAGCAGCACTTGGAGGAGCACTTGAATCAGCTGCCTGTTTTGCGACTGCCAGACAGCAGCCCCGAGTATGATCGGCTTGAGGTGTCTATACAGCCCTTGGGACCTCGATCGGCGAGGGTAGAGGTGTGGGAACGGCTGGATGATCCTTTTCCTGCCCTGATGCTTTGGTTTTCCCACAAGGCAAGAAGGCTTTTCGACACAGAATCGAAACAAGGAGGGGGGGAGGGGGGAGGGGAGGGAGGAGAGGGGGGGTGCACGTAGCGTAGTGAGTTTCCGATTTTTTCCGCCTTTTTTAACGCAGCCTTGCGCTCCGCTGCAGCTGCCCGCTACACATTGTCTGTGCACCGATAGAGAGAGAGAGAGAGAGAGAGAGAGAGAGAGAGAGAGAGAGAGAGAGAGACAGACAGACAGACAGACAGACAGACAGACAGACAGACAGACAGACTCTCGGGGTGGATGTCTATGGTCTGTGTGCAGCCTTATGGAGGCAACCCCTCTGGACGTCCTTATACAGTCTCTGTCACCAGCAGAGCTCTCGAAAGTCGCCGCTCGCAGCTGCTCTTGGGAGCTGCACTGTCTGCTGCAGCAGCAGCACCGCAGTTCTCTGAAGAAGGCGAACTCGTCGTGAGACTGCCTTCGGACGGAGAGAACTCTCCTGCTTTACTCTTCCGCCTGCAGCGGTCTACTGGGATGGTATGTGTAGATTACTGGCGGCTACCTTCCGTCTTGGTGCTTCGCTCCCCTACCCTCAGTGTGGCTCTCTCTCTCTTCCTGCACGCCTCTCTCTTTCTGCCTGCCTGCCTCTCTCTTTCTGCATGCTTCTCTCGTTCTTCCTGCCTCTCTCTTCTTGCCTGCCTTTTCCTGCCTCTCTCTTCCTGCCTCTCTCTTCCTGCCTCTGTCTTTCTGCCTGCCTCTCTCTTTCTGCCTGCCTCTCTCTTTCTGCCTGCCTCTCTCTTTCTGCCTGCCTCTCTCTTTCTGCCTGCCTCTTCCTGCCCTTTTCCTGCCCTCTCTCTTTCTGCCTCTGTCATTCTGTCTGCCTCTCTCTCTCTCTCTTTCTGCCTCTGTCTTTCTGCCTGCCTCTCTCTTTCTGCCTGCCTCTTCCTGCCCTTTTCCTGCCCTCTCTCTTTCTGCCTCTGTCTTTCTGTCTGCCTCTCTCTCTCTCTCTTTCTGCCTCTGTCTTTCTGCCTGCCTCTCTCTTCCTGCCTCTCTCTTTCTGCCTCCCTCTCTCTCGCTTTCTGCCTCTCTCTCTCGCTTTCTGCCTCTCTCTTTCTGCCTGCCTCTTCCTGCCCTTTTCCTGCCCTCTCTCTTTCTGCCTCTCTCTCTCTCTCTCGCTTTCTGCCTCCCTCTCTCTCGCTTTCTGCCTCTCTCTCTCTCTCTTTCTGCCTGCCTCTTTCTTCCTGTCTGCCTCTCTCTTCCTGCCTCTTTCTGCCTCTCTCTCTCTTCCTGCCCTTTCCCCCCTGCTGGATCCCTGCTGCTATCTCCCGCTTGCGTTCCTGTGCCCCTTCTCTCGCTGCTCTGACTTCTTTGACGGAGGCTCGTGTCGCTCGCTTGGCGTGGCATTGTGTGTGCTCACCTCCCCGCAGGCTGTCAGCTTCCCATCCCCTGAGGCATCTCTAACTGCTGGCAGACAGCCACTTAGACAAGTTCTGGCAGGCATCCCCTCCGCTGCTTCCTCAGTGCAAGCCAACGCAACGGAATCGCAAGTGTCGGCATACTTTGACTCTCTGCACAGACGGCAAATGGGGTCTCTCGCGCAGCACATACACGAGGTGGCTCGACTTACCTCCTATTTAGGAACCAACCATCCGCAAGAGGAGCTTCGCAACGCTGACACCCAGCCATCCGACGGCCTCTTTTCCCCAGAAGTATGTCACCTTGCAGCTCCGTAACTCCGGGAGCTTCCCATCCCCACAAGCACGTTTAATTGATCTCCCCCACAAGCACGTTTAATTGATCTTCCCCACAAGCACGTTTCATGGATCTTCCCCACAAACACGTTTAATTGATCTTCCCCACAAGCACGTTTATTTGGTCTTCCCCACAAACACGTTTAATTGATCTTCCCCACAAACACGTTCATTTGATCTTTCCCACAAGCACGTTTATTTGGTCTTCCCCACAAACACGTTTAATTGATCTTCCCCACAAGCACGTTTAATTGATCTTCCCCACAAACACGTTTATTTGATCTTCCCCACAAACACGTTTCATGGATCTTTCCCACAAGCACGTTTATTTGATCTTCCCCACAAGCACGTTTATTTTATCTTCCCCACAAGCACGTTTATTTTATCTTCCCCACAAGCACGTTTAATTGATCTCCCCCACAAGCACGTTTATTTGATCTTCCCCACAAGCACGTTTCATAAAAGTCTTTCCCACAAACAGGTTTCATAAAAATCTTTCCCCCGCTTCTGCTTTCCCCCAAACGCGGAGCGACAGCTGCTGCTTACGCCTCCCTATGGTCTGCTTTCGCTGTAGAAACTTGACTCTAGAGCTTCCCTTCCGCTCCAGAGGGCATGCAGTCGCACAAGGGTCCTCCTGGAGCATCCATGCTGTGTGTTGGTGTCTGTTTTCAATGCGCAGCACCTCTGCCTGCAAGACCAGCAACGCGAAGAGCGCAACATTTCTTCGCGTCTGAGAGGCTTGGAGGCTGCAGTCGAGCGTCTCCTCTCCAGAGAAGAGGCACACGATGCCGCTTTCCCGCAGGAGGGCTTTTCTAGAGGGATCTCAAATTCTTCGCATCCTAGACAGTGGAGCCGTGCCCACGTGAGGTCTTATATCCCTTTCTCCCCGTCTCTCTCTCCCCTTCCTCCTCCCTCTTGACCTTTTCGTCTGCAGATGGCTGTGAAAAGGGCCCCTCAGAGCGCATGTGGCTCTTGCCGTTCTTTCGCTGAGGTGTTTTCGCGTGCCTTGGCAGTCCTTCCTCTGTATTGCCTCCTCCC